AGCCTACAACTTCGGATGGATGTTTAGACAGTAACTTCATGTCGATCGTTATTCGATGTGCACTTGTACAATATATCGGAAACACTTACGAGACGTGTTCTTCTTCATGGGCCACTAATCATTTAACTGCAAATATCGAAAAATTCGGAATATATGGTGAAAGACAACAGCTAGGTGCCATACCACTCAAGAAAGACAGTTGGCGTAAGATATCCGTACCTGATCAAAACGATTGTTTTTGCACATTATATAAAGAACAAAGCCCAGTGATTATTGTTCCACCAAAACTCAGATATACAGTCTGAACCAGATCTGGCCAAACTATTCCAACGAGGTTCATTCTGCGCGTACTGTTAAAAATACTTGTCATAACCCCACCACTAAAATATAGGCCATGCCACCTATATATGTGACTAAGAAATCTGTTCTTCAATTGTTCAATAGCTTCAGACTCAGCAAGGCACCGGTTTCTGATAGGTTATATGCATAGTTGCTGTCATCACTTGAGGACATCATTTCAGGATCACTCACTATGCCGTTCAACACCACTCTTTCCTTTATTCAACTCCCTAGGGATTGGAAAGATGCTATATTTGGTCCTATATTTAAATATGGACAGAGACAGACCATATCTCACTACCGACCTTCCAGCCTGACCAGTATAGTAGTTAAGTTACTTGAACGAAAATAATTCAAGTTAAGTTACCGAGTCACGTGGAATCATACAATCTGATAGCGCCCGAGAAACGGAGTTTCGGAGTTAGTATTCATACATAACCGACTCATTTATTGAGAAGAAGAACTGGACAACAGTTCCAATTAACGGTTTATCAGTTGATATGATATTCATATCAATGCATTTGATAAGGTTTCTAACCCAGTTATTATAAGGGAGCTGTCAGATTCTGTACAGGAGCGAATAAGAAACCTGCAAGTTACTTAGCCACATAGATTCGTGCAATCTGTTAACTCCTGAGGAGCATGGGTTTCGTAACAAGCTTTCATGCTTGACTAACCTACTTATGATGAGAGAGGATCGGACAACAGCCTTAAACAACGGTCTGGCTGTCGATGTGCTATTTATCTATCTCCAAGCTGACTAAGATGAATTAGTTAGGTGGGCTCATGGTTGGGGAGTAGAAGTTAATTCCAGGAAGTGTGTGCTCATACACATCGGACACGGTAATAGTTACCATTATACTATTGACGGTACATCTCTTCCACGCGTTCAAGAACATAAAGACTTAGGAGTAATAATAAGTCACGAATTGAAAACAACTACGCGCTGCAACGCAGCTGCTTCAAAAAGTTTTCGTGTTTTTTATGGTCACTTCGCCGAGCATACAATTGCTTTGATGAGATGTTTCGAATTTTATATCTTACCTATGTAATACCATACTTAGAGTAATGTATACAAGCAGGTAGCTCATGTCTGATTAAGGATACTAGCTCACTTGAGTGTTCAGCGTGTGGGAACAAAATTAGTGAAGTGCCTTTCTAAACTCCCTTACGATGAGCGCTTAAAACGTCTAAACCTTTGCCCCTTGTCTTATGGTAGGACGCGAGGTGATCTCATACTGGCATTTCGTAACTTTAATTACGATTTGACCGTTAACATGTCCTAACTTTTTTCTCTCATCAGCACTTATGATCACCGAGGTCATAGCAAGAAGGTTCACAAACCGCGATCTAATAAACTAAAGGTGGGTTCCCATTTTTCACATCGAGCTATATTATTATGATTTACCAAATTCTTTTTATCTTCTTTTATCGTTTATATACTTAGGTTTTTGTCTGGAGGTATTGGTGATCCACTGCTACTAGACACGGAAGCCAGTTGAGCGAAAGATTCTTCTATTCCGTCCTCAACCCCATTTAGAGTACGGAAACATAGTATTTCCTTCCTTCCTCCAAAAGGATAAGGACACTCTGGAACGTATACAATGTCGAGCCACGAAATGAGTTCGGGGACTCAAATTCAAACCTTATGAAGAGCGCCTCAAATCACTTAGCCTTTACCCGTTAGAGTACAGGCGTCTTAGAGGTGATCTTCTTATGACTTATAGTATCCCTAATACTTCTGGTCATCCCCTTAAACATCTTCTTAAGCTTAGTCATAACACTAACCTCAGAGGTAACACCCAGAAACTGGAGACCCTACATAGCAGAACAGACTGTAGACAACTTAGAGTTGTCAAGTGCTGGAATTCGCTGCCGACTGAGCTAGTCGGAGCAACCTCCCAGGAGTCCTTTAAGAGGAAACCTGACTTATTCTTAAGGACTAAGGATAACATATTATTATGATTTACCAAATTCTTTTTTCCTCTATTATCGTTCATATACCTAGGTTTTTGTCTGGAGGTATTGGTGATCCAATGCTACCAGACACGGAAGCCCGTTAAGCAAAGCTTCTTCTATTCCGTCCTCAACCATTTGAACCATCTGAACCATTTGAGCGGTTAGTGACTGGAACGCCTTACTTGAACAAGTGGTATCAGCCCCATCAGTGAATATTTTCAAAGAGAAGCGAGATCTTCACTGGAAAGCAGTCTATGAGGATTAACAAGGGCTCACCAACCTACTATCCTAATTACTAAAGACTGAAATCCCGCTATAGCGCGGTTAATTCACATGAAGTCGTTACTTTAAATCAATCTTAGTGGTTGGTTTTGTTTGTTGTTCACACCCATATAGGTCCTTACTTCATTTTTTACCATAAGTGACACAACTGCTAGCCAAAAAGCTTTTTTCTGGAGGTGTCGAGTTTCATCTAGAGCTAGGTAATAATCTCGACTAACAATTGTTAGTCCTACAGACCATATTTTTGTTCGTGAGTAAAATATAACAGGTTGATTGTGGTGTTAATAAAGGCCAAAAATGTTTTCAGATAAAAATAGCTGTAAAACCATTCAGTTGTTGATCGGGCTCTTGTTTCTCCAGCGATTGAACACTTTCAGTTACTATTTTTTTTAGGGCTATAGCCCTATGATGAAGAAAGCAGAGCTAGATCTAAACCATTAATTCAGCGATTATAAATCAAGAGCTTTGACCGCCAAACCAGAATTTTCCCAGTCTAAATTTGAGAAGTACAGAGGACCACTTTTTTGTTTGTTCTGATACTTATAATACCCTAATTTTCCTGATTGGACTTTTCATGAAAGGAGAACCTATCCCTACTCTTCTGCAGCATTAATATCGTGATATCTCTTGGAGGCTGGAATCTGTGTCTACATCTTTTGGCTTTCTTAGGTTGTAGAATACGTCTTGGTGACCTGTCGGAAACAGAAGAGGTTAATATCTTTCATCGAGGTTGTGCGACGTTTTTTCAGTAAAATGTGTGGAAATAATACATCAGTAACGATTTTCCTCGAAGCATGAGATTGTGTAAAAAAATTGTAGAACTTTGTAATGTTCACTCCCATCCTAACTAGTAATACATATAGTTACTAAAATGGTTTCTTCTGCATAATTGCTGAAATCTAGTCATTATCATGTAGTCATATTCCGTAGGTGAACTTATTGTTTGGTAATCTAGACACCTCTTCGAGTTTCTATCCTAGTGACTTCATATCGACATGGTGATATGATCTGGAGACTTGGACTGATGCATATTTGTGTCAGTGTTACTTTGCTTATGACCAACTGATACAGTCAGGGATATGAGCCGCCACTAAGTGCTGTTCTTGTAATAAATTTGACTTCGTTTACATAATATACTCCTAATTTCTATTTTTTCCAAAAGCATTACCCTCTCTTGTCTCTATTAATCTTGTACTCCACCCTAACCGACGTATTTGTCTGTATGCTTTTTCTAATCAGTTTTTTTTTCATGTTACAGAATCATTTATCTTAATTATTAACTTCTACCTTAATAAACATTCAGGCTTTTGACTACTTCATCCTTAGTTCCTTGATCAGGATAACCTGTTCGTGCTTTGTTTGTTGTACTTCTGCTAGAGCTAGAAAATTATCACGATTATTGTTAGCAAACAATCATGTCGAAACATAAATATATATTCCTGATTGTACAGCTTTGAAAACCGATTTGCGGAAAAGAAGACTCTTCACTGACCCAGTCTTTATTGTTTTTGTGTCTGAGTGAGTGTATTCTCTATACCTAATTCATGCAAACTTGTTGGTAGTTGCTTAGTTGTATTATACGTTATTTGTGATCATTCTTCAATTATCTTTCAGACAATTGACTATTTTTCGTTTACACATGGTAACATCGTGCTGTAACAACTTAGTGTAAACCTCATTTTCAATTGCAAGCTTTTGCACGCATCAGTTGTGGCGATTAGATTAGTTGCCCCCAAGTGCCCTGGAACGTCCGAGAGTGGAGAGAGTTAGCTCTCTTTCTCGAAATGCTCTCACATGGTTACGCGTGCACAACCTCTGCCAGGGAAGTCCTACTCACTGTCTTCTCATGGCATTACTATTGTTTACGAATTCAAGAGGACGAAAAGCGAATGTCCGGAGCTTTAACCGAGTTGGTGGACACAGAAAGTCCACCTGGGGGAGTTGGAAAACCTTGATTCCAAACCAATGGTGCACATGGGCTCCATTATCCTGAGGAAACAAATGGTGTATGAACCCACTGTTGGTTACAGGCTACTATGGAACTACATCTCCTTACCTTGCTCCACTGCCTTGTGGATTAGACCTTTAGGTCAAAGGATTAGAATATAACCCTCTTAGGAAACCACCTGCTTCGGTCTGGGCACCCTAGCAGTATCACAGCCCACGCACTAATCAAGTGACTTGTGTAGCGTACATATATTCTGTGCCCCTGTATACTAATATTCATGTGTTCAAATAAAATAAATTAATAGATTAGTATATAAACCTGTTCATAGTCATTGGCTTAAGCTCATTCATTGCTGAAAATGGATACGATTATGTGGTTTCTCTCTAAGTTTGAAAATAGTGTTAAGCTACATTTCATACTTTGTTATTCAGTTCTTATAAAACCTCGTTTTTCATTTTTAGTTTAGTTCATCATGAATGGTAATAACAACAAACAAGATCAACTGTGTAGTGATACTCCATCAGAAAGTTCACTAAACAATCCTATTTCGGATGTAATAAATACTGAAAATACAAGTTTGGCATACCCGAAATCACCATCGACGACATTATTTCCGGTGCATGCGTTCAACACTTTAAATTCTCTGTTATCACGACCACATTGGCAAGTACCTGTTCTACCAGATTCACAGTTGGAAACTATACTATTGGCATCAATCAATATGGCTAAACATGGTTTCGTAATCATATTCATTTGTTTCTAAATATCTTTTTTTCCAATTTTTTCAGGTGAAGATGTTCATTCACAAGATTGTTTACGATTTTATTCAGATGGCTTAATTAGTTCTTTTCAGAAAATATTTCGTGATGATGCAGTTACTCGTTGGGATTCACATATCTTAGTATGTATACATTGGTTGTTTGATGTCTATCACCGTTTCCCTTTCTTTTTCAATAAAGCATTTTATTTACGCCAATTCTTTACTGGGCATTGAATTGTGTTCTATAAAAGCAAAATCTGATTGCCTAGCAATATTAGAATTGGAAACTATTCTATTTGATCCTAATTCACAGTAAGTTCTTGTCTATTTTTTAAACAACTAAAGAAAAAAGTCAGTGGTTTTCATACTTGGCTCTAGTTCATTGGTAGTGCGAGTACAAACATTAATGTAACTTTTTAAGGTAGGATCAAAAAAAATCCTAAAAGAACTAAATATCTTTTTTGCCGCAGTTTATGATGCATGGTTAGTGCACACTCATGGGATCATATTCTGGATGTTTAAGTCTCACAGTAAACACGATGCATTTATACCACGGTCAGAATCCGGACGTTCACGTTCTCAAGTTAAACTAATTCGCAACACAGCACTATCATCACTGGTACTATCTGTCCTACTTCTATCACCGTTCTAATAAATTGGTCATGGTTTCTCATTAGAACTTCAGGAATTCATTTCAAATTTATTCTACGGTGACCAAGTGGTTATTTTTAAGATGTGAGTTTGTCAGTAAGTCGCGATGAAGAGGGTTTGTGAAGATTATTTAATCTGGAGTTAGTTTTCATTCTTGCATTTTTTTATTAAAAACAATTTGAACTGGTGCAGCATATATGTATATCGCTAATCATTCTGAGTTTCCTTATGATTATTTTTTCGTTTTCCTTTAACTACTACAATTGAGTTTTATCTTCCTAGTGTTTAGTAGCCTAATAATGTCATATTAACTATTTGTATTTTATCGGCTAGTTATGTTCCGTACTAGATCAAGAATTTCTTAATCAGTATAATTTTTCTTTTTCCTTTCCTATTTTGCCTTTCTATCTCTCTGAGGGCATACAACCACCTTTCTCCCTTGTTCCATTCGAGCAGTGGGGTTAGGCAGGGTTGCCTAATCTCACCATTCCTCTTCAACTTTGCCATCGATGACATCCTGGAAACAGCTCTGATGGATGTAAGTAATGGTAGTGTGGATCTGCTGCCTGGGGAACGACTTCTTGACCTTGAGTATGCGGATGATATTGTCTTACTGTGCGATAATGCCCAAGGCATGCAATCCGCACTCAATCGGTCGGCAATCAGTGTCCGCAGGTACGGCATGTGCTTTGCACCCTCCAAATGCAAAGTACTCCTACAAGACTGACAGGATTCTCATCCTGTACTCACCCTGGATGGTGAGGAGATTGAAGTAGTTGAGAAGTTCGTGTATCTAGGTAGCTATATAAGCGCTGGTGGTGGCGTGAGTGATGAGATTGATGCACGTATAATGAGAGCCAGAGCGGCTCATGCCAATCTGGGCCATCTTTGGCGCCTTCGTGATGTTAGTCTGGCTGTAAAAGGTCGGATTTAAAACATGTAGGTGAGAGCAGTTTTGCTCTATGCTTGTGAAACCTGGCCTCTCCGAGTTGAGGATGTCAGACGACTCTCTGTGTTCGATCATCGTTGTCTCCGAAGGATTGCTGACATTCAGCGGCAACACCATGTTAGTAATGCAGAGGTTCGGCATCGTATGTTCGGGCGCAGAGACGATAATTCAATTGGTGTCATCATCTTGAAACACCGACTTCGGTGGCTTGGACATGTTTTACGAATGTCGTCCCAGAGACTTCCACGTCGTGCATTATTTACCGACTCTGGGACTGATTGGAAAAAGTGGAGAGGAGGTCAGTGTATGACATGGTGTCGTGGCATGAAAGAAAGCTGCAAAGGGCTAGCTTCTGTTGGTCCTTCACGACTCCCTGACTGGGGTCCGAGAGATAGTGCAACACAGTGGCTAGAGACGTTATCAGATATGGCTCAGAATAGAAGCCAGTGGCGAGCCTGCTGCAACCTTCTTTTAATTTCTACATAAAGAATGGTTCTAACTTTCCTAACTGAAAGAGTCTTCTGGTTGTACATTTCAGTCCGCCTTATCTTTTCATCCCTTCTCTTCCTACTTTCATTATTTTGTGTGGCGCATATGTATCTGATGCCCTTTTGTACCAATATGTATGTGTCTAAATAAATAATAAATAAATAATCTCTCTCTACACTTTTTCATTTAGGTTTCACACACGTAGTATAATTTCCACTAGTGTAACACACGAAATTCGTTATGGTGTTCATAGGAATGTTGTATGTCGATTTGAAGATATTATTAAATTATTGCCACATATATCAATATCAAACGAAAACGACAGTACGTGTCAACAACAACCAGGAAAAATAGATGGAGATACTAATGCCATAGAGATGAATAATGATCCCCTGACACTAAACAATACTGTTCAAATAAAAGAATATTCTATTTCTTATGCAAATTATAAAGATGCACCTATTCTAGTGGATTTTATTAATCTATTTGGACGACTCAATGGATTCGATCGATTGAAAGCACGTTTCCTTGAATTAGATAACAAATACCATTGGGACGAGAAACAGAGAGATATGTTGCAACAACACCTTCAACAACAATCAAATCTTCAGACAGAATTCTTATCACTTAGTCTAATAAATGCTTATCTGCATCCTTTTGCTTTATGTTCAAATTATTTAAGTGACTCAGTAATTGAAGAATATTTCAAACCAATAGTGGTAAGTTATTGAATTTTTATATTTATATTTATTTATTTTTTGCCTTTATATTACTTGAATGCTTTAATGACTGGGTATCAGTTGGATAACCATAGAAACCAATAGGGAAAAAGTTCTCTCTGGACGTTCCTCAGAAGTGCATATCGTAAAAAAAACTCAAAATTCGGCTTACAATAATACAATGAGCAATACAAGAGTATTTATAGAGATTGTTTAGTGTCCTTAAGACTTTGATCTAGTAAAGATGCGAGTTTTCAATGCATGGAATCCAATCTAAACAAATTTAGAACCTTCCTCAGGCGTTGTCTCTATCTTTTTTTCTCTTTTCAAATTTATTTCATTGGATTTTACTCCTTCAATGACATCTTCAAACCCAAATCTTACCGATTGCTGCTTATAATTTTACTACTTCTACCACTATGGGATTTGAATGGACAACTGCATCTCTGTACTAATGTGGTATAGCAACTCGAACTGATGTACGTACGCACGAAGTTCTACGTTATGACTGACTCACTGTACTATAATATTGCTCTTAGATTGTTATTTATAGAAAGTTTCCAAAAAGAATCTGAAGATTCATTTTCACTTTTATTAAAATTATGTATTTTTCTTGAAAAAAAATGAAGAAATTGGTGAAAAACAATTCGTAAAAAATATCATTTAGATCATTATTTAAGGTATTGGTGAGTGTGTAGATGTTATCACTGCCCTCTCGTGGCGGAGTTGTTCTTTACGAAATTGAGAGGACGATTCCAAACCAATGGTGTACATGGGCTTCAGTATCCTTAGAGAACGAATGGCGTATAAACCTATCGTTGGTCACCGGCTACCATGGGACTGCATCTCCTTACGATGCTCCACTGGCTTGTGGATCAGATCTTTAGGTCAAAGGCTCGGGGTGTGGTCTCCTAAAAAACCACCTGCTTCAGTTTTGGCACCTGGGCAGTATCATAGCCCTCTCACAAATCGAATGAGATTTGTGCGGCGCATATGTATCTGATGCTTCCTTGTACCAATATTTGTGTTTAAATAATAATAATAATAATAATAATAATAATAATAATAATAATAATAATAATAATAATCACTGATTATTATGGATTTGGATCATTTTTGTTTGCCTTTTTCATTACTAACTATTATTATTATCATTTTCAACAGACTATTGTTGTCAATTATTTATCTCATTTAACTGATGATCAAATTAAACGTGAAACTAAAAAAGAAATGCGTAAAGATGATTTCATCACTGGTTTGAAACTGTCTTTATGCACATTAACAAAACGTATTCCATCCTCAACCGAAGATGATATTGAAACTATTGAATTACTTAGTCTTAATGTAATCTATCGTTTCTTTCAGGTAAGTTGAGTAGGTAGACGTTGTTTATGGAAATCTTATTTTAAAGTCAATTTTTTTATAAGCAGAGATGGATAGTGGCTAGCAGTGGAGTCCAGTTTGACGCGCGTTTCGTCCTATTTGGGACTCGTCAGCTGGATGTACCTGCATCTCAGAGTTGGTGTTCACTCTGGAACTCGAACCCAGTACCCTCGCTTCAAACGCCATCGCGTTATCCACTCGGCCACTGAGTCCTGATAGCCACTGACCAGTTGCAGTCCTAACACATCGATGAGAAGATTCAAACAAATAATACTAAATTAATTTAATTTTTGTTTGCTTAATAAAGAAAGTATTAATCGTAATTGTTATCAAGCATGCAGTAGATAAGAAATTTTCTGATCAGACAATTGACTATTTTTCGTTTACACACGGTAACGTAGTGCTGTAACAACCTAGTGTAAACATCATTTTCGATTGCAAGCTTTTGCACACATTAGTTGTGGTGATTAGATCAGTTGCCCTCAAATGCCTATTATTATTAATGCTTATCGAATACAGCACATCTATTAAATGGTATGACAAGCAGTGTATTTAATTTAAATGGTTACATTTTAACTATTTAGCTAAAAAGTATTGCCATTCCTACGAGAATCCAAGGTTCTAGTTTCAAATTGCTGCTATGGTGGTGAGTGCATATTACTGGGTCACTTTTTTGCCCAGTAAATGTACATTCTCTCACTCATTTTGACCATCAGCTCACTGTCTGGATAATTGTTGATAAACTGAATTAGAATAACTCATCTATACACGTAATTCTAGCAAAATGTGAAACATCCAACCATTTGAAGAATATGACTTTTTAAGGAAATCCGGGGGTTATTATGAGATGTAGAGACAAGGAAGTTGGCAAGTATTTCGGCACAAATGAACAGTGTTTGGGGATTAATAAGGACTGATGTACCTTGGATTTTGTAAAATGTTTGAACTCAGTAATATAAATTTCCAATCAAAATACTTATAATTTGCATACATGAATTTCAACTCAATTATTATGTTATATCTTTACAAAGTATGTATATAATCTTTTATCTCCTTCTCTATCTCACCCTCCATGATAAATTACCACCATGAAATGTTTCCATACACTTTTGTAGAAAAATAATTACACTAATTGAAAGAAAGCTTCTATACATACTCAATGTTCTTTCCCATTTCTGGACTTTTTCTAGTTGTAGAATGTTTTTTTTTACTAAGTTTCTCGTAAATTTAAATCGAGATTGATAGCCTAGGTCAACACTATTCTGAATTGTTTACCATACATTTTCGTAGCAAATAAGCATCATTGTCAGTGACTGCAATCTGTCATTGTATATTTTTAGGAAATATTTATTAAAAACTCATGCCAGATTATCACTAGTTTTCGGCAATTCCGTCGCTAATATCAGTTTGAAATGAAAATTGTTCTTTAGAACTCTCATAATCTGAGGTTTGATTGGTTCAGTTATTATTATTTTCCTAGCGCTCAGTCAATTAGCTATTTATTGGGAGACAACTAAGACCGTTTGCGGTTTATTTGATAACTGAATAACAACATTTATAACTCATGCAAATTTATTATTTGCTAGAGTGAACGGGATATTATGGGTGGCAACCTCAGCTAAATAAATAATCCACTTTTTCCTATGATCTTGTGACAACATATGATCTGTTTGACTTTGACCAACATATCAAGAATATACTAAGCTTCTGTAAAATCCTGTAACTTCATGGTGAATATGTGTTCACGAATGACTGGAGTCCAATTTAGTGTCATTTAACTGTAGAAATCTTAAAGGGTTGAGTTGTTTACACACCCAACGGTCTCAAATTATCACTTTTATTTAAAATTCGTTGCTCATTTGTTAAAATTTGCAAGACCGTCACTCACGGAAGGACAAAAAGAAATACTTCCACTTATCAGAAGTTCTCACTAAATAGATTGTATAGTAGTATATGCATTCCAGGCGGTTTAGCCCAGAAAATGCCTGAAAAATTCCATAGTATGTATGACATGTTCTAATCTTTGAACAACCAAACTTTTGAAAGCTTTGTATACTTACTGATTAATGTTAATTATTTCATCCATGTTAAAACAAAAAGGAAATTGTTCTACTTTTACAGCTGTCTTCTTTCAATGGGAAAATGAACACATTGAACGAATTAATTCGTCTATTACCTAATACTAATTCATTACGAGTTGGTCAGTGGATTACAGATATTAAGGTAAATTATTATTATTATTGAAGCAGTTATGATATTGGAGAAATGAGTTGTATGATCATATTTCAGTTACTATATCTACTACTCTAGTATTTACCCAGACAGTTTTATCTAGCTGTGTTAATAGGGTATGCTAATTTGAACTGATTTGCAGATTTACCAAGTCCTACGTTATGTATGACTGATTGATTGAGTTCAGTTATCACATTTCATTAGTTTATGTAAGCATTCGGGCAAAGGTATAGTATAGAGACTAGGTCAAGCAATTCTTAAGACAACCAACTAGTTTTAAAACGGGATCAGTTCAACCAATTCAACGTACATATAAACTTTCATCCTCCAAGGAAAGATCTTATGTTACAAGTGCAAACCACCGTGTGAATCGAACGGACATGTGTGTGCCACATGGCGCGACCTAGATGAATGTGCTAAATCCTTCAGCTTCACCTTACAACAAAGATTAGACTTCACTATTGCAAACGCTTATGTTTTCCCTATCTGAAAGGTGGATATGCTAATGATAACTGTAAGCTGTACAGATGTATAACTCATCCTTTGTTGAAGATTGATAATGGAGATATCAGCGAAAGTGAGGTCAATTATTGAGTATCACCAATCAACTACAATACATCTGAAAGTTTAGGCTCGTTTAATTATTGCTAATCTAGTTGATTATTCTTATACAGACTATTAGTCTGTAATTTAACTTTTGATATAATATTCTAAAATGTCCCTAACATTGTTATCATCTTTCATTGGGGTGTCAAGGGTTGCTTATTCAAACATATCTAATAGGCAAATCGGTCTCTTTAAATATGATCAATATATCGCCGCATACATAAAATTAATTTTAAACAAGATTTTATAATGAACGGTTCATTAGCTGATGAAGCGTTCACCTTCTAGACATTTAAAATAAATCTTCGAACCCAGCTCTGATTATTACGATATTCACAGTCGCGTAATAACACCAACCTTCACACTCATACACACTTACTTACTTACTTACTTTCGCCTGTTACTCCCAATGGAGCATAGGCCGCCGACCAGCTTTCTCCAACCCACTCTGTCCTGGGCCTTCTTTTCTAGTTCTTTCCAGTTCTTGTTCATTCTTCTCATGTCTGTCTCTATTTCTCGGCGTAATGTGTTCTTTGGTCTTCCTCTTCTCCTTCGACCTTCAGGATTCCACGTGAGGGCTTGTCTTGTGACACAATTGGGTGATTTCCTCAAAGTGTGCCCAATCCACTTCCAGCGCTTCTTCCTGATTTCTTCCTCCGCTGGAATCTGGTTTGTTGTCTCCCACAGTAACTTGTTGCTGATAGTGTCTGGCCATCGGATCCGAAGTATCTTGCGTAGACAGCTGTTAATAAACACTTGTATCTTCTGGATAATGGCTTTCGTAGTTCTCCACGTCTCTGCCCCATACAGAAGAACTGTCTTGACATTTGTATTGAAAATTCTAACCTTGGTGTTGGTTGACAATTGTTTTGAGCTCCAGATGTTCTTCAGTTGTAAATATGCTGCTCTTGCTTTGCCGATCCGCGCCCTCACATCTGCATCTGATCCACCATGTTCATCAATAATGCTGCCCAGATATGTAAAGTTTTCCACATCCTCCAAAGCTTCTCCATCAAGTGTAATTTGATTGGTGCATATTCTGTTGTATCGGAGAGTCTTGCTTTTCCCTTTGTTTATATTGAGACCTTCTGCTGCTGAGGCTGCTGCTACACTGGTCGTTTTCTCCTGCATTTGTTGTTGCGTTTGTGATAGAAGAGCCAGATCATCCGCGAAGTCTAAATCGTCAAGCTGCATCCTGCCTGTCCACTGTATCCCGTGCATTCCTCCAGATGTTGACGTCTTCATGATCCAGTCGATCACCAGGAGAAAGAGAAAGGGTGAGAGTAAGCAACCTTGCCTAACACCGGTCTTTACCTCGAACGAGTCGGTGAGTTGTCCTCCGTGGACGATTTGGCAGTTTAGTCCATCATAGGAGTTCCGTATGATGTTGACTATCTTCTCAGGCACGCCGTAGCGTCGAAGAAGCTTCCATAGTGTCGTCCTGTCCACGCTATCAAATGCCTTCTCGTAGTCGATGAAGTTGATGTACAGTGATGAATTCCATTCGATTGATTGTTCCACAATGATACGTAGAGTTGCGATTTGATCTGTGCACGATCTATCCTTACGAAATCCAGCTTGTTGATCTCGAAGTTGAGCGTCCACGGAATCCTTCATCCTGTTTAACAATACTCTGTTGAAGACTTTTCCTGGTATTGAGAGGAGAGTGATGCCCCTGTAGTTGTCGCACTTGCTCAGATCGCCTTTCTTTGGTATCTTGATGAGAAGTCCTTCTTTCCAGTCTGTTGGTACATGTTCTTCGTCCCAAATCTTACCGAAGAGGATGTGGAGTATCTTGGCAGTTGCTGTTACATTTGCTTTCAGTGCCTCTGCCGGGATGTTGTCTGGTCCCGCTGCTTTGCCACTCTTGATTTGTCTAATGGCCATGCTGATCTCTTCAATTGTTGGTGGGCCAACATCGATTGGGAGGTCCATGGGTGCTGCTTCGATGTTGGGTGGGTTCAGTGGAGCTGGTCGATTCAAGAGTCCCTTGAAGTGTTCTACCCACCTGTTTCGTTGTTCCTCAATGTTGGTGATTACTTTGCCTTCCTTGTTTTTCACTGGTCTTTCTGGTTGACGGTAATTTCCAGCGAGTTTCTTTGTTGTATTATACAGTTGTCTCATGCATCCTTCTCTTGCAACCTTTAGAGCTGTCATCGCTAAATCTTCCACATATTTACGTTTGTCGGTCCTGATGCTCCTCTTCACTTGCTTGTTTGCCTCTGTGTATTCGGCTTGTGCCTTGGCTTTTTCTGCTCTTGTTCGGCTGATATTGATTGCTACCTTCTTGTTCCTCCTTGCTTCAATTTTATCCAGTGTACCAACAGTGATCCATTCCTTGTGATGGTGCTTCTTTTGGCCCAGAACCTCCTGACATGTTGAAACGATTGCCTCCTTGATACCTTTCCAGCTGCTCTCTATGGTGGTTCCCTCTCCATTGAGTAGGTCATGAGAGGCCTCGAACCTGTTGCTGAGGGCTATGTTAAATTCGTTGAGTTTGTCAGCATCTCGAAGAAAGGTCGTGTTAAACTTTTGTGATGTTGTCCGCGCCGTTTTCCACTGCTTCTTGATTTTTAGTTTTATCTTGGCGAACAGCAAATGATGATCGGATGCTATATCAGCTCCTCTTCTGGTTCTCACATCCTCCATCGTCCTCGTGAACGTTTTTTTGATGCAGATATGGTCGATTTGATTCTGTGTAGTGTGATCCGGTGAAATCCAAGTGGCTTTGTGTATGTTTTTGTGTGGGAATATGGTGCCACCTATGACCAGTTTATTGAAGGCACATATGTTTGCAAATCTCTCACCGTTTTCGTTCCTTTCTCCCAGTCCATATTGTCCCATGACGTCTTCGTATCCAGTGTTGTCCTTTCCAACCTTGGCATTGAAATCTCCCATTAGAATGGTCAGGTCCTTGGTTGGGCACTTCTCGAAGATTGACTGCAGCCTATCGTAGAATTGGTTTTTAGCGTCTTCATCGTAGTCGTTGGTCGGCGCATAGCATTGGATGATGTTCATTGTAATGCCCTCTCTCTTTGTTCTGAAGGAGGCTTTGATGATCCTCGGTCCATGAGATTCCCATCCTATAAGTGCATTTTGTGCTTTTCTAGACAGCATCAGTGCCACTCCTTGTGTATGTGGGGCATTTTCTTCTTCATGACCGGAGTATAACAGAAGTTCTGAAGAAAGTCGTTGTTGTCCAACGTGCGTCCAATGTGTTTCACTGATTCCAAGCACTTCCAGGTTGTATTTTCTCATTTCTGCAGCGATTTGGAAGACTCTGCCGGTCTCCCACATTGTTCGGACATTCCATGTACATATAAAAATTGTCGCTCTGGTTGTAAGAAGGTGCATCGGCCTCATGACTTCCGAATGAACTCGGCTTTCATCATGAGACGTCATTTTTCCTTCTACTCACAGGGCAGAGTTTGAATGGTTTGAATGATTTTTTCTGGTTAGCGTTTTTTTAGCGAGTTGATTTTCTACGGGATGGGGTCGCTAACCCCATGCCCAACCCTCCTCCTTTACCGGGGCTTGGGACCGGCAGTAGCCCCTGGAGGAGCTACAGGTAGAAACAAACACTGGAGCTTAAATTTGAGTAGGTAAACAAATCTGCAAATAGTGAATGATGTTTATTTTTGTTTACTTAAACACGTACATATTGGTACAAAGGGGCACCAGATATATATTCTCCACACAAAACAATGAGGATGGGAAGAGAAAGGAGGTAGATGCACATATGTAAAAGAAAAAAATATATAGGATGATAAAAAAGAAAAGAGTAATGATGGAGGGAACTACAATGTAAGGCCAGAAGACTCAGTTAAGATAGTTATAACCACTCTTTATGAAGAAAGTAAAAGTAGGTTACTGCAGGATCGCGACTGGCTTCTATTCTGAGCCATATCTGATAACGTCTCTAGCCACTGTGTTGCACTATCTCTCGGACCCCTGTCAGGGAGTCGTGAAGGACCAACAGAAGCTATCCCTTTGCAGATTTCCTTCATACCACGACACCATGTCATACACTGACCTCCTCTCCACTTTTTCCAATCAGTCCCAGAGTCGGTAAATAATGCACGACGTGGAGCATTAACTAGTAATAATAATATTGTTTGACATTATTGTATATTCGGTGTTATTCCCCAATATCTGATGTTGTTTTATCCTCTCCCTCTCTCCCCCTCTTTCTTTCTTTCTTCCTTTATTTTTTCATTCATTACAGTTATTAAAATTATTACTTCGTGAAAATTTACATCAATTACAATATGTAGAAAAAGTTGAAGAGATAATACGTTTTATGATAAGAAAATTATTATTAACATTAAATGATTTAGATAGTATATGGGAATCACAAATTGGTAAACATGAAACTATCATTAAAAATATATTCAATATGTTAACACATTTAGCATTGGAATTTTCAATGAATCAATTAAATCATTTATTTCATTGTTTTAAGGTAATTGTTTTTATTGTTTTAAATGAAAATTTTTTTTTGATTTTTTAAAAAGTAGTTGTTAGGGAACGGGCACTAGGTAAGGATGGTAAATGGATTGATGAAGTCATGAAACTTCATCAGTTGAGATTGCTGGGACATGTGTTACATATGCCCAACCACCGACTGCCCCGACGTGCAATGTTTTATGGTGTAAGAGTAGGTTGGAAGAAAGCTAGGGGCGGTCGGACCAAAATGTGGCACAAATCCATGAAATCACTGACAAGTGGACTGAGTCATGTTGGTAGTTGTTGTTATAACGTATGGGTTCGTTAATATATATGAACGTGCAATGATACAGAAAATACGTACGAGCAGTCTTGGGTGCTATTCGGTCCTTCCTATCTGCCTAGCCCAGCCCGTTAACTCCAGAACACAAATAACAGCCTCAGCAGTATGAATCATTATTTACAAGCATACTGGGTTATATATACTAACCAAACAGACCACATATATCAAAAATAGAAAAATGACATTTGTACAGTAATTGGCCAATGTGGCTGTAGCTAGGGGAAAGTAATCAATAATAATAGTTCCAAGGTCAAAATAAAGGTTATGATAAGAGGAACACGGAAACGATTAGGTCACTTATTTAACAACTATCCAATAGGGAATGGGCATATTGTATTTGTCCATAAATAGACCTCAGATTTAAGTCACTTATTTAACAACTATCCAATAGGAATAGGCGTATTACATTTGTCCATAAATGGACCTCAGATTTATGATTCATAATTCGCCATGGGATACAACAGTTGTAGCCTACCTGGTTTGGATTCGCAAGATGATAGCAATCGATGATTAAAGACCTTGAATGACATGGATCAAAATCGTTTGCAATGGCGAAGGTGCATCCACTCTTTGTTTTCTTCCAATTTCACTGTATTATACTCCTTAAATAACATCTTCAAACCCTAATCTTTCCGATTACTGCTTACACTCTTACTACTTCTACCACTATGGGATTTGAAACGACAACTGCATCTCTGTGTTTATGTGGTATGGCAACTCGAACTGATGTACGTACTTACGAAGTTCTATATTGTGACTGACTCATTACTATTTAATTTCTCAAATTTACATAAATGATTTGCTGTTTAGACTATCTTTCGATTATTTTGATATAAGTTCATACAAAAAGTTGTTTAGTGTTTGTAGGTCTGGGGTTGAATTCTTACTGTCGACTGTACTATTGAGATGTGATGGCAGTAAGGTGTTTTTAGCGAATAACCAATATCTGTATTATTATTGTCTTCCTATCTCAGAAGAGGTGATTAGAAAGGTCTGATCTAAAAGTAGCGATTATCTCACTTACTCTACAGATTTCTGGAGTTAGGAGTAAGGATTCCTCTGTCACACGTACAGCTTGACAAAAACATCACTATCAATCTACTTCTTTTCTAGGTTCCTTTAGCTGGTATATGTCCCCTCAACTTGGGTAAGTGACAGTGTTCAGTCCATTTTCTTCTAAGAGCTCTTGAATAAAGATCAAGAATACGGGTCACCAAGCAACCAATAACGCTTCTGTTCCGTTCATTTTGCCAATTAACAACTAAATATTTAAACTATATTTGTAACAAACTTATCGAAGTCAATTAGCCATATCAAAGTATACCATTTTCAATATTCACTGTAAATTCATACCTAACTCAAGTATTCTTTTGGCTTTTCATATATATACATTATAGCAAAGTTGGAAAAAAGCAACAAAACGTCAACGTGAACGTTTAATTGATTTGATCACAATGTTAGCTGAACAAGATACCGATGGTATGATGATGCAAAAAACATTAGATCTTCTATGGGATTGGGCTATCAGTTTGAAATTTTCCACTGATTTAATGAATGCTTCACTTAAATCACATGCAAAAATTCTTAGTTGTAATAATAAGGTGAGTGTTATGTCCTGCTTTCCCCCCTTTTTTTAACTAGATTTAAAAAAAACAAAGTTAAGTTCATAGTGTATCTGACAAAACTATCAGCGCTATCCTTTTGTTTTTTTCTACACTAACTTCAAATGGGCGACGCTGTGGGGGGTTAGTATCACGTTAAACCTTTAGAGCCTTGAAATAAAGATTCCAAGTAATGCGAGCACAGTAGAGTGGCGGATCAGTTCTATCTCCCCCGATGGCTCAAGTTAGCTAATGAGGTTCTCCTCGAATGTTTGTCCATGAACATCGATACAAGCGAAAATATATCATGGCGTTTGACCACTAATCGATGTTCATTCAGGCGAGATGAGTAAGGGACCTACTTTATCCTTTGTAGTGTTTTTTGCAATTAGAACAGTTTATATATTTATATTTGTCTACAAGATAATAAACAATAACCAATGAAGATCAAGGTCGACAGAACGGTATATCAGTCATATGTGGATTAATGGTGTTGTTCAGAAAGATAATGAAAGCTTAATGATTAGATCATCCAGTTCAGAAAATGCGATTCCACCAAAAGATGTTCTTTCTTTTTTTACATTTTACTTGATAAAAATTATTATACTTTTTTATCATTATGTTTATCTATTTCATTTCGGCAGCCATTCATATGTCAACTTCGGAGTGTTTGGCTTGGGAAGCTTGCAAGTTTTTTAAAAATTGAACCAAACACTGATGAAGGTTGTTTATTACCTGCTGCAAAACAGTTCATTGAAATTGCCAACCTTTACAATACGGTAATTTTACTCCTCTAATCAGCGATTTAACTCTTCTATTTTGGTTTGATTATATACTTTACTGCCTCGTCCTAATAATTTTTCTATTATAAAAAGCGACTAATTGTTCAATATTTTTTTTTACATACATCCTGGTTACATTAAAACTGCTAGTTGTCAATCTGTTCAACCGATCAAACGCTGAATATGACAAAAGCAAGACACACCGTTTGTCGTTCTTATTTGCCAATTATCGATAGGTGGATTTCTATTCTTGTTCCACCTATCCGGTATTTCGCGCTCAACTTAACTGTAATTAGTTACCCTTAGAGCTGCTGGTGTGGAAAACAACATTAGACATGAGGAACGTATATTTATTCGGTAAAGTTACATAGTATTTACATAATACATATACATGGCTTTCGATAATCTGTTTGCATCTTGCGGTGTGTTCTTCAGACTGAACTGTTTTTTCGTCTAGTCTACAAATGTTCTGCCAACGCCGTGCCACTTTCCGCTACTCTCTACTTACATCCTTCTTCACTATACTGGTACTATATACCAGATATCTGAAATGATCAGATCTATAGATATAAACTGTTTAGAAGCGACTTTGTATGATTACACATATAACATAGTTACTTAATAGTTATACAGTAAGAATATATATATATAATAAAAACCCATAAATAGATCCTATCACTTACCATTCACTTATTCTTCGTCTGGATATGACACTTACATGTGCTACCCCTCGTAGAGAAGCATAGGCCGCCCACTAGTATTCTGTCATAGTCTACCCTTTCCGTATCTGCTTCTAATTCTCTACGCAGTGTATTTTTGGCCTTAGTATTTTCCTGTTCCCTTCAGGATCCTGAGTATGTGGCGCATATATGTCTGGTGTGTGTTATCATATGCATGATAAATGTTCTGATTAGGAACCGATTGACAACCAAATCAAAACTGATAACTGGGATTGTTAAAGATGACTTTGTGTTATGACAACATCATAAAACAAATTACCTAACGTAGTAAAATACAATAATATATATATCTTATATATAAGAACTCTCGTCTACATTAGAACGAATAGTTTCACAGTATTTGGATTTAATTTAAAAATTCATTCGCTGAGATTTTACAAATATATTATTCCTATTTAATATATATCTTATGTTTTAATTTTGAATACATATTTATACATCCTATGGTCAGTCTCATACTCATATTTATATAAGAGTAGATATATGTGCTGATGCTTTTTGGAAGGCCTCAAACTTTGCATAGTCATTTATACAATTTAATTTTCTTATGAATCGAATGTGCTATTCCTGCCCAGTGTATGTATGCTATGTTGTGAAAATTTGTAATTCATAATTCATACCCTTCTTTTCTACATCATCATCAAACAGTTACATTTTTTATACACTGAATTGTAATTAATGTCATGTATGTTGATCAAATTCTATTGATCTAGTTGCAACATAGCCATCAATTTGTACACCTTATTTTGTTATTAGGTGGTTGAAAGTAGTCGACAAGATACCTTGAACCTAGGTTTCGTGTTAGTCGGCCCTCGTCAGCTAGGTGTAGTTGTAATCTTGGGGGGGGGATGATGCTCTTTGGCGGGTTTGAGCCTAGATCACTCGGTTTCATGGTCTGAAATTTATTTCAATAAGGTATTCATGCAACGACTGATTTCCTGTAGAACTGAGATATCGACATCTTCATATTTCTTCTTTGACTTAATGAACGAGTTATTTCAATCCACATTTGTTGTGTGCTTTAAGTAACTGTTCATAATCACTATCTATGTTTTCATTTTCGATTTCTCAATATTGTCTTTTTTTACATACATTGTTAGATTGTCAGCTTGTTTCCTATATAAATTCCTTACGAAATTCACTAGTCTTTAACTCAACCCTTCTATTCATATTTTTGTTGTCAAATGATTACAGTCAGCTTTTGTCTGTCTATCGATTAAAATTGTTCCGTCTATTTATCAAAGAAATGTTCATTTATTCCGCAGTCATTTACATTCACTATTAATCTGCATAAGTGTACGTGTGCATGTGTGTGCTTGTCCATTTATCTATAGCAGTACTGTCTGTATTGTGTATGTATACGTGTGAAAAAATTTCATATTATCTCTCAACTGTACTTTTGAAGACAAGACAACACTAATGGTTTTAGTACCGCAGTCAAATTATCAAAAGAGAATATTTTAAATTCACTTAGTATTGTTTGTTTGAATCTTCCCATCGATATGTTAGGACTGCAACTGGTCAGTCTCTAATTGGCATATGTGCATACTGTGGGTATTGCCTCGATATAACCTAAATTCACAAGCATGGTAAACAAAGATGGATAATGGCTAGCAGTAGAATCCAGTTTGACGCGTGTTTCATCCTATTTGGGACTCTTCAGCTAGATTTACCTACATCTCAGAGTTGATGTTCACTCTGGGACAAACAATACTAAGTGAATTTAAACTTCACACCATTGCACAAGAAAGTGGCTATTAGGACTGAGTTGCTGAGTGGATAACGCGATGGCGTTTGAAGTGAAAGGTACTGGGTTCGAGTCCCAGAATGAACATCAACTCAGAGATTATTTTGTTTATTTGAACTCATAAACATTGATACAAGAAGGCACCAAATATATGTGCGCAACACAATAACAATGTGGTTGGGAAGAGATAGAGAATGGGTATTTATAATAAAAAGAAGAGCAACAATGAGTGGAAATTAGTGTGTGAGTGAAATTATAGCAATACTATTATTATTATTATTAGCTTTATTCAATATTATATTTTTGGTACAATATAGAATTCTCAGCACAAATTACTTCAACAAGTTTCCGTTTCTTACTTCTTCATCCTTCCTGACGATAAATATTGAGTGATCGCCAGTTAGAAGTTAGCAGCCCAGTCAATCGACATCTGGATAATGTACATTCTTCTCGCTGTATATTGCCAGCAACCACAATATCTCTGATTAGGCCTACTGTAGCCTTTACAGCGAAAGGTTGTACACTTTTCAGAAACGCACCTGAATAGGTTGTCCGATTAATAGGCATAATGATGTATTAAAACAAACGAAATCAGATAACTTGTTGAAATATCTAGATGACAGGAAAAGGTAGCCCAGATGTTTAAACAGGCCGCTACTACTAATAATAATAATAATAGTAATAGGAGAAACAGTTCAGTTTGTAGAAATATAACCAGAAGAATTCTTTCATTTAGAGAAGTTACGTTCATTTTTTATGATGAAAGTAAAAGAAAGTTACAACAGGACCACCACTGGCTTCTATTCTGAGCCATATCTAATGATATCTTAAGCCACTATGTTGCACCATCTCTAGAACCCTAACCAAGGAGTCGTGAAGGACCAACAAATCCCAGTCCTGTACAGCTTTCTTTCATACCATGACACCATGTCATACACTGATCACCTCTTCGATTTTTCCAACCTGTCTCAGTATTTGCAAATATATAGTCCCTCGACAATTTCTGAGCTATAACACTTCGAAATTGTAAAATCCTATATCTGTTTTTTATATGTAACTTTGCTATTTGTATCAACCTAATCATCCCTGTAAATCAATATGGATTCTGTAATTAATTTTAGAATTTACCCTAAGTTATGTAACATATCTGTTGGAAGATAAGTTAATATCGAACAGCTGTTTTTAGTCACAATTAGTGATACATCAGTGATGTACAGATGAGTTAGCTTCAGACCACACTGAGTTGGTATCAATTCAATGGTTCATCATATCTCATTACTTACTTACGCCTGTTACCCCTCGTCAAGGAGTATAGGCCGCTCACCAGCATTATCCATTAAACTCTGTCCTGAGCCTTCCTTTCCAGTTCATTCCAGTTGCTATTCATCCTTTTCAAATCTGCTTCTATTTGCCGGCGTAATGTGTTCTTCGGCCTTCCTCTTTTCCGCTTCCCTTCCGGATTCCAAGTTAGGGATTGCTTTGTAATGCACATTGGTGATTTCCTTAATGTATGTCCGATCCACTTCTAACGTCTTTTCCTAATTTCCTCTTCAGCTGGAAGCTGGTTTGTTCTCTCCCATAAAACGCTGTTGCTGATAGTATCCGGCCAATAGATATTGAGTATTTTGCGTAGACAACTGTTTACAAATACCTGTACCTTCCTGATGATGGTCGTAGTAGTTCTCCACGTTTCAGCTCCGTACAGTAGAACTATCTTGACGTTCGTATCTTCAATACGAACGTCAACTCGCTAAAAAAACGCTAACCAGAAAAATAATCATATCTCATACCTTTAATTAATTCACAGCTGATATCGACTTTATATTTTGTTTTAGTTATTGTTCTGTTACACTCTTGTATTCTTTCATATTATATCATCTATGAACAAAGTGTCTAAATACATTTCAGGGTTCACCAAATGAAAATACTTTAATTCAAAGTATAAATCAACGACATAATGTTTTAAAGGCAGCTGTAGATTGTATCATACAAACAATGTGGTCAGTACATGAAGAACGTTTAAATTTAATAATGAAAAGTAAGTTATGTATTATATTATACTGTATTATATTACACTGTACTATATTTCATCACGATAAGGAGTGTTTATAACTATTTCTCATTATGGTTAAACTCATTTACCAGATATGAATTTAGGTGATTGGCTTCAAGCCACACTGGTTATTAAGGACTAGTGATACTATTCAGTTGATCATGATGAAGTAGGTGAGGTGAAGTTCGACCCTATGACTTAGTATCTGGAAGTTGAATGTTTTAACCATTGACCTACCGCTTCACTGAATAGTTAAACTATCAAGATACATGTTGATTTATAAGTCAAAAATTGTACTCAGTTGACATTCATATGCAACACAGTCTTTTGTATTATGTTGATCACTGTTATGTCTAAGGAACCGATCACCAGTAAGAATTCAGACTATAGTTTTCCAATCCCATAAACAAAATAAAACCTTCAGCTATTTTGTTTTATGTGAAGCATTGAATCATTATATCTTTGTTTTGAGTGTTGAAATTTTATATCCTGTTTACCTATTGTTTTCGGTAAATAACAATATGTATATGCATATGTTTTATTTTGAATTGAAATTATGTTACATATATGTTTTATAGTGCTACAACTAGGTATCGTCCTTAGTGGATGATTTATAAAATTTTATAACTATTCAAGTCAATTGGATTACAGACGACTTATTAGTTTTCACAGATTGAGACCGCCTTAAGTTTCAGAGGATCTAAAACAGCATTTTATACACCTGGATCGGTAGCACTGGTAGCGCATGTGAAAGAAGTTGAAGACGTGATGACTGATAGTAAGGAAGAAGTAAATCGCGGTTCCAGTATTGCTTCATAAGGATAGTAGGTCTGTGTTATAGCTTATGACCGAGTGGATGTCCTGTTAACGTATGACATGATAAAACCGCCAATCAGAGAGCAGCGAATTATCTATTGGAACAGTGACACACGAAAACTGTACGAGCAGTCTAGAGTACGTATTGGTCCTGTTTTTTACCTAGCCCGGCCAGTTAAGTCCAAAACACCAATAACAGCCTTTGCAGTATGAAACATTATATTTCAAACATACTGAGTTTATATACTAACCAGACTGACCACATCGTACCGATAAGATAGAAAATAACATTTGTACAAGATTTAGCCAAATGTGGCTGTGAATGTGGGAGGCAACAATTAATAGACTAGAGATAACTCAAGAATGGTAAATCGTATAATAATAGTCTGTAGGTCAAAATAAGGCTTATAATAAGGGGAACATGAATATGAATAGTTTAGTTATGTAGCGATTATACGATAAAGAATATATGCATAATATTGGTTCATAAATAAATCCCAAAGTTACCATTCATTATCCTTAACGGGGCACAACAGTCATTCGACCGGTGTTGATGTTTGCAGTATGTTTTCCAATGAAAATCCTGTTGTGAATTTATGCCCGGCTTCTTATCACGTGATTTACCTACCAATCGAAATACGACTTATCTAATTTTAGCACTGTGCCAAACCAATGACTTCGACCGTTATTAGCGGTCTAGCGTCGTTATTGGTCCCTTGTCCGCCTAGCCCTTCCAGTTGAGTCCAGAACACTAATTACAGCTTCTGCTATGCGCATCATTTATTTCAAGCATATTTGGTTTATATACCAGACAAACAGACTGCATCACACCATAAAATAGGGAATAACATTTATACACAATAAGGCCAAAAAGTGACCGTGGACTTGGAGACAGAAATCAATAAAATGAGTGTAATTTAGGGACAGTAATTCGTATAATAATAATCCATAGGTCAACACGTAGCTTAAAATTAAATGAATATAAATGCACACAATCTTATTACTCAATAATCACAATTGATTGATCACTGGGTGGTGATCAATGTCATGCGTGTCAAGTCCTTCTTAGTGCTGATCGAATGCTATCGATCAAGTTGCAATATGGCCACTTGTCTAGGTGGCTCGACACTGCTCAAGATTACAGACACACCTTGCTGACGAGTGCCAAGTTTCACGAAACCCGGGTCCAGGGTTTCCTATTGACCACCTCTAACCACCATCTTATATAATTACTCAATAGTTAAACAACAAGAATATATATAGAATAATATTCCATTAATAGGTCCTGGAAGTTACCCGTACTTTAATCTTCACTAGAATATAACAGATCCAGTTTCTCTTTAATAGTATTCATCGATGGTACTGATATTACTTGTTCTAGTAGGGCGTTCCACTCGTCGACTGCTTGATGGTAAAAACGGAATTCAACTCTTCGTTTGTTCATTTTCAGCTTTTGAAACTCGTAGATTATTAATCCCAGCTAAAGCAAAGAGATTGAACATTATAACATCCAGATCGTTAGTTGAGTTATGGAGTAGTGATATAAGATCACCTCTCATTCTATGATAAGAGGAAAAAATGTTAAGAGTTTTATTTATTCGTTGTAGAAGAGATAGAGAAAAAGCTAGTTGCTAACTCTGTCCTCACACGTTGAACATACTCAAGCTGTTTGAAAACAGTATTCTTAGTTACTTTTCATGTGAGGTATAAAATGGTAAACATATCTTTGCCAATATATTTCTTCATGAGCCCTAATTAGGACGACTCATCAAATGTCTTACTAAAATCTATGAATATTGCATCGACAAGCAGGCCTCTATTTTTGGGCTAAAGTCCATTGTTCTCCTGCAATTGATGAATTTGTTAAGCTCGAATCTCACGAAGTTTCTGTTGCTGTGGAGTCAGCATATATGATTCGTCATGACTAAACAACTTACCCTTAATTATTTTTTTCAGTACCCCAAATACTATGCTAGATTGACACTTCGGTAGTTGTACACAGTTTCTCTCTTTTCATACTTAAATTTAGGGCTAATGATAACATTTTTCCAATCCCTTTGTGAGTTGGGTTTGGAAAACCAACATATTAAACAAGGGTGTGAGTGGTGCTAAAATAATGTCAGTGAGGGAAGACAACAGTTTTGAGTGTAACCCATCAGAACCCAGTGACTTACTGAGTCGCAAGCTCTGGTACTATATTTGATAAAATTTCATTTTTAGTCTCATCTGATTCTCATGCATCTGTAGCAAAGGGATTCCACCATTTTATTTAATCATCTAAATATACGAAAACATTTGAGTAGTTGCAGCTATCAAATAAATGGTACGAAAACTAGCGATAGTCGTTTTAGATGTATTCCTGATATTATACTTCTCTAACTCAAAGGGTTCATGAACCTTTGTTAAGAATAGGTTCAAAGGATATTTCCTACTCAATAACTTTTGAATTTCCAAACAGATCTTACATGGAAGTAATTATGGAATCAACAAATTCGTGACATCTTCGAATGTGACTATTAAATCAATGCTTCTGAAACCTTGCTATCCGAGAAATTTGGAGTTTTTCTCCCCATCTCTGAGTTGGTTGTCATAAAGATGAGATGTTATTATGAATATGGTTATCTCGAATATTTTTGGAGTTATTAACCAGATTGTTACTTCATGGTTGCCCATATCATAGATAGAGATAGAGATACTTCTTAAGGTATTTGAAAAAGAAACTGTGTTTGAGGTGGTCTTAATAACGACTTAGAAGAGTGATCAAATACCTGAGACCGGTCATACAGCCATTTTGTGAATAGTTTTTGATTTGTTCACTCTGTACTTTTCAGACCATACCATAGGCGACAGAAATCCTTAAGGAAAGGTTAAAATTTGCCTACAATTCTTTCCCCTTTGTAGTAAGGTTGCATCATTTCGGATGTTGATTGTTTGTCTGAAACATTTCACATCTTCCATACCACTGTACAGTCTTCAATAATTCTCTTACATAACTCAAGTTGTTGCTTCAACTCTAATCATTCTGTCTAGACCTAAATGAATAAGTTTTCCAACCTATATAACTCAATTGGCTCACTACAATATGCAAACCCGATCATCATATCAGTATAGCAGATACGATCAGATTGAAAAATCATTTACCAATCCTAATGTTGATACACATCAATATTTAACCCCCTTTTTAAAAACTCGCAAAAAATATGCTATTTTGATTAGCCTATAATCGATTTATAGATCCTCAAATCCGATTGTTCTGTTTCAATCGATTTTATTCAGTAGTACAATCATTTATAAAGAAATCTGTAATCATCGATTTAAATTGAAATGGTGTAATGAAAAATTATTTTCCATGCAAAATTTTTATTGATTTAATTCTCTTCAATTTTGTTAATCCATTTTGTAAATGTGATTGTTTTTTATATATAAAAAAATGTATCAACAGATTGCTACAACATGAATTCTGATGATTGGAATTATTGAATGAAGATAAGATATCTAGTGTAGTTTGTTTATTTTCTATCAATCTATAGTTCTGGGGGTAATTTTTATTGCTTTCAAAACTCTAACTTTACCTAACCTTAATTCATTTAGTATTGTTTGTTTGAATCTTTCCGTCGATGTGTTAGGACTGCAACTGGTCAATCCCTTATTGGCATATGTGCATACTGTGTGTATTGCCTCGATATTACCTTAATTCAAAAGCATTATAAGCAAGTTATTGTCCTTTAAAGTATTTGACAACGACTTGATATCAATGATGTCTTTGTAAGCAAAGATGGATAGTGGATAGCAGTGGAATCCAGTTTGACGCGCGTTTCGTCCTATTTGGGACTCGTCAGCTGTATGTACCTACATCTCAGAGTTGATGTTCACTCTAGGACTCGAACCCAGTACCTTTCGCTTCAAACGCCATCGCGTTATCCACTCGGGGCACTGATTCCTGATAGCCACTTTCTTGTGCAATGGGGTGAAGTTTATATTCATTTAGTATTGTTTGTTTGAATCTTCTCATCGATGTGTTAGGACTGCAATTCATCAGTCTCTTATTGGCATATGTGCATACTGAGCGTATTGCCTCGATATAGCCTTAATTCACAATCATTGTTAGCAAAGTGGATAGAAGGAAACGCGCGTCAAACTGGATTCCACTGCTAGCCACTATCCATCTTTGCTTACCATGCTTGTGAATTAAGGAAATATCGAGGCAATACCCACAGTATGCACATATGCCAATTAGAGACTGACCAGTTACAGTCTTAACACATCAATGGGAAGATTCAAACAAACAATACTAAATGAATTTAATAATGTTTTTTTGTGTGTAAAATAAATCAATCCCCCTTTCCACTTTCCACTTTAACTTAGTTTGATCATTTCAATAGACGATATCTTTTATCCTTCATATTTTTGTAGTTAGGTTGCTTTCATCACAGTGAATAGTTTCTGAATCTTTTTTTTTCTATATTTAACGACATTAGTCGAAATTTTTCTGTGTTTTTTGTTCTTAATCTGTGCATATTCCCAATTTTCGATTCGTTGTTTAGATCATAGGCAGTAGTGATATAGTGTTTGGGTGAATAAAACAGACTACTTCATGTTTTTCAAATGCAAACCGTACTATGCGTTTATCAATCTGTTTAGTTATTTATATAGTTATTGTATCTTGGTAAAAACGAGTACGCTTTCTAGTTTTCGGTTTACTTACATTAAATTCTATTCAAGAACTATTGAGGATTTTTCTAATACAAACGAGAATGGTTGTTAATTCGAATAAACCGGATGTTGTACTTAAAAGAGCACTTCAACTTTAATAATTCACACATAAATATGAAATGGAGAAGATGGGAATTTCAGTAGAGTTTTATATGACGAACAGAAATCGCAAATTGGGAAAATCTACCGTATTCGTATAGTACAATTTAATGTTTGAGATAACAAGCTACAGATGATAACAACTAGTCAGGTAACAGTCATGGTCATTACGGACATATGAATTAGAAAAATGTCATCGAAGCTCTCTTGTAAAGAAAGAACTAACATATACTAGCAAAAGAATTAGATAGTCTTTACTAGCCTTAGCAACAATTAGTTGTCATACAATAAACCACTATTGAAGCTGGATTAATCTTGACATCATTTTTTTATGAACATTTCTTAAGCGATATGCCGTAGTAAACCAAGTACATCAATAGTTTACAGGACACGTGAATATACATAACAAACAAATGTACCACATGATATCTAATGTAAAGGTTTATTTCATTTTTTCTAAAATTTGTTTTGGTGATCATTAGTTTGTTTTATTAATTAGGTTAGATTGAAAGTTTCATTACTGTATGTTTTCATCAATGACATTGACTTACCTTCTCTCTCTCTCTTCCGACATTAGTCGAAATGTGAGCCGTTTCGTCTTATTGTGGGACTCCTCAGCAGTGCGCATTCACGATCCCGCCTCACGAGATTCGAACTTAGGACCTATCAGTTATATATGTATATATAACTTTTAGGCTTTATTGAATACTTTTCATTCGATGAACTGACGATCAAAATATTCGTATAACATTACCTGAATCAACGTTTGTCATTTAAAGCTAATTGCGCTGTTTTAACGGGCAACTTTTAGTAAACGGAACCATTGTCAAAGTTATATTTGTTAGTTTACAGTTTGCATCAGAAACCTATAATTTCATTGGTATTCTAGATGTTTGGTATCCAGTGGTTATATTTGTTTAGGGATCTTTAGATTGTTTGATCTAGTTCCTCTTTTAATGAATAAGTGGTATACTCGTTTACCAGAGGTATTTAAAAGAAATTTTCATTCTTGTCCAATTAGAAGTGTTTTGAGATTCGTTTTTTTCCCAAGGAGAGTTTATGGTAATGGTCCCTAATTTTGGTTATACGTGACTAACACTGTTAAAAGTGCCAGTGTTAATAATATCCAGTGTCTATAAGTCGACCCATTATGCACATGTGTACACTACTGAGGAATTCGAAGCTAGAATCAAGTGACTGTATGCTAATGTCTACTAATTCTTCAACTGGTTTTCCGTAATGAAAACTATCATCTTAGATAACAATTTAATATATTCCATCCGTCTCTTCCCGACTATTTGTAATCGATACTAGTAGATAAATGAAATGTTAACTTCACTTTTTAGTGTAATTGACTTCGCTGAATAGAAGTCAGTCCGACTTGGAAATAAGTGAAACATCATTTATTTAATAGAATATATGAGGAGATCCAAAGCTAATTTTGGAAGCCCAAATAAAATTGATAAGAGTTATTTTATGGTATTGTCATAGAAAACACCCATTTTATAGTTGAAATCATGAGTCAATTGAAGCTAGACCACCATGGAAAACCTGGAAGCACTGGACGGCAGTATCGTCCCATTGTGGGACTCCTCAGCAGTGAGCATCCACGATTCCGCCTTGCTAGACTCGAATCTCCACAAAAAAGCCCTTCTGAAGACAACCATTATTATCTCAGCCAGTCAGTCAGCTACAACGTTGGACTAGGCACATTCATGCATCGGTTCTAACTGTCTTTCAACCGTCCTCTATACTAGTCAGCATAGCTCGTCGTGGTAATCAGTGTTCAGGCATACGTGACACGTGGCGCAACCATCTCAGTCGATGAAGATTCATGACCTCATCAACTGATTTATCATCATTACCTCATACCTTGTGTCTAACCTCACTATAACGTACCCGATGTTCCCAGCAGATGCAAGTAATATTTCTAAGGCATCTATAAGAAGCTACATAAATCAATACAATGAACCTATAAGTATTCAATTAGAGCTTAATAATAATTTCTAGTATTACATATACCTACTTACAAGTAGTATATTTTTTATCATCCAATTTTTGTTTCTGCATTATAGATCAATCTATTCCATCCAAGTCTTCACATTCAATAAATACATCAAAACATCAAATACATTCTAATTTACAATTAATTAAAGTGAAAGAATTATTAAAACTTCTACGTTATCTTATATTTCAATGTCATTTATTATGTCCAATAGATTTATTACAAGGAATATGGGATTCATTATTAAAGCCAACATTTCAACCCAATTCTATCATAAATAATCATATTTTAAACAAATTTCATAATCAGATTATCTTATCCAATGATTGTGATTTATGCTTTAAATGGTTTATATTATTTTTGAATGATTCCATATGGTTAATCTATCGTGATTTTATATGGGATAATTATACTACATTAAATCCAAAATTAATGACCAATGCTGGTGTAGAGTTAGTTTTCGTTTTTTTTACGATTTTTTTCAATACTACTTATAATCATGAATTATTTGGTTAATATTACTCGTAAAAAAGAAACTTTCAATTTACCTGTTTAGTTGTTTCATTTCAACACCCCTAAATGCCGTGGTACGGCAGAGAATGGGGAGAGTCCACTCTCCCTCTCGAACTGCTCTCCTATGGCCACGCGATTATATAGCCCCTGTCAGGCAAGTCCTAATCACTGCCTTCTCGTGCTACTGGTGTTGTTTACGAAGTTGAGAGGACGAAAAGAGAAATTCCAGCGCTTTAACCGTGTTGGTGGACACGGAAACTTCACCTAGAGGAGTTGGAAAACCCTGACTTCAAACCAATGGTGCACATGGGTAACAGTATTCAGAGGGGACAAATGGTGTATGAATCAATCGTTAGTCATCGGCTACCATGGGGTTACATCTTTTTACGATGCTCCACTACCTTGTGGATCACATCTTTAGGTCAAAAGCTCCGGGTGTGGCCCCCTAAGAAAACCACCTGTTTCAGTTTGAGCATCTGAAAAGTATCACACCCCTCACACAAATAAATACATTTATTTTTTAAAATAAATAAATGAGTCATGAAACAATCTTAAAATGCTTGTTGAAATAATGAAAATCGTATCTACTAATTAGATCCATGGTGAAAATAATACCTCTCATATGCAGTACTCATCCACTAAATAATTGAAAAAAATACCTGAAAGAACTTGATATAGTAGATATATTTATTTTGTTCAAACGTAAACATTGGTATAAGGATGCGTCACATTTCGTCATTCGATTTGTGTGTGGGCTGGAATACCTCCCGGGTGTCCAAACGGAAACGAATGTTTTTTCGGGGGGGGGGGAAATCCCCCTGAGCCTTCGACCTAGAGGCCTAACCCACAAGGCAGTGGAGCAATGTTAGAAGATGCAGTCTCATGTCAGTCCGTGACCAAGAAAAGGTTTGTACACCATTTGTTCTATCAGTATCCTGGAGCTCATATGTATTACTGTTTTGGAATCACGGTTTTCCGATCCCCTAGAATGGATCTTCCATATCCATCATATGTTAAACATTTAAAAAAAGCATATATTTCTTCGGCTTCGATTTAGGTGAGAAGATTTAATTACTCTTTTCCTTTTAGTTTGACATAAAACCAAGTACTACATTGTTGGGAACGTTAGATCCCCAGAACTCACTTGGGAAAGATCTTAATTTTGTAATTTTATTCTGAAAATTTGAATTTTATGTTTTTGCGGCAAGAGACGCTTAGTTGATCTACAGCTTACTCGAAATTCTTTGTCATTGGTTGACGGAATTTTTTAGTACGTTGTTTTGTGGCTCTCCCAAGAGATTTACTACCACTATAAATAAGCTTGATTTATGTGCTTAGTGACCTCGTATTTTGTCAACACTTGTAGAATACATTCTCTACGCCTCATCAAGACTTCTTGATTTAGTCAACAGGGCCGGACACAATGGATTAGAATTAGCCTATCGTTCCGTTTGCCGAGTAAGGTAAACTCGTCGTAGCATCAAGTATATCATCCATAAACATTTATTTTAAACAAGAATTTCTTAATGTATTTTTCCTCATATTGAACTGTTATCAATGACTTCACATTAGTAATATTTTCAAATTTCCATATACTATTAACAGTTCTACTATATCAATTTGTATGGATCAACGTCAAGGATGAACTTGATAATTTCAAATAAATTAAGTATTAAGTAGAAAATTAATAATCAATATATTTTTTGTTGTTGTGATATCTCAATGAGTAGAAAAATTGTCGTTCTGATATTTGGTGACTTAATGTTAACCACTTCTTCAGATTAAATCAATAAACGAATTCGATTATCATTGGGATGTAACAAAAAATTATTTATTATTAGTTCTACTATCGTTTTCACTATCATTAGTATTAATATAAAACTCGTTTAGTTTTGTTTTATAAGTATAAAATTTGTGATATATGTTTGTGTTTCTTTTTTGATCTAATTGTTGCCTAAAAAGTTTCATCTTTTTCATGAGGTTAACGCCATTCCAACTGTGAATACTGAATATTCGAGTCCCTAAATTTTTCATTGTGTATGTTACGTCCTTTATCTGTCTAGCCAATAATATACAGGGAAGAACTTGTCTCAATCTAGATTAAGACCTTGGTGCGATATGGTAACTAGTTTTACCTTGAGGCTACAAATACATCAGTCTGAATTGAGACTGTCTTCGGTAGAGAGATGAAAACTACTCTATCACCTGATTAGTTGGCAACCAATAGAATTAAAAAGGAGAATAGTCAACTGTAACACTACTCGATTTATTCTTGATTCCGATTTAGATTCGTGTAAATAGATGCATGGATAGATAGATAACTAACGTGACTACTACTCATAAACAATTAAAAAAATATAGTTATGTCCAAACTAGACAATAGGGTAGGAACGTAAAGTACCAAAGGTAACGTTTAAATTACTATATGTTTGAAAAGGAAACATGTATGGCAGTGAATGTTACATTGAACGAGAGCCTATGGTTTGGAGAAAAGATTAGGTAGAAAAGTAAATGTTAGTGTTTTAAAATCTTTGAAATCAGTGAAATAACATCCCTAATAAGAAATTCAGTTGTTTCTCTGTTCACACCAGTCTGCTTATAATAAGTAATAAATGTTAAGTATGTAATAAATAGACAAATGAGCGACCAACTATACTACGGTTTGTGCTACACTGAAAAAGTTGATCAGATCTTTATAAAAAAAATTATTTATTTATTTATTTATTTAAACACATATATATTTGTACAAAAGGGCACCAGGTACATATGCGCCACACAAAATAATGAAAGTAGGAAGAGAAGGGATGAAAAGATAAGGCGAACTAAACTGTACAACCAGAAGATACTTTCAAATAGGAAAGTAAGAAACATACTTCATGTAGAAAGTAAAAGAAGGTTGCAGCAGGATCGCCACTGGTTTCTATTCTGAGCCATATCTGATAACGTCTCTAGCCACTGTGTTGCACCATCTCTCGGACCCCAACCAAGGAGTCGTGAAGGACCAACAGAAGCTAGCCCTTTGCAGCTCTCTTTCATGCCACAACACCATGTCATACACTGACCTCCTCTCCGCTTTCTCCAACCAGTCCCAGAGTCGGTAAATAATGCACGACGTGGAAGTCTCTGGGACGACATTCGTAAAACATGTCCAAGCCACCGAAGTCGGTGTTTCAAGATGGTGACACCAATTGAATTATCGTCTCTGCGCCCGAACACACGATGCCAAACCTCTGCATTACTAACATGGTGTTGCCACTGGATGTCAGCAATCCTTCGGAGACAACGATGATCGAACACAGAGAGACGTCTAACATCCTCAACTCGGAGAGGCCAGGTTTCACAAGCATAGGGCAAAACTGCTCTCACCGACGCGTTGTAGATCCGACTTTTTACAGCCAGACTAACATCACGAAGGCGCCAAAGATGGCCCAGATTGGCATAAGCCGATCTGGCTTTCCTTATACGTGCATCAACCTCATCACTCACGCCACCACCAGCACTTATATAGCTACCTAGATACGCGAACTTCTCAACTACTTCGATCTCCTCACCATCCAGGGTGAGTACAGGATTAGAATCCTGCCAGTCTTGTAGGAGTACTTTGCACTTGGAGGGTGCAAAGCACATGCCGTACCTGCGGACACTGATTGCCGACCGATTGAGTGCGGATTGCATGCCTTGGGCATTATCGCACAGTAAGACAATATCATCCGAATACTCAAGGTCAAGAAGTCGTTCTCCAGGCAGCAGATCCACACTACCATTACTTACATCCATCAGAGCTGTTTCCAGGATGTCGTCGATGGCAAAGTTGAAGAGGAATGGTGAGATCGGGCAACCCTGCCTAACCCCACTGCTCGAATGGAACAAGGGAGAAAGGTGGTTGTATGCCCTCACTCTGCCTGAGGTGTTCGTGTACAGGGCCTTTAAGATGTTAATGAACTTCTCAGGCACACCCTTCTTCAATAGACAATCCCAGAGAACAGTCCTGTCCAACGAATCGAAGGCAGCCCTGATATCAAGAAACACTACTATTGTTGGCCTGCGATAAGTATGACGGTGTTCTAACATTTGGTGGAGGGTGACGATGTGATCAATGCATCCTCGACCAGAACGAAAACCAGCCTGCTCCTCGCGAGTCAATCGTTCTCGGGTTTTAAACAACCTACGAAGAATGATAGAAGCCAATAGTTTGGACGCAATCGGAAGTAGACTTATCCCCCGATAGTTATTGAAGGAACAACGTGAACCCTTTTTAAAGATAGGGACGACTATTGACTCATTCCATGATGTTGGAACACTTTCTTGCTCCCAAACCTTTCCAAACAACACAGTCAGTTCCTTAGCCAGAAAGTCGCCACCATCTTTAAAAAGAGCCGGAGGTAAGTCATCTGGGCCAGGTGATTTGTAGCGCTTCAAGAGTTGGAGTTCCTTGCGGACTTCCGCCTCGTTTGGTGGATCAGTCGTCACCGGCCATGGGGGGCAGGACAAGCTGGTCGATGTTGCCGGAGCAGCAGGCCAGTTGAACTGCCCTTCGAAAAATTCCGCCCATCGTCCAAGACGTCGAGAGATGTTAGTGATTGGCATCCCATCATCCTCGTAGATTGTTTCACTCACACCAGACTTCTTGCTGCCAGTGGCTCGGATGAGTTGGAAGAGCTTCCGGCAGTTACCAGATGCAAAAAGAATAGAAGGAACATCATTGAACCGTAAATAATAAAATTATTTTCATTTTTAATAGTTGAGATCATTAGTCAATTGAAGCTATAGATTGTTATGAAGAAAATATTATTATCATAAAGGGATTTTGTGGAGATTTAGTATATTCATAGTTGAAAGCGTGAGTCAATTGAAGCTAGACCACCGTTGAAAACCTGGAAACACTGCTGACGAGTCCCACAATAGGATGAAACAGCCATCCATTGCTTTCAGGTTTTCTACGTTGATCTAGCTTCAATTGACTGACGCTTTCAACTATGAAAATACTGAATCTCCACAAAACCCCTTCTGATAATAATAATAATCATATGCTCACTAGTGACTGACTTCGAGAGGTAAATCCAGGAGTTCTAGTGAGAAGCATATTTAACTCCGTTGTTCACCAACGCGGATAAAGTTATTTATTACATACGAGGATAGACAGTACGTACATAATTGGATGCCTCGCCGAACGAACACGGACCAGAATCGACAACCTCTGCGTACGAACTCACTACACTTATATATTATAGTAGTTACTTGTTTTCTTCATCAATCTTACTAATATTTTGTCAATTTTTAATTGTTTTCTCTCTGTCTTTCGCTCGCTCGTCCGCTCTTGTTCTACATCGCCGATATAAATATGATATTGATACATACTTTTATCATCTTCATATCAGATTCGTTGTTCAATTATTTTGTCGTATCAATTCAGATAATACATGTGTTATTAGTGAATTGAATGAACTCAATACAATTAAATTATTATCAATGACATCACCATCATCATCATTGCCATTATCATCTACAATTGTAAATCATTCTATTATTCCCAATGAGACTAATTACACAGTTGCTACTATTAATGATAATTATTCTACTGTAACCAATACTACTACTAATACTACTAATACTACTACCAATACTACTGATACTACTACTACCATGACTACTTCCACAAGTATGAAATTAGTTAATTTAAACCAATTATGGAATTTTATATTATATTCAAATAAGATAGTTTATCAAAAAATATGCAAATTATTATTACAATTATATACAAATTTCAATTCTAATATAAATTTGAATAAACGTAAAGAATTATGTTTTAATATTATGAAATTATGTTATGCCTATATTAAAAGGGATTATAATGAGGTATGTAGTTTAAATCCTTGTTTTTTTCGTTTCTCTTTTTCAATTGTTAATTCTTAGTCAATCAGTCAGTCAGTCAGTCACAACGTAGAATTTCGTACGTACGTACACCAGTTCGAGTTGTCATACTACATTAGCATAGAGATGCAGTTGTCGATTCAAATCCCATAGTTGTAGAAGTAGTAAGAGTATAAGCAACTTGCGTCATTTATGGCGTAGGCGAGATATCCGTCTAGCAAACAAAAGATGGGTTAACTGTGCAGCAGTTCGTTCCGTCCTACTTTATGGCAGTGAAACATGGCCGGTAAGAGTAGAGGATATTCGTAGGCTACTAGTATTCAATCATAGGTGTCTTCGGAGCATTACTCGTATATCCTGGGACCACCGGGTAAGTAATGCAGTTGTCAGGAAACGGTTACTAGGTAAGGATGGCAAATCGATTGATAAAGTAATTAAACTTCATCAGTTGAGATGGTTGGGATACTGTTATGCTTGATCTGAATCGATTCCGCGGTAACGAACGAAAGCCAATGACACGATAAGCTATTCTAATCTGTTGTCCCAGGCCCCGCTAACTAGATGAAGAAGTCCAAGGCAAGTAGGGGAATATATATGTATTCCGTAAGCAGCCGAGTACAGGCAATCGAATAAGGGAAAAAGTCAAGGGCATTTATACAACAACAATTTGTCCTTGAGCATCATCGGTAAATAGCACACACAAAGAAACAATGGACCAATAGCGTTTAAGTCAGTTTACAAGTAGGAGATATGACGTGAAGGTAAAAAGAGCGCGTTTGGTGCGGAAACAGCTAAATTCAAATTTTCAAAATAAAATTACAAAACTAAGCCATTTACCAAGTAAGTTCTGGGTATTTGACATCCCCAACAGATACGTGTTACGTATGACCGACCACCGACTGCCCCGACGTGCAATGTTTTATGGTGTAGGAGTAGATTGGAAGAAAGCTAGGGGCGGTCAGACCAAAATGTGGCACAAATCCATGAAGTCACTGGCAAGTGGACTGAGTCATGTTGGTAGTTGTAGACTACCTTGTTTGGATTTGCAAGATGATAGCAATGGATGGTTAAAGACCTTGAATGACATGTCTCAAAATCGTTTGCAATGGCGAAGGTGCATCCACTCTTTGTGTTCTCCCGATTTCACTGGATAATACCTCTTGAATAACATCTTCAAACCCTAATCTTTCAGATTACTACTTATACTCTTACTACTTCTACCACTATGGTATTTCAATCGACAGCTGCATCTCTGTACTAGTGTGGTATGGCAGCTCGAACTAATGTACGTACGTACGAAGTTCTACGTTGTGACTGACTGACCTATTCTTGATTACGATAGAATACGTTATATTACTAACAACACGCGAATGTGTAGAATCCCACAGTCTTAAATCAGAAGACGTAAGAAGTAGAGGGAGTGATTATTGGGTGAGAATCAGAAATGTACAGAAAAACAAGGATATTAATAGTTATTCATGTTGTCTGTAACATTACTATAATATAGTCAGTCTTTGCACGCCACGTTGATGTTCTAGAAAGTTCTATCAGGTTCTGATAGGATGAAAACCTTTCGGGTCCTTTAGAGTCTGTGGAGGTTTCATCGTACTTCTCGAAGCCATCGCAACAGTAACTAATGATCAATCGCATTCAACTTCCAATTATTAAGTCTCCAAGATGAAGTGAATCGTTGCTTGCTTCGGTTCGATCAAACGTTAAGTATCACTGGTCATAGCATCACTAAAGTGTGTTTCAGATTTAATTACGTCAAATTTGCTGTTAATAAATAAGTTACAGTGTATTGAATTAATGAGTTTATTCAGTACGATCGCTGAAAACATCGGTGGTTTGTTTGTATTTGACTGCTTTATTAAACTTAAGTTAATAAAGAGATTCAAACGAAAATGATGTCGTTCATGAAGTTGTTGTTGATTTTTCATTTCAATATCATCTATATTTTTTACTGATTTGAATATGTAGGATAATTATCACTCACGATTCAGAATTTTTTCGATTGCATAACATTAAATCGGTTATAGTGGCACAGTTTTATTCAATTTCTTATTCTCATATATTACATTTTTCTATCTCATTTACTTCCATTCGAACTATGTTCCCCATTGCTGAGCTTTCCGTTGTAGTCCCCTGTGATTGACTGCCGGTTCCAAGCCCGGATAAAGGAGGAGAGTTGGGTATGTGATTAGCAACCCCATCCCGTAGAAAACCAACCTGCATGTCCTGGATACAATCCCATGTAGAGTTGTAGCCACCCACTGCCGACCATTTCCAATATACTTGAATTAACATAAGTAATTAAACTAATTATATATATCTTAAGCAAATTTAAGTTTTTTAACGCCTTCTAAAAGATATTAAAATAAAAATCTAAAGCTTATTTCCTATCTGACTAAATTTTAATTTTTGTCAGTCAACCATTAAAATTAGATAAGGACTAGACTGCTGTTATATCCTCGTATGGAGTTCCTCAACAGTGCTCATCCACTACCATAATGAATTTTAAGCCTAAGACTCTCAAATCTCTCAACAATCATTGATCATAGATCACCAGAAATCTGAAATTTTCCTTTTGAAATATGTCACTGATGGACCATATGAACACTACTAGTATGATGGGGGGTTTATGGAGATTGACATCACGAATCGATTTTGGTTTATTTCTTTAATAAAATTTCCATTCTTTTCACCATTCAAAAAGCATCACTATATTTACACATTGTCATTTCTATCTTTTTGTATTCGTTTATAGTTAATTTCGTCTATCGAAAAACAAACAAATTATGAAGCAACACTATCACCATCATCGTCATCATTACCTACCTCGTTATCATGTGATCCTGAAATAAAATCGGCTAAATTCAAACGTATATTAAGAATTTTAAAATTATTGAAACGTTTTACAGTCAGAATGAATTTAGAAATGTATATTAATGATGCAAGTGATTATATTCCATTAAAACGGTAAGCTTTATGTGTTTTTTTGTTTGTTTGTTTAATTGTGAACTTGTAATTGACCAAACGTTTGGTAGAAAAATCTTAGGTACAGAATATATTTTTGATTGATAAGTAAATTGTTGCATAATCCACATTATCTTTTAGTAATTTCCTTCGTTTGTCTTAGAATAAACTTTCAGTTCATGCAGATGAACTATCGAATCACATGGTTTTTCGCTGTATTGAAGTGATACCGATTTTGTCACATTTTTAGTTTAAAGAGTTTACTAAAGTTAAAGGAATTGGATGGGTGAAAGAAAAAAACTGAAGACTGAAAGGATGATTTTAGGGTACATGGAATAACAGTTAGTTTAGTGAAGATTGTGTAACAAAATGAACACAGTAGTAAGATAGTAATAGTAATAACAATAATGATAATTATAAGCAAAATTGGATGGGGACTTCCAGTGGAATCCAGGACCCGCATTTCGTCCCAATTATCACTCATCAACTGGAAATACTTGCTTCCCAGATTTAACTTTCATCCCGGTATTCGAACTCAATGCCTTTCGATTTAGACTCTAGCGAGTCATCGATATAGGTACTGAGGTAGGTAGCCACCGTCTTGTCCAATGGAATAAATTTTAATTCGATTGTAATTGTTGAGAAGATTTAAATTACCAATACAAATAGATAACCATAATTTCAGAATATGTTAATCAAAATGTGAATTTATCAAGGTAATGCTAAATCGATAACGGTCTTTTTGAACTTCCTATTGGCTACTGCCTCAGAGAACCGAAGGGAAACTGCGTTATCTCATTTGATTGTAATTGTGATGGATTGAGAAATGCCATTTATATGTCCGGTATCAATTGCATGCCGAGTTGTTGCACTGTTTAGAACCGTTTCACCTCTCAGTACCAAATTCTTTGAGAGTGTTCGAAAATGTGAATATGAAATGAGGTTGCTACACTTTTTATACCGCAATTAACATGAAACTTATGTCCTATAATTCCTATCAACTCCTTATAACTATCAAAGCACAAACAGATAATTGGTCATTAAATTTCATTGCATCTACAAAGAAACTATTGAAGGCTGTTTAATATATTATTTGTAGTGTAATGACTTAATTGGAATATTTCTGATCTGGAGATTAAGCGTACATGCGTGAGACTTTTGAATCCAGTTCTTGAGTGCGGGGTTGTACGGAGGAATATCATACTGGGACGAAAACGCTGTCCAGTTCTTCCAGGTCTTCAGTGATGATGTAGATCATCTCGTAATCTAAACTAAGACTATTGCTTTTGATAATTTTTTTGTATCTTTATTCACTTTATTTTTTATTTCCATTTTGTAGTTCATGGATTGGTTCATCATTTTTCTTGACAGTCACCTGTCAAGGTTTACCAATTTTATTTCCTACCAATTGTAATAACAACAATATTAGTGCTAGTGATGATATTATTGATAATAATAAACAAATTTATCTATCTGATGGTAAAACAGTCACAATTACACTCATTGTACATGGAAATCTAACTTTAGGTGAATTACGTGTTTATCTTTTAAATTTCTGTCTACATGGTTTCACATCAATTAATAACAATTCCAATGATAACGGTAACAATTACGGTGGTAGAGCCACCAGTGGTGGTAGTAGCAGTAGTAGTAGTGGTATTCAATGTCAAGACAATAATGTTTCACATTCAATAACAAATTCAATGTATCAATTAGAATTACGTATCATAAATATGGAACAGACAAATTCAAATAATTGTATATTACATCATAATATTGATAATGAATTGTTGGTGAATTTATTTTTGTTCTATCCTAATTGGACTAGAAATTTCTTAGATAATCGTGATCATATAAATAATGATGTTTCATTTGTCCAGTAAGTGATTACAATGATGTATTGTTGATTGTATGTTTTCCTTAGTTGTTGTCAAGGTGGTCACCATCAAATTTTCTTTCGCTTTGTCGGTTCTTTTTCTACTGATATCAAATATGTAAAGCTGTTTTGCAATACCTTCTTCGTATTTTAAATGTATGTATCAACTTAGTCTAGTCAGTGAAGTAGTTGACATAGTGACCCCTTCGCTTATTTTGGAATTTAGGTCAGTTTTGGTAGGTTGGTGACTGATGAGATTTTAATCTGGAGACAAAAAGCCAGTTCACTCCATTAGTGGCATAAGTGGGATTTCTATCCGTGCATGAAAAATTGAGCATACTATTGAAAACTTTACTCTTCATTCTCTGGTGACTGAACTTCACTTTGTGTATATGTATAAGAGTTGCGTTGTTTGCTATTATTTGATGATAGGTGTTTTTGAGATATTCTTTTTGTATAATGAAATCATAAAGTGAGCTGTATTATGGCTCGATGTAGGTTACAAGTTAAAAACAGTCAATCGGTTGAAGCTTGTAATCTATCAGTTTTGGTAACCAAAAAAGGTGCCGCTGTCATCGCACACCTTAACGTTATATTCTGATCATCAATAAGAGAGATAGAAAAAATGATACTATATGCACAAAGTTGGTGGATAACGGATGTTCTTTATTGTCTTTCTTATACTATAGGAGAGATGATGTGAATATTGATGTTTATGTCAATTCTGTAATTGATATTCCTTGAATGTAGAAAAAAACCGAACTGTTAATTAATTTAAAAATCACATTGGACAGTGCCAAAAATATACCAGTGTTCTGTCTTGTCATTAAGCAGAACTAATTAACATACTTATGTGGTAATAGTTGTTGTTCTTAGTTCTCCACGTATCGGCCCCATACAGTAGAACTGTATTGACTTTTATATTGAAAATTTTGATCTTGGTGTTGGTTGACAATTGTTTTGAGTTCCAGATGTTCTTCAGTTGTAAATATGCTGCTCTTGCTTTGCCGATCCTCGCCCTCACATCTGCTTCTGATCCACCATGTTCGTCAAAGATGCTGCCCAGATATGTAAAGGTTTCCACATCCTCCAAAGCTTCTCTGTCAAATGTAATTCGATTGTTGCATGTTGTATTGTATCGGAGAGTCTTGCTTTTCCCTTTGTTTATATTGAGACCTACTGTTGCTAGGTAATAGTTATGGTTGTCAATTAATACTATTCACTGGTATAAAGTATTTAAATTGATTCCCTTTTTGAAACATCAATGATAATCTCTGAGTTTTTTATATCATCTTCCAACCTTGTTATAATTATTTACCTAATTCTTTTCCAGTCTGGAATTGTCCGCAAAATTGATGTTTACCAATAACGAACTATCATCGTCCACTACTGAATCATCAACTACAACACCTGGCTCTTTACAATTTTCTTCTTATTATCTTAAAGTATTTGATAATATTGAAGTCAACGCAACACAACAAAGTAGTAGTGATATTGCCCTAGGTCGTCTTCATACTACTGACAATACTACTACCACTATTAGTAATAATAATTCTTTGAAAGACGACGAAGATCATTTACTGCCATCAGAATTAAAGATCTTCGATTCAATAATTGATCGGAATTTTGAAGAAGAACAACTTGCAAACAATAATAATAGTAAATGTGGTAGTTTATTGGTAGATAGTAAATTGAAGATAGACGACTCTGATGCATTGAAATGCACTCAACAGTTGGATATGGATCGTGAAGGTGAATTCAGTAAGTTAGCATTTTACTACTCGTCAATTACTACTTTTAATATATATATATATATATATATATATATATATATATATATATATATAGATATAAATGCTATACTACACAAACTAAACAAGTAGGATTTTGAGGATGATTGTCTTCGCATAACCCTCAATAAGTAGTGTTTTCAAATAAGTCAATACGATTATAATAGATTGATTGAGTTGAATAATGATAAAACTCTTTAGAGAAAGAAAAGTACATTTTTCCTCAATAGCTCAAGTTTCATTAAACTTTGAAGAGGAACACATGAAGAAATAAACTGATTAATTCAACGATAAAATAGATTATCCTGTGATTGTTCAGAACTTGCAGCACAATGGAATTCCCAAGTGTCGTAATATGGCATCATGAACGATGCAATCTTACCCGTATGTGTAAGTCCTAATGGAGGACAACAATATCTTTTTTTATATTTTGCATAGCTCTATTTCAATAGTTCTTGGAATTGAAATGGTAAACAAGATTTGTTTTAGCTCAAAGAGATCATTTCAATGGGGTTGTGTTCTTTCAATGTGAGTAGTTCAGTTGCAAAACTTTGCTGTCCCTCTAGGTAACCTTATCAACACAACCTGCGAATTACTGGTGAGTTCTTCAGAGGTATCTACATTTGACGAGCATCTTGTTTTATCAACATTAAATGCACTTGAGTTGTTGTCAGTATCTGTTCTATCATTATCTGCATAAAATATTGATTGTATTCCGCCCCCCTTCACCTTTTTTTTACTCGGGATTACTCGCAGTTTCGTAGTTGCAGTGTTTTCCGAAAACTGACGATTTAAAGCCACTTAGAATGGAGTAAAATTATGTGCCTATGTATACGGATGTACTGTTAATTCCATGAACTATAATCCATTAATAACATGGTTGAATGATTATTGCTTGCCAAAAAGCTGCGTTGTTGATAAAAATCACTTATCCTGTCAATCGATACATCAATAGTTGATCAATAAAGAGAGTCATTCTCTTACTGTTTGCAAAGTTGTATGTAGAAGAATGTGATATTGAGCGCCAATGAGAAGGTCAGTCGATGGTAATCAGATGTTACCTAAAGGACAAGTGGATTTCATTAGATAGTAAAAGGATCAATTTCATATGCATTAGAATGGTATATAAATAAATTAGTATTTGTGCATTTTATCCCGTAGCCCAATTCACTTGCTGTTGTGGGATTAGCGCGTAGCACACCGTGTACCAGTATCATATTTCGGGCACCGCCCGTCACAACATGATGAAAATACAAATGAACATTGATAAAACTTATTTAAATAAGTAATTTAGGATATGGGATTTCACCACCCCACTAACCAATGAAATTGACATATTTATTTGTCAACAGACCTAATTCTTAGTCATTCTGTATATTTAGGTGTACATCTCCTGAAATCTTTGACTGGATTTTAAAACGAGAAAAACTCATTCATTCCGTATACTCAGGATATTGTTAAAGTTGTTCGTTCGACCACTTAATAGGTGAACTATCCATTCTGAAATTCACCTCTCTAAAGAATGCGTACCTGTCGAGAATAATTGCGACAAATATGCAGGAGAAACATCTTTAACAGACCAAAAACAATGTTTAAAAAGAAAACGCTGTTAGCGGGTCTTCATTTTAAAGAAGACATTGCTGATTTTAGGTTTAAAAACCGTCTAGAAACATTAATTCGAAAGATATTTAATACAGCAAATCTTCATATAAACTGCTACAGTTATCCTTTTATATCTTCATGTGAATGATAAGTTGCTACGACTGATTAGCCCAATGTACATATACCAGTCCACCTGTCTCTGTGAATATATATGTGTAAGTCGTTCGTTAAGGTCATATCTTTATTCCATTCCGGAGTGTTATAAAGTATGCCCTGAGCAGTCTTGGGTGCTATTCGGTCCTTCCTATCTGCCTAGCCCAGCCCGTTAAGTCCAGAACACAAATAACAGCCTCGGCAATATGAATCATTATTTACAAACATACTGGGTTTTTATACAAACCAAAGTAATCAATAAACTGATTATAACTCAAGAATCGTATGATCATAAATCAAAGATCAAAATAAAGCTAATGATAAGAGAAAACGAATATGAATAATTTAGTTACGTAACAACTGTACAATAAGAAATAGTCATAATACATTGGTCGATAAATAGTCCTTAGAGTTATCATTCATAATTCACCAGGGGATATAACACCTCCCCTTTTTGAGAAATCTAGAGTTGATATCCGGATTTTTAATTTCTCGAATTCATCCTCCCCCACGAAAGACTGTTGGATCCTCATGAACCCAAGTTACCATTATTGTGACATTATTTAAAACATATTCGTCGTATTTAACAGAAAATCCACCAGAACTGATTATATCGTGAGGATCGACGACATTCGATTTGAGGTCACCGGCGTCTGATTCTTTTGAAACACTTTCCTTGAATTTACTCGGAACCTCATTAGTAGATAATGAATCATTAGGATAATCAGTATCTATGAAATTTGTATTGGATTCTTGATTATCATGTAATGCATCCGATATTTTTCTCCCATTTTTATAAGAGATTTGAACTGGAACATATGAATCAGCAAAATAATCGGGATCTGGCAGAACAATTAGATAATCTTGATCATTAGATTCATAAAAAAACTTTTTTGCATCATGACTGGTTTGATTTGGCGCCACTGTATTCAATATACTGCTCGATTTGCTTCCCATTTCTTCGTGGGCGGGTACTGCAGCAATTTCATGAGCATTTGACATGGCATCATGTTGCTGAGAGCTGGGAGCATCACTGTTCGGACCTGCTAATTCAGGGATAGTGGTGTTTGAATCCACTACCGGGCACGTTTCTGAAACAGGCAGCACCGGACTACTGGGCTGATCATGTAGGACTGTTACTGCTGCATCTAAATTACTGTTTTTCGCGGATTCATAGAGGCTTTCCTCTGCATATTCATTTGTTCTGTAATCGACTTCCAGTTCTATACGCAATTTAGAAATCAATGCGTCAACTTCCGTTGCACCCCCAAAGCATGGGTGATTCAGCAGCGTCGCGTGTAACTTGTCAATGAAATCCAACTGACTCTTTTTAAAACGCTGCTCTTGTCTCTGAATTAGCAACTGAAATTGATCGGAAGTTAAAGCCATTTTTTTACCCTGTCGTCAGTTGTTATAACGTATGGACTCGTAATATATATGAACGTGCAATTAAAGAGGAGTGGATTTTACTGATCGGATGCAAATGATACTTGAAATACGTACGAGCAGTCTTGATTGCTGTATTTTTTTCCAGAATCCCCGTCGAAAACTGTATACTTTTTTCTTTTGCGTACCAAAATCCCCGTCGCCACTGCTATAACGTATGCCCTGAGCAGTCTTGGGTGCCATTCGGTCCTTCCTATCTGCCTAGCCCAGCCCGTTAAGTCCAGAACACAAATAACAGCCTCGGCAATATGAATCATTATTTACAAACATACTGGGTTTTTATACAAACCAAAGTAATCAATAAACTGATTATAACTCAAGAATCGTATGATCATAAATCAAAGATCAAAATAAAGCTAATGATAAGAGAAAACGAATATGAATAATTTAGTTACGTAACAACTGTACAATAAGAAATAGTCATAATACATTGGTCGATAAATAGTCCTTAGAGTTATCATTCATAATTCACCAGGGGATATAACACGGAGCATCTATCACTATGGTTTAGAGAAAGTCAACACAAATCAATAAACATCATCCATTCCCTAACATGTAGAAACCGTAAACTTAAGGTTCAAATTCTATCTATGTATCATATACTACCTATACTCGTATTATTTAAGATACATATTCCACCATCACACAAACGTCATTGTCTTTCTCCGAAAATACCTTTACTCTTTTTTTTGTTTTCTTTTTTCTTTTTGGTTTATAGTTTTCAATACTGATCAACGTATTGAATTCTTATTAAATTTGAGTAGGATTGCATTAGCTTTAAATCATTCTAATGTATATCATAGTATTATGCAACTACTCAATTGTATGCCATTGCATAAAAAATTAATTCAATTTATTAAAGATAGTTTAATCCAATTAGTTGATAAGAAAATTATTGAACGTTGCAATGAACAGTCTACTGAACGTAAGTTAATGTTATTTATACCTTTTTTTTCAAGATTTATTTAATGGTGGTAGTAGTAATAGTAGTGTGATGTGGTCTACTTATATACATATAAGTAATATATGGCAATGGTCAGACATAGAATGTATTTTGGCAGAAGATCGATAAGGAAAGAACTGAAAGGAGGCGCAATTGATAGAAAAATGTATGAACAATGGAATTAAAGAAGATGGATTGATATTTACAGAAGGAACAGTGAAGATTGAAACTATTGATCGTTATTTTGCAAATTAACTGTTGACTGTATTAATAAATAAATTATATATTTGTAATATCCCAATGAGTAGAAAAATTAGATTTTCTGACGTTTCGTGACTCAGTGTAAGCCACTTCTTCAGAGAAGAAGTAGGATATTACAAATATATAATTTATTTAAAACAATCTACCCAATGCTCAATTTATTCAAAAATTATCAAATGTTGACTGTATGGTTATCAGAATTTAGTGAGATAGTCTGTAATTTGTGTCTAAATACATTCGATTGTCCCCAACTAGTGTTTGTGCACTACAATAGTAGTAGTAGTAGTATGGTCATATCTTCATTTTTTAAAAAAATCGTACTTTGATCAATTAAACTGATTTTTTAACGACTTTTTTTCCCCTAAACTGACCCAAGTCGCCAAAGTAGGTGCCGTAATAGAGCAATTCTCAAGAACTTCACTATTTGAACATATATGTGATTCATGAATTATTTTGTTTTTAATTTTATGAGACAGTTGTTAATTATACAAACCATCAAATATTGTGCAAAGTAGATATTGTTTACAAAATATCCATCTTTTAAGGCGTAAGCGAACTATCCATCTTTGAACCACAGGATGAGTTTACTTCTCAACACTTCTCTCCGTCCCGCTTTATAACATAGGTATTTGTAGGTTCTTGGTATTAGATACAAGCACTGCTTGTATATTTTGTATGGGTTAGAAGTAGGGTACTGGGTAAAGATAGGAAATCTGTTGATGAGATGCTGAATGTTTGTCAACTGAGGTGGTTAGGACATGTGTTATGTCTGCCTAACCACCGCCTACCTCGACGGGCTATGTCCTCTGGTGTATAAGTAGGCTGGTAGAAAGCTAGATGTGGTCAAACGAAACATGGCATCAGCCCAAGAAGTCATTGACATTTGCATTAAGCCATGGTAATGAGTGTAGACTACCTGGTTCATGTCTACGTGGTTATCATAACCAATGGTTATAGAATTTGAATGATATGGTGCAAAAGCGTTTGCAATGACGCAGGTACATCCGTTCTTTGTCTTCTCCATTATTCCGAATTCCTCAACTTATTTTGTTGTTTATTTTATTGATTTATATTTTGTATTCGAGTAGTATCTTCGATACCTAATCTTCCTCAATACCTCTTATACTAACTAGCTCTAATATTCATGGATTTACAATTAGTTTACAATTAGTCTTCATCTTACCATAACTTTCTGTTTACCGCTTAATGAATTTGATGTATGAATTTTATGGTAATCACTTGTTTCTTCGGAGGTTAGATATAGAGGAGAAAGAAAATATACGAACTTTTCTGGTGGTTTCTCAGTTGTTCGATTTACGCTTGATTTCGAGCATTTGATCTAACCTCGTAATGACACACGACTGACTAATCTAATAATTAATTAAGTAGAACAAATTTGAGTCAAGAAAATTTGCCGCAATAAATTCACTTTTTGTGAAATGGAAGCTCAGGGATCTTATTATTCTGTCGTATTACTTACTTACGCCTGTCAGTCCCAATGGAGCATAGGCCGCTGACCAGCATTCTCCAACCCACTGTGTCCTGGGCCTTCTTTTCTAGTTCTATCCAGTTTTTGTCTATCCTTCTCATGTCTGTCTCCATTTCTCTGCGTAATGTGTTTTTTGGTCTTCCTCTTCTCCTTTGACCTTCAGGATTCCATGTGAGAGCTTGTCTTGTGACGCAATTGGGTGATTTCCTCAAACTGTGTCCTATCCACTTCCAGCGCTTCTTCCTGATTTCTTCCCCCACTGGAATGTGGTTTTTTGTCTCCCACTGTAGAATGTTGCTGATAGTGTCTGGCCATCGGATCCGAAGGATCTTGCGTAGGCAACTGTTAATAAACACCTATATCTTCTGGATAATGGCTTTCGTAGTTCTCCAGGTTTCCGCCACATACAGTAGAACTGTCTTGACATTCTATCGTATAACTAACTTGATTATCAGATACGTTAAGAAAGTAGCGCAATTACAACATTTTGTTCGCCGTATTATTATTATTATTATTACTATGTATATTCTTATTTTCTATTTCGTATTTAGCTCTCTTATCACAAACATGGTTTCATCATTTACTTACAAAACCAAATGTATCAACTGGAGTATTTCATTTATTCAATGATAAACAAATCAATTTAGAGAATACACCGAATTACATTGAATTATTGTATACAATTCAAGTTTTATATTGTTTAATGATGCCTAGTTGTTTAGTGAAACATTATCATTTCATTAAATTGAATGAAGATCATAATCAATTTCATACTTCATGTAATAATAGTAATAATATGTATAATTGTCAAGACTTCGTTCTTCCTAATACCACCACTACTAATAATAATAATAATAATAATCGGAATATCAGTAGTAACACTATGCCAAGGACAATAGATTTTACTACAAACAATTTGTTTAATCAAATTCCAGATTGGTCAGATTCCATAACTATCACCGTAAGTATTTTATTAAATGAATTTATATGTATTATGTGCTATGATTTAAGATAATTGGTAGGAGGTAGTGATCGATTATAGGTTTTTATGTTTGTGGTGCTGATCATCGAAAGTGGATTATGAAGCTTGTAAGAATTTGTGAGATAAAAAGGTATCATTCAACGTGTACACCAGAATTCTCGTTGTATCTTCCGATCTCTACGCGTATATTAAGCATTAGGATAGCACACTTGTTATGTAGTCTCTTTCTTAGAAACGGAAAGGTATTGCAAGTCAAGTATGAATTGTGGAAAATCATCTGAAATTGGAAATATGTACCAATTCAGTGCGAACTCACTTATGCTTTAAACTAAGCATTCTGAGTTCTTCTCTTCTCTATTGCTCGTATCTGCTGGGATCACCGGGTAAGTAATAGTGAGGTTAGACACAGGGTATTAGGGAATGATGGTAAATGAGTTGATAAGGTCATGAATCTTCATCGTCTGAGATGTTTGGGCCACGTGTTACGTATACCTGAACAACGATTACCACAACACGCTATGCTGATTAGTGTTGGGATGGTTGGAAGAGAGTTAGAAGCGGGCAAACCAAAACGTGATATCGGAGCATGAAGTCACTAACTTCTAGTCCGAGCCATGTTGGCAGATGCAGACTACCTGGTCAGGGTTTGCGTGATTATCGTAACCAATGGTCGGAGACTCTGTTTGACATAGCTCAGAATCGATCACAATGGCGTAGGTGTATACACTTTTTATCTTCCCTTAAACCTTGAGATTAAAATTGCTTCATATCTGTCTTTCTTTCTGTACTATATCCTTATATGCGATCTTTCTTTTATATATTACCACCACTAAATTAACTACTTCTATGAATCCGGTGTTCATCTTGTTGTGCTGGTGAGGTATAGCAACTTGGTCCAATGCATAAAGGTGCCTGGTCCTACGTTGTGACTGACTGACTGACTCTTGCTTTGAATATGATTGGAGATTGAATAGTTTCAAACTGAAATGATTATAGTCTTCCATAGTTTACAATGATTTTCCATGTGTTATGAGTTCACGACTAGAACTACCATTGTCAAATTATGTCTTTTAATTATCAAATAATTGTTTTTTGTCTGTTTGTTTCAGCTGCTTCTACTTCGTGGTGGTGCCTTAAACTTACTTCTTTCGTCTCCACTTTTAGTATCCTCATTCACTCCCACATCATCATTATATCATAAACTTATTAACTGTGATAAGAATGAAGGAAAACATGCTTTATCCCATGATCACTTACTCGATTCCCATTCTTCTCTTGGGCTTTCATCTTTTGCTAGTATTGTTAATAAAAATGATGACAATCAGATTATTTTCTATGACACAACAATTCATTGGAAACTACTCTATCACATACGTCTATGGCTATTAAGATTAATTCGTGTATTACTTATTTGTACAGCTAATACATTAGTATTATATAAACTAGATTCAACATCAGATTATATGTGTAATGTATTCAAAAAGTCATCATTTTATCAGTTATTAATTTCTCTAGCAGTCTCTGTGAAAGATTCTAGTTCCTGTCGGAATGATTTTTCATTTACCAATTCTTTACGACAAAGTTCACAACCACTGGCGCAGTCGTTATCAGATAGTACTAATACTACCACTGCTACAACGAAGATGATAACAGAAACCAATGCTACTGGAAATCTTGATGGTACTAAGGATAGTGATGATGGTGATGTAGATAATGCAGAGTGTAATATTGAACATATTTGTAAATTACTACTTCATACTTATAAATTAACTAGTAGTACAAATCATCCTGTACTAGGTGGAGATTATTTTCTACTTTTGCACGCTTTACACGTTGCACAGTTAACAATTGTATCTAATGTAAGTTGCTTATCTCCCTCCCTTTCGATGTGTATGGTGTGTATTTATTTTTATGCTTGGATCTATTTATTGGCAATTTAATAATATCATCGCAAAGCCCATTAGTTGACACTTTTTTCAATATTCAATAAACCTAAATTTTCTTCATGGAAACTCTAAATGAAGTGTGGGTTAATTAAAGTGTTGAATAGAATTTACATTTCGTTAGCTTGATGCTCAGTGATAGCTGGTCTCGGATACATCATCCTATCTCTCTCTGTGTGTGTGTCTGATTCTAAGTCCTCATGCGAACACTTTAACTATGAGATTTGTCAGAAATTGAAATCGTTATTTCAGATTAGACAGATATCTAAATCAATATCATTGTTAGTTTTTCAGTTAGTTTTTGTGTAGCATTCCTTATTGTTTTTAACTGTATGTTTATTCATAAATGCAGTACTGAAGGGAACATGAATTCCTGTTCTCATTTATTATGCCTATCATCAGAGTATCAATTGGTGTCTTTAGGATATGACCTTTGTAAGTAGAGGTCATGCATATATTCCAAGAGTATTTGGTCTTGAAAATCTTTAAATGATCAATGTTGAAGTTAAGCCTAATGTACTTGTTAAGAGTTCTCTAGGCACCACTTCGCTCGACAAGTCCTCGAACAAAAACACAGTTGGAAGGGAAGGTATTTATGTTCCAAACAACACAGGGTTAAATGGAAGTAGGAATCTCAATAAGAAAAACGTTAGTTTATTTATAGTTCTTACACAAGGAGTTTCTAAAGTTTTCTCCAGTTATCCTCCCCAACAGAATTCTTCATCGAGCATGATTCAAGCCAATCTGTATTGTTCTAACAGTACTACGTACTGATGCGTAATCGAATGATGAGACTGTAATCTTTCTTTAACTGAGGTGATCTAGCAATGTTACACATTTTATCCCACTGCCTACTTCTGTACACTAATCTGTTTGATATGAAGTCTACTACTGAGTATAAAAAATTAACTGCATCCAGGTTGTAAGTTACTATCTAAGAAATATTATTTCCATTTTCATCTTGATAACTTCCTCAGTCAGTGTACTCATTTTAAGTGTTTCAATTTGTTCTAATTCATAACTGACTAGTAGTAATAATCCCAGATTTATCTTAAATTTGCATTGAACTATCATCTCTCAAATAGAAAAAAACCAAGCTCGTCTTATTGATATATTAACAACTGTAGACTTAATAATGAACTAAATAGACATAATGTCACAATTGATTGATCACTGGGTGGTGATCAATGTCATGCGTATCAAGTCCTGTTTAGTGCTGATCGAATGCTATTGATCAAGTTGAAATGTGACCACTAGTCTAGGTGGCTCAACACTGCGTGCACTATGTTGAGATAAGATGGTCGTTGAAGGTCGTCAACAAGACATAATATGCTCAATTTCTCAAACTTTTATTCAATTTTATTTAGTCAGTTATTTATAGACAATGTAGAACTTAACCTGTGAAATATAAATCATTTCGAGTTATGATACTTGACACTAACATTTACCATAATGTAAGTTAAATAAATTGAAAAAACAATTAAATACATAGTTAATTGACGAAGTATTGGCGCATCCAAATTGTTAAAAAGTATGAAATGTATTCAGTCTCGAATTTAGACGAAGGTAAAATATTTATCCGTTTCATACTACTCACATCTAAATTCAGTGGTAAATGAATTGGATAGTAAGTTACCCTCAGAATACTGTACGAGAATCCGTTGATATAACACAGTTATTAAGTGCAAATTACTTTACGGTTAGGATTTAAGCTACACTTTATTTGTGAGCATTAATGTTTTTAGCCGTGATGTAGTTCGTAGTAGTTGGATTAGGAATTGAGTCTTAAACCTGGAGGTTAAAATTCAAACGCCCTAACAAGTACGTCCCTACTCGCCCAGAAACAATTAGTCTACATCTTTGATATAGGTAGCTTGTCAACGTGATATTCAAGCCTTGATCCTATAGATTAATGAATGATATACACATCCGTTGAGACATACTTCTAATAAGCATATCTTAAAGGCTGATGATTTTCGTGTAATCGCGTCGTAGATAATAGTTATTCATTCTGAATGGTATCACTCATCAGTTTATCTAGAAATTTACTGTTTTTACATTTATTCTAGTGAAATAATTCCTGTTATGTTTCTTAGATATCCTTAAATGAAGTGAAAAATTACTGGCTTAAAAGTAATATAAAAAGTACTTTTGGAAATCTATTCTTAACTGGATGGCAAACAAGATATGGTTGTGAAAATCCAATGGAATATTTAAAAGATTTCAGTATGAAACCTAATCGTATTGGTAAACTGCATTCATGTACTGATATAAATAATGTACAAGAAAATAATTTATTAAGAGGTAAGAATTTTATTATTTTGTACGTGAACTTTTTGATCGCAAACTTCCTAACTCCCTCATAATCCCCAGAAATCTACTTTTTAACACTGAATTGTGTAAGGACGGCTCGTTGGTAAACTCTAGGAAGCCTCAAGAAGCCCAGAAAGAGCCGAAGATATTCCATCCAATCACTGGTAGGGGAATATTGTAGAATGTCGACGTGTAGCTTCCCCATTGGATGGATAAGAACGACCCCCTATGCGCCTATTGGTTGTCCGAAATGATGATTTACTCTCAGTCAAAAACTATAAATACATGAGATTTCTGTACTATATTTTGACACTGTATTGGGGAATAAAATTCCTATTTACTAGTCTTCTGTCTCCTCACTTGCGACGTTGCGGGTTCGATCGTTCAAGTAGTCTAGTAGTACGCGACATAGCAAAAATCAAGCTCTAGATATAACAGTTGAAAAGTAGAAGGCGATAAGTATAGAATAAGCAATACTTCAAGGCTTAGTTTATGTATAGAAGACAAGAGTATTCTAGTATTATATATAACCTTTTTTTCTGGAAGATATACTAAAATTGGTAATACAGTGGTGAATTGTCTAATCTATTGCCTTCTAAAATTGTCTCAGAAGTTTCGAAAGAACTCTGATTGGTTGGAGTACTTGGTATTATTTTTCCAGGTTTTTAAGGGTTTCTCGAGGAATTATCCAGGGCTACTAACAATACTAATTTAAACAATTAGTCCCTTTTATAAATTTCGATAATACAATGAGAAGACGAAGTTTATCAAAATTATGTGCTATATTCGGGCAGTACATTTCGAACAATCTGATCATCCATATACTTGTTAAGACATTTGTATATGAAAATAAAAATGTCAACTAGACAGGTTAAAGGTAAGCTGTGACAAAAAAAGAAAATAAATAAAGTACACAAAAACAATGTGATAACCACTCTGGATAGTAAATTAATATTAGCAAGGTAGGTCAAGGATAAGAACAAATTGTTGTTGGAAACATAAAGGGGATTTCAATTTCATATTATTCTGATAAACTTCATCTTCTCATTGCATTATCGAAATATGGATTAAAACGATAATTAGTTTTTTCGTAGTCTCTATAATGGTTTTAGTCACAGATTAAACTTAGTTAGGCAATCATTAAAAAACCAGGAAGCAATGGATCGTTTTTTCTCGTTCGTTTGGGATTCTTCAGCAGTACAGATCAACAATCCCACAGAATATCGATCCTGATATATATATATATATATATATATATATATATATATAATCTGGATAAGTTTTTGCTCTAATTTCTTTTCATTCATAGATAAATCAGCTTCACCAAAAAATGATCTGTCAGTTGAATCCTTCTCTCAACTTGCATTAACGGAAAATAAATTTCAAGATATCAATGAAGATATCCTCCCAGTTAATGATATCGAACAAAGAGTTACTAATAATCTGTCTAATTCAACTCGTTTATCCTCATCAGCATTATCTTTATTATCATGTGAATCTACGTTGTCATCATCTTCCTCATCGTCAACATTATCTTCTGTTCGCCAGTTACACTCATTATCATCGTCAAGTTCATCTAATAATGAGAATATTGATGGTGGCGGTAATAATAATGGTCGTAGTAGTAATAGTAGTAGTAACAGTAGTAGTAGTGGTAGTAGTAATAATAGTGATTCCAATGATATTGAAGATAGAAATCTGTCGAAATTATTATATTCTAACTTTCATGAACAATGCTTCAATTCTTTTCGAAGTGGTGAAACTCAAGGTTCAGTAATCATAGAGGCATTAAACTGTATTACATGGTATCAATGCTTGCATCCACAGAATGAATTTTGTACATTTTTAAAGTATCCTTTATCATATAAAATGTTAGTTAGTTTATCACAGAATCATTCAACAGTAGATGATCATCGTAGTTGCTGTGATCGTCGTGGTAGCAATCATCATAAACGTTCACGTCAATATCGTCGTTATCAACCTCCTTCTGTTCTCCAGTCTCATTCTTATCAATATGATTATAATTGTCAATTAACTGGTGCAGATTTATTACAAGATTTATTATTTTCCGATTCATTAATTATTCGCATATCTACAAGATATTTTTTGCATACTTTATTAACATTTACTACAATTGAGAATAGAGATTATGCCTATTATGCATTGGAACAAATGTTCAATTGGTTACCTGTAAGTTGTGTTACATTTAGTTTGTTTATCAACTGTATCTAAATCTATGTATATTAACTTGTTAATCGTCTAGTTATTTGTTATATCGATTGAGTGAGTGTGTGCGTTCTTGACCAGTTGATATATATGAACGTGCTGGTTCCCGTCAATCAGAAAGGAGTGAATTATCGATCAAAGCAATCATACACAATATCCGTATGAAGTCTTTAGTGCTTATCAGTCCTGCTTTCTGCATAGCCCAACCAGTTAAGTCCAGTATACCAATAACTGCCTCTACAATATGAATCATTATTCTCAAACATACTGGGTTTATATATCAATCAGACTGACCGGATCGTACCATAAAATAAAAAATAATATTCGTACAAGATTTAGCTAAATGTGTCTGTGAATAGGGGAACAGTAATTAATGGACTAGAGATAACTCAAGAATGGTAAATCGTATAATAATAGTCTATAGATCAAAATAAAGCTTATAATTAGAGGGACATGAATATGAATAGTCAAGTTACTTAGCAATTATACAATAGGAAATATACATATCACATTGGTTCATAGATAGTCCTCAAAGTTACCATTCATAATTCTCCACGGGATATAACAAAAGTCAAATGGAATAAGGGCACAGCAAGGCATGGGCGGTTACCATTCATAAGTCTCCACGGGATATAACATTATCAAGATATCTTCTGTTTTGAAATATTTTTGAGAATATATATTGTGTTGGTCAATAAGAATATTTGAAAGTGTAGTTTATGCTTCCGATTTATAGTATTGGTAGGTTCAATTATCACTAAGTCTTAAGGTTTAAATAACCAATTTAGTTGTATTTCAACCATCTGTGAAGCAAATATCTAATAGATAAATCTTTACATGTTTCCCACCTTACATCATCTTGTCACAACCTGTCGTTGTCTACCTCTTTATTTTGATTGTTTCTCCCTTTGATCGGCTTCTCGGTGCTATATTTGCTTATGATTTCCCTGATTGGTCGGTAAATTAAATCAATTTCTGTGTTTGTTGATTGAACTGAGTATCAAGCTTCTGTAAAATACTTAGGTGTTTTTCGTATTTCCTCTATCCGGGATTTCAACATTTTTCTAGTCGAATGTTTGTCCATGAACATCGATGCAAGCGAAGATATATCATGGCGTTTGACCTCTAATCGATGTTCATTCAGACGAAGATGAGGAAGGTATCTACTTTTTCTTGTGGTGTGTATCTATTTACTATGTCTTCTCTAATATTTCTATTCATTTCGTTATCGTCAGAATGAATAAAACATTTTGTGATTATTATGATCAATAGTTGATGAAGTTGGCTGATATAGACCAAAACCGGTCGAAACGACACAGATGTATTCATTCTTTGTCTTACTTTCAGATCCTGAATTTTAAAATTATTTCATACTGTTTATCTTTTTAAAATCATATGGACTGTGCTCATAGTTTATTACCACTGGTACTTCTATCAATGCTTTTATATCCCTTTCCGTTTGCTGATGATACTTTGTTGTAGTTTGGATTGATACAGATTTATGCCTAATTCTGAATATTAAAGCAATTAGTCCCTTTGATAAATTTCGATAGTGTAATAAGAAGACGAAGATTATCAGAACTATGGGATGAGATATTAGCGCAATACATTTCGAACAATCTGATCACACATATACTTGTTAAGAACATTTATATATATAAATAAAAGGTCAACTAGATTGGAAATGGGGCAGAGGGTAAGATTAGACAAGGATAATAATAATAAAAATAATGTGAAAACAATTTGACACATAATCACTCTAAATAATAACCTTATATTACCAGGGTAGGTTTAAGGAGAGAACAAACTGTTTTTCTTATTTGGTCATTTGATTCTTTTTTTTGCAATCATTTTGGTACATGGTAAGCAGAGATGGATAGTGGCTAGCAGTGGAATCCAGGACGCGCGTTTCGTCCTATTTGGGACTCGTCAGCTGGATGTGCCTGCATCTCAGAGTTGATGTTCACTCTGGGACTCGAACCCAGTACCCTCGCTTCAAACGCCATCACGTTATCCACTCGGCCACTGAGTCCTGATAGCCACTTGCTTGTGCGATGGGGTGAAGTTTAAATTAATTTAGTGTTGTTTGTTTGAATCTTCCCATCGATATGCATGTTCACCCACCCTAATTTTCAGATCACGATTGCTCCTCCCTATGTATGTGTGACCACGCACACACATTTGAATTGGTAAACGCAGTGGGATGTGACACAATCGTTTTCATGTCTTTTAGGTTTTGAACGAATCATGGATCTCATTCTTTCTTTGATAATGACCTTCGCTGCACAATACGTTTTATTGATGACTGATTTAAGCCTTTGTTTTACCTCTAAATGGTAAGGTGATGTAGATAGGCTTTTTCTCCACCAATGCTACAGTAGGTCTCACTGTGCTATGAACTTTCCATCTATTAATAAATTTAGGTGGATAACCATTCCCCATTAATGTCTTGTTTAACAACTTATCATCGTCATCAATAGCGTCGTTTGTGCAAATACGATCAAGCCTGTTAAATAGGCACCTTACCAAACCCCGATTGTTCGAAATGTATTGCGCTAATATATCAAATAGTTCTGATAATCTTCGTCTTCGTAATCCTGAATTAGCTCTAGCTAAATCTAAGACGTTTTGATTAGCTCTCAGATTAGTATACTGCATATATATTTGCCTCTACGTTATAGCCGACAACTCGAAACACAATACTGAAGTGACTTTAGATTTGCATAGTATACACAGAAGAAAGAAAACCTTGGGTATATATATATATATATATATATATATATATATATAAATCCTATTGACTTGATTCTATCACCATTAATAGTAAATATCCAAATTTTGTATTTCAGAATTACGTTCTATCAAAAATAACACAATCTGATGAATATTTTAATTTACTTGTTCAAATCATTCCATTTATGCATAATCATGAACAATTTTTACAAAGTGCCCATCAATGGCTTAGAGATGAAATTGTTTGGCTTCGATCAATGGTTTGTTGCTTTTTATATTTTTCTATGGTTTCATTAGATGATAGTTGGTTTATATCATTTGTAAGAAGTGGATAATTAATTATTTATATTCGACTATTTGTCAATAAGGTAGGTAGGTAGGTATATGGAAAGTTTTGTTACTTACTTACTTACTTACGCCTGTCACCCGTCGTGGAGAAGCATAAGCCGCACATCAGCATTCTTCATCCAACCCTGTCCTGGGCAATCGTTCTCAGTTCTTTCCAGTTGTTATTCATCCTTTTCATATGTGCTTCTATTTTCCAGGCGTAATGTGTTCTTTGGTAGGAAAGTTTTGTACTATTTCAGATTTTCTTTTATGTTTGTTATCGTTCGTCGTCTAAATAATCATTTTAGATAAGTCATTCTATCTTTACGTAAATCATTACAGATAATTTAATCGTTTTCCCGTTATCATTTTAAGTAAGAAAAATGCATACTTTATATATAGTGTCATGTCTTCAAGCACTAATCAATATCACGTGATAAAGAGACTATTCAGAATTCCGATTTGAATTCTATTTTCCGTCCCTCATCTATGTTTTCCTCTTTTACTTAATATCTTAGACTAAATCAACGTCTAATCCGCACATTCAACATTGAGCCGATGCAAACTACTTTTTTATTAGTTCGCTATTCATAAGCTTTCCTTGTATTGAATTATAAGAGGACCCAGCAATGACCTTCTACTAACTATGCAATAAAATTATAAATAATCATCGGAAAATTCTCCCGAAAGTTTGAGCTTTTTCAATATTCGCCCCGTTATAACACTCATTTAGCTGGTTGTCTGACATTCTTGTTTTTCAGTGTGATTTAAGATACTAAGAATAGGGAGAATTACTATCTTGCAAGCGGTTCGTATTTGAATGCTATGCAGTTGTGTTTGACATTTGTTCTTTGTCACCTTTGAACTTGAAATAGATTTCTGTTGACAACCAAACCTGAAGTGCTTTTTTGTGTAAATTATAGTTTCCTAACAGTGTACGATCATCTGTGACGGAGATAGTTGTTCTTTTACAGGTCTGTTAGTGCCATCTAAAGACCATGATTGGCTGCTTCTAAATGAAAATCTAACTGTATTCAAAATGCAATGGAATTTTCAAAATGTTTTTTATATCAATTAGATGATTACTAAGATAACTAGTTGAGATTATTTTCAAGCCCCATTTAATCAGATTATCATAAAAAGTTCCGTATTCTCCTCTCCTCTAGAGTTTTTTTTTATTCATTTTATTGAATGAGTTCGCAAATATCATGATATCTGACTGTGGACCTTAGTGTGCTCCACCTTCTGATCAGGAATATTTACTACATATTATTTCTTTCTTCATTTTTATCTGATAGATAACTGATCGTCAATTAGGATCTTGTGACGCATCTATTTCTTATCCTTCTGTTGATATCACTCCACCGATTTTTCATTGTGCTACATCTCCAGAATCCACTGATCAATCATCACTAGACAAAGAATCCGCATGTCTCCGACCAGAGACTATTGTTCATCAATTTCATGTTATGTCCATAGAAGACAAAGATACCTTAATTTGTGGACACTTGAGAATTCTCAAATCATTGTATCAATGTATTCTAGATTCTACTCATTCTTCGGTACAATTATTAACGTGTGGAGATGATACTGATCAACTATTCGGTGAGATGAAACAAACATCAAGACAGATAAATGACTTCCCGACAATTATTGTAAACAGTGTTGATAGAAACAATGAGGATAACGTCAATTGTATAAGTACTACATCGAAAACTGTAAATACTAATGATCTACAATGTAATAAAAATTCATCAAATTATTTAATAAATCAATTGTATTTAGTTAAAGTAAGTATTTTTTCACTAGTAACTTAATATTTTAGTAATTATAGTAAAGAGATGTTATTACGTATTTGATCTTCCTACCCGATAATATATAGGGGAGAACTTGTCTCGACGTAGTGCCTTATGCAAACTGGCCTAATTTTGAGTCTGAAAATGAGTAAGTCCGAATTGAAACTAACTGCCTTGAGTAGATAGACGAAAACTACTCTATCACCTAGTTGGTTAGCAGGCAAGAGAGCGAAAACGGAGACGGATCAACTGTAACACTACTCGATTTATTCTCGATTCTGATTCCCAATTCCGATTTAGATTGGTGTAAAAAGATACATGTATAAATAAATAACTAACGTGACCATAACGCATAAACAATTAGAAAAATACAGTCCAAATTGTACAATAAGGTAGGGAAATAGAGTACCAATTAGTAGGTTTAAATTACAATGTATTTGAAAGAGAAAAAGGATATGGCAATGAATGATACACGAAACGAAAGCCTATGGTTTGTAGAATAAAGTAGGTTCAAAACTAGATGTTAGTGTTTCAAAATCTTTGAAATAAGTAAAATAACGTCTCTAATAATAAATTCAATTGTTTGTCACGGTTTTCTTGTTTCTTTGTTCATATCAAATGCTTCACATTGTGATCGCACACTTTTCTGATACTAATGTAAAAATACTGCATGCTTGAAGTTTCCAATCCACAATCTATATTTCAGAAAAGTGTAAAAATTCGGCTGAGCTCAATCAACGCTCATTATCTCCTTCACTTTCATACTGATTTGTATCGGGATCTGACTCACGATTAGTGTGCATGTGAGGGTATTGAAAAATACGTTTCATTATTTAAAACGAAACGGTCGTTCAGTGATTCCAGGTTTTCAATGGTATTCTGGCTTACATCGATTCATGAATTCAACTACCAAGAAAACTAGTCCTTCTACTGATATGTTGCAAGTTTAGACCTTACCTCAGATAATTTATTTGAAGAACCAAGTGACTCGTATGTTACGATGGTTGGAATGACAAACGAAGTTAGCTGACTTAGTGAGCACAGATAAGAAATGACCAGAATAAATATTAATAGTATTGAGTGTGGTATATGTTTCAGAAATTATTGAATCTATCCGATTCTTACTCTAGTGGCTAAGAATGAATTAAGAATTAAAGTCAGGAGAACACTGTTAATGCACGTAAATGGTGTTGTACTATAACTACTAATAAAACTCTCTATAACACTCAAAACATATATCACTCTATTCAGATATCAAACGAACACAAACTTGTAAGATTTCCTTAGATAAATCTGAATGACATAGTTCCTACTTCATTATCTAAGTTTTGAATTGCTTGTGTCTAACTACTTAATTTCGATGAGTAGTACACTACGTTTGATCGTTATAATTTTTTTTATACTTTGCTTGTTTGTAGGACTTAGTTGAACTTTTACTGTTTCCCGCTTCGAAACAGTATAACGAAATACGCAGGTCTACAATATGCTCACAAATCAATAACCATCATAACATAATAAACTGTGACTACAACAATATTAACAATGACATGATTGATCATAATTCTTATTCTCCATTATCTACATCACATTTCTCCACATTTTCTAATTTATCATGTTCAAGAAAATTAATGAATTCAACTTTTGATTTCCTCCTATCAATAACTATTCGTAATCCATTGAATAGTCAGTTATTAACAACTATGCTGTATGATTTGATTTTTTCTAGTAAGTTTAAAACTATATCAGTAATGATAATGCATAACTGTCTAAAACGATGGACATGTGTTTGGTTTAGAGGAATAATCTTAAGGTTAAGAACTGAGTAGCTTTCATTATGTAGAGTAATGTTGTTATGCTACCAAATGCCCTGGTACAGCCGAGAGTAGGGAGAGTCCGCTCTCCCTCTCGAAATGCTCTCACATGGCCACGCGTATATAGCCTCTGTCAGGGAAGTCCTACTCACTGCCTTCTCACACCACGGCTGTCGCCTACGAAATTGAGAGGACATAAAGCGAATGTCCGGCGCTTTAACCGGGTTGATGGACATGGCGCGTCCACCTAGGGGAGTTGGAAAACCCTGATTCCAAACCAATGGTGCATATGAACTCCAGTATCCTGATGGAACAAATAGGGTATGAATCAATCGTTGGTCACCGGCTACCGTGGGACTGGATCTCCTGACGTTGCTCCACTACCTTGTGGATCAGACATTTAGGCCGAAGTCTCCGTGTGTGGCCCCTAAGTAAACCACCTGCTTCAGTTTGGGCACCTGGACAGTATCACAGCCCTCACACTAATCGAATGAGATTTGTGAGGCGCATATGTATCTGGTGCTTCCTTGTACCAATATTCATATGTTTAAATAATAATAATACCAGTAATTGGTGATTGAAAAACATCATATATTCATATTTTAGCCAATGCAAGACCTGTGAATTTCAACTGGAATTATAATTTTGGATTAAATTCTACTAATTCAACATCATTATTACCATCATCATCAATTTTATCTGATCATATTGATAAAAACAATTGGACTAATAATGATTATAGCAATTACAACCGTAATGAAAATGATATGAGTATTACACATCGTTTTGTTGGTCTTAAAAATGGTGGAGCTACATGTTATATGAATTCTATTATACAACAGTTGTTTACACTAGATCCAATTCGTGATTGTATACTTAGTGCAAATCCAGAATCTCTACTCATAGATTGTAAGTTGTTGATTGATAAAGAAGCTTCAAAAACGATGAATACTTCAACTGTGCTTACAACTTCAACAATCTCCGGTGATGATATCGCTGACAATATTTGTCAACAAAGATTAGTGAGTTTGATCATGTCACTCTGTCTTTATTCAAGTGTTTACTGTCTATTAGTCAATATTACCCAAAGAACTATTTAGCTAGCTAGCTGACTGTAACATTTTTAGCTATAAGTTATAATAATAAGTAGTTTTATGCGTTAATTGAATTGAACTTGTAAACTGTATGTTTCAGTTTTGAATCGTCTTTTGTCTACTCTGGTTTGAAAAGTAACAACTGGATAGTATCGCTAACCACCACACATTGTTGGTCGAATTTCAGTACGTAAAGACATTGTTGTATATTGTGTAATTTCATGGATAGAATGCCTATACATGGAACCATGAAGTAGGGTAAGAGTTACAGCAAAAATTATATTTGAAACTTAGCAATACTACATTCAGATATTGATGCTTCTTCAGAATTGGGTCGTATAAATTTGTGTTTTTATTTTCGACTTATGATATGCTTGAGGCTGATTACTTTTTCTCCTTACTCGGTAAACGGAACGAAGTGACACGATAGGTTATTCTAATTCGCCCCGATAACTAGAGTGAGAAATCCAAGATGGGAGTGGGGAAAATATACTCCGTAAGCAGCCAGAAGCACAAGCAATCACAACAGGAAGAAATCAAACGTATATATGCAGCATAAAACTGTCCTTGGGAAACGTTACAAAATAGCATACTAAAAGATACAACGGGCCAATAGCTTTTAAGATTTTCACAAGTGAGAAATACGACGTGGAGGTAAAAAGTGCGCTTTTGGCGCTAAAACTAAGAAATTCAAATTTTCGAAATAAAATTGCAAAAATAAGTCATCTACCAAGTGACTTCTGGGGATCTGACATCTTCAACAACTTACAATCGTTATTCACTAATCGGAATGTTAGATCTCTTGTCATTTATACTGCTGCAATAATGCATATGATATGTTTTGACCTATCATCATCATTACCACCGTGTATATCATTTTCGACCCCCATATTTCCTAATTTTTTTACATTTTACCTTCTCATTTTCTACCTCTTTTCTATCCTGTTATGTAAAAGGTTGAAATGATTTGAATCCTCTATTTGCACATTTTTCGTTATTCTGCATTCTTATTTGTTCATTTCGGAACTGTATAACTTATGCTGAACAGTTATATACTATACTGACTATAACTAGTTTACCTATGTGTTTGCTTTCTTCGTATCTTTTATTTCTGTCGATGTGTTGACGTCACTTATGACAGCTTGGATTAAATATAATCGAACAAAAAAATACTTTCACCACACTGTTGTCCCTGTGGTCAGGCCGTTCTTACAGGAGAGCAGTTGTATAGTCGCTCTCTAGACTAAATACTTATTAGTTCACTTAAATTATCAGGAGGACCGGTGGCCATCGATTTTGCAGATTGACAAATCGGTCAATCAACAACAATCAAGACCTTGACCATTATTGATCGTCAACCTCCTAACCCACTGACCAATTAGAATACAGAATAGGAAACACATAAGTTCTCATTTGTACTCTGTTCAGTCATCAATGAATACGCATAAAATAATATACGTGGAATGTTTGGCCATACAATTGCACAAATGGGGCTTACAATGTTCGGGATAATGTAGTCATATGTGATAGAAAAGTAGAATAATAGGGAAATAGTTGATTAGTGATGATTCTGTAATAATAAGATATATGTGAACGATTTATTGGTCAAGCACGGAAGCTTAGAAATAGGTGAATATAAAAATACAACAGTTTAAGCTTCTACTAATCATATAATAAAACTATAAGTAGTAATTGTAAGAAAAGCTGAATAGTAGCTAGCAGTGGAATCCAGGACCCGCGTTTCGTCCTATTTGGGACTCGTCAGCTGGATGTGCCTGCATCTCAAAGTTGATGTTCACTCTGGAACTCGAACCCAGTACCTTTCGCCACTTGCATGTGCTATTAGGTGAAGTTTTATTTCATTTAGTATTGTTTGTTTGAATCTTCCCATTGATGTGTTAGGACTGCAACTGGTCAGTCTGTAATTGGCATATGTGCGTATTGCCTCGATATAGCCTATCCATCTTTGCTTACAATGCTTGTGAATTAAGACAATATCGAGGCAATACGCACAGTATGCACATATGCCAATTAGAGACTGACCAGTTTCAGTCCTAACATATTGATGGGAAGATTCAAACAAACAATACTAAATGAAATTATAAGTAGTAATCCTTCATATCATAAATTCAGTTATATTTTGACAGAACTCGCTCTGCTCTATCGGATTGGCTGTTTATTTAGACCAAGTTTTACTGTTGTCTATGATTTTCTAAATAACGTTTTTACGTTTATGTATTCAAGTTTTGTTTTTTCTAAATGCATTCCATTATATGAAGGATGAGGAATCAAAAGTCAACACTCCGATCCCCAATGATCAGTCATCACAAGAGTCAGAATTCAAACCTTTAAATAAAGAAAAAATTCATCATCTAAATGTGTTATATCATATGCAAACTATTTTTGGACATTTAGCTTATAGCCGTGTTAAATATTATGCGCCAGTAGAATTTTGGCGTCATTTCAAGTAAGTTTTATTGCCGGATCACATTCATTGACCAGACATTGAATAATTGTTTGTCTCTGTTCTATCTTTTCATTGTGATTTTTAAGGGACGTTTGTATCCGTTGTATGAGTAGAAAAGTCAATCAATCTATGTAATTTAGCGGTTGATGAGATTTAAGTCCGAATAGATAATAAATGTTCGCTTTAATTTAGACCGATTACTTACTACTTGTAGCACGGATAAGATATCTATCTATCTCACGACGAGTATACTGTGCAACATTGAGCTATGTATTGATTTACAATCTCACTATTACGGCTTATAATTTAAATGGTCATGCATCGGTTATACTTGTAATTGAACAAGTGATCTGCGAAGTGAGAATATATGTACATTACTATAGCTTGAACCATATGATCTGTTATCATCTACTCTGTTTTCTTATCCTGGTTAGCAGTGAACGAGACTTCATTGCAAACTTCCTTGTTGTGTTTGATGTGGTTTTCAAAAGATGTGAATCGTGTGTAGCTTATATTTCCTAACAGAATATTGATTAAATAGTATTATTTCATCAGTAATGAATTGAAGAACAATCGGGTTTCTGAAAACATACTGATGAATAACAATACAACTGCCTGCAATTGCTACACTACATCAGTGTCGTGAAATTAAATTAATAAAATTGAATTCCAAGGTAGTTGAAATGAAAATGATTCGAGAAAGAAAGTGTGAATTAAGTTAACCGAAATGTATAATATAATTCGAGAAATCGTAGTCTAGAGACAAGCGAAGAATCAATCACTTTCTTAGGTCACTTTTCACAGTAATCAGGTGAAATTATACTTGTCTTTTCTTTGTCAAACGAAAACCTTTGCCATATCATAAGTGATGGAAGTTGGTGAAAGACAGGTGAGCTTTCTGAATCCGTGCTGAGCTTTTGATAAATCTCAACTAACCAGGATTGATAAGACTTCCACGATAAATGAAGTGGCCGATGTGCTCAACTTCTTTCTTCCTGATGATCAATTTAGTAGATTATTCAAATCAGTCATAAATCAAAATTTTGCATTATTTCCTGAGGGCATCGATAAACTGTGCATTTTTTCAACAGAATTATGCCATTGATAACGTGGTATTCTGGTAGGAGATTACTTTTAACATTTTGGTAAAGAAAGCGTTTTTGTTGGAAAAAGAAATATCGAGGTCGCGTTTTTCTAATGTCTCATGTTGTGAGGAAGGTAAGACCCTTTGAGATTTTGGTTATACTAGGGAAGCGCCTCACTCTCGTCACGTTGATGTTCAAACTCCACCCTCAGCCTTTAAGTTATTTCTTTTAGTCTAACGGCTCTTTGATCAACCTATGTAGCATGATTAAACCTAAAAGCTACAATCATAATAACTGATATCATTTACTACATAGATATCCTTATGTTTATTAAAAGAGATACTATTCGTCGTTGAATCACCAAACAAGTTACATTGCAATCTAACTAATTACTCGTCATCTTGGTACATAAATATATCTTATCTACTTTTTCGTCCTCATTTTGTCCTTATAATAACAATAACTAGATTTCGTGCAGAAGCTGTACATGTTAGAGAACAACATGATGCATTGGAATTTTTTCAAATACTTGGTAATGATTTGGATGAAGCTTTAGAATTATGCAAATTACCTAAAATTGTTGAAGTTGTTTTAGGTGGTAAATTTGCTGATCAAAAGATCTGTTTGGATTGTCCACATCGGTAAGCTTATATTGATTTCATACAATGTGATCAATCATCGAATATCTTTGAACAGTTAATGGTTTATCATGAGATCATACTTGACCTCTTATTCCAAATTATTATTATCTTTATTACTACTGTTAATAATAATAATAATAATATGATTATGGATTTTGTATATTTATACTTTAAAGGAGTTCGGTAAAACAACAATGAATGAGTTGTGCTGAATATCGAAAATAAACTCAGTTGATCATCTCTCGAGAATTTAATGGGTTATGAGAATATCAAAATACGACACGCTATATTTGGTTGTAAATAGCGCGTTAACAATAATCATTCTTTAAAAGTATTAAGTGATATGATCTACAATTGGTCACAATGTTCCAAATTCATTAACTGTCTCTGCACTACTGCTTCTGCGAGAAGTCCTGATATTGGTGATCCTATTGGTATCCCTTTTGTTTGTTCCTAGATTTTGTTGTTGAATTGGAAATATGTTGTTAGACATAAATCTGTCAGTTCTAGTAGGCTTTGACTTTGAAGCTTCGTGTATTCTGCGAGATTTTTGTCGTTGGTTATAAGCAAGAATAGAGTTTCTTTTGTTAAGCTTGGTTCAATTGAAGTGAATAGCGCTGTTACGTCGAAGGATATCATTCGCTCGTCGTCATTGATTTGAATGTTCTAAATCTGATGAAGAAATTGTGTGGCGGATTTGATGGAATGGTTCGACGAATCCACTAAATTTTTCAGTATTCGTGAGATTTCTCTTGACAAATTGCACATTGGTGTTCCTGGTAGTGCTATAGTTGGACGTAGAGGGATGTTTGATTTGTGTATCTTTGGTCTGCCGTAGAGTCGAGGGAGTACTGGTCCATTGGATTTCATTGTCCATTGATCTTGTTTTGTTATTTCTCCTGCTTTGACGAGCTTGTTTAAAGTTTTTGAAATACGATTGTCTAGTTTTTCGACTGGATTTATGTCCATCTACCCGAAGTTTGTGTTGATGACGTCCGATTTTCAGATAATAAATCGCGGATTTGAATGCTACTATATATACTGCAGTTTGGTCAATCGAATAGTATCAATAGCCTTAAAACCTATGGTACAATTTGAAACCAAGTACAACAAATCTGATCTGGTAAACGTGTCAAATATTTATCGAATGGACCTAAAGTATTTTTGGAAAAGAACCCCAGAGGGGCATTCAAAACTCTGAGAATAGTACACTATCCAATTAGCACTGAACAGAGGCATTTCGGAAACATCTGCAAAATTAAAAGTCATGTTTCACATTTATGACTGAATGATCGCTTATCTTGTTGCTATATTTAGTAAGGTTCCAGAAACTCAAGGCCATCTAAAATCCTATAAACACACTCGATTTTCTTTACATAAACTGACTTTACAGTAAAGCACTTTTTCATCATTTTGCACCTTTACGTGTAGATTTAGCTCTGGGGTTACTAGAAGAGCTCAGGAAACGGATTCAAGAGTTCAGTCAAAATTTTTATCAATATTATTTTGCGATAGTGCCGAAATATGACTATGTATACTAGTGAAAGTCGGTCAGACCTGTAATACTCAACCAAGTTATAAATTCTAAATACAACATTGACGTGTTGAACAATATTTGTAGTTCAACAAGATGGTTTTCTGAAGGTTAAAATTCTCTGAGCATACTAAGTTAGCTAAAGTGAGAACTGAAATTTACCAGTAAATACATATTTGAAGGGGTTTTTGTGAAGATTTCATTATTTTCATAATTGAAATCATGAGTCAATTGAAACTAAACCACCATGGAAAACCTGGAAGCACTGGACGACCGATTCGTCCCGTTTCGCGAGACGGGATTATGGATGCTCACTGCTGAGGAGTCCCACAATAGGACGAACCGGTTGTCAAAGGCTTCCAGGTTTTCCATGGTGGTCTAGCTTCAATGGACTCATGATTTCAACTATGAAAATACATATTACTTCTTTATATCAAATTACATCATATGATTAGCTTTCCTTTTATTATTTTCTTTTCTTTAGATATACAAGTTATGAATCATTTACTACACTTAATGTTGATATATTAGATCATAGAAATTTAATTGATTCATTAGAACAATATGTAAAAGGTGAATTATTAGAAGGTGATAATGCATATCATTGTAGACTATGCAATAAAAAAATACCAATATTAAAACGAATGTGTATTCAAAAATTACCATTAGTATTAACTATTCAATTAAAACGTTTCGATTATGATTGGGAACAGTAAGTGGGTTCATTATTTCGCTTTCATTGATTTCATGTTTATAATCAATCAGATTGTTATACATCAATATAAAACCAAATGAACTATCTTTCTCACTAGTACTCAATTGACCAGTCCACTAATTCGCTTGAATGGATCAGTATGAGGATGATATATGGTGGTGAAAGTAAAATATGATCGATCACTTATCCTAGACAAACAGGCATAGTCTATGGACTACTAAATATATGTGATCGATTGTAATTGTATTCAGTAAAGTATTATCTGGTAGTAATCGGGCTCTCTATTGTAGATTGTGCGATCATGGTTTTGATATAACGTGACTAGTTTTATTATCGTAATATACTTGAGGGCGAGATGAATATTTGAAACAACCGTTATATCAGAGGACTAACTTGGTCCCTTGAATCGTTGATGAGAGAGATTTGTGAAAATATAAAACCACAAGCCAGCCGTCTGATCGATTGTATATTAACAGTGATTGAAAATCTTACACCATTTTAGATTTCTTAAATATTTAACTAAAATTTACACCGTTTAGTCAGTGATTGTTAAGCAATATTTTGTGTATAATTTTCTTAGTACTGATTTAATTCTACCGATTACTTTCCAATAAACCGGCTAGTCTAAATAGCTGGATATCGCATGGAGTATTTATTTGATTTATGTTGGTTGGAGTTATTCTAGAGGAAATTCTAATGCTTCTCGTGTTCGATTTCAACCTGTCTACTACTTTCAACCGCCTAATATCTAGTTTTAACATTATGACAATCAGTTATCAGTCAATTAATAAGGTGTATCACCAAGGCTACAAATGAAGTTCACCATTAAACTTTTAAAATTATAAATCCAACCTTTTTTATTTGTGTGTGAATTTAAATTATACTGGATATAGAAGTAGACAGTATCATTCATGTTTAGTTACACAGATTGCATGATGAAAATCTTTTTCAGTTGCTAATTCTTTCCTCTGAAATTGATGAGAAACTATTCTACATTCTGTCTATCGTTAAGGTGTTTAAACGTCAGTCATGTTACCTCTGAGTCTTATTGATAGATGAATATCAAAGATCATGTAAAGTGAAATCTATAATTTTATACTGACTAGTTTCGATCACCTATCGTCATGAAGGTGCATTATTATATCAGGTGACTTATTCTGTTGGTTGTATTTCTGAGTTGATCTATCAAATCTAGTCAGCATTAATAGACTAGGTAGTATGATTTTACTTAGAAACTATTGACCAATCAATATAAACTGAAATGGTAGAATAAAGAAACTGACAAAAACGTCATTGATTGCTTCTTGCTAAGATGTTTACTTCAGACAACCAGCATAACAGAGATGCTGCCATCCCACAAGGAGAGGTGGGGTTAGAAGAGGTCGACCCTGAAATTCACACCTCGCCTTATCCCAAGGATATCCGTCTCCGGCGGTAAGGTCTTTTGAAGAACGGAGCTAACACAAAAGCTACCCACAAAAAGATCGTGTGTGACCGACGTCAAGCAGTTATCCCTTGGGCACCGCGGTCACGCTCTCAGGTCATTAAGACCACTTCTAACCCAATTCCCTTTTCAGGTACCCCTAGAAGAACCCTTCCACGCTGTGGGCAACCGGAAAGTGATAATTGCCCTAATACCTCTAACAGCACTCAATGACTGACTGACTGAACTTATCATTCCTTAGATAACCATCATAAAGTCTTTTTATTATAATAAATCCAGTATGCAGAAGTATTTCCTTGATGTTTCTCAATTTTCTTTATTTGTTTATTTTGCCTCCTCATCGTCCTTACTATATTTAACCATTATTGAATTCTACTTTTCTCCGATATAGGGGTGTTTCACTTAAATTTAATAATTATTGTGAATTCCCACGTCATTTGGATATGTTACCATATACTGTCCAAGGTTTAAAAGACTCTACAGATTCATCGTCCTGTATAACTACTGATGTCATCAATAACACCAATGATAATAATGATGATAATAATAATGATGATAATAATCCATGTACAAAATATAATTTACGCGGTGTAGTTGTTCATAGTGGTCAAGCATCATCTGGACATTATTATTCATTTATTCGACATTATCGACCACGAACAAAAACATTTAAATGGTATAAATATGATGATCATAATGTAAGTTCAAGTTTGTTTGATTAATTATTCTTTAGTAAGCATATTAAAATATGAGGATGACATGGCCGTCTAGTGCTTTCAAGTTTTCACTGTGGATCTAGCTTAGATCGACTCATGAATTTAACTATTAAAATTGCTACAATCTTCATAAATTCTCTTTGTGAACAGTCGAAATGAAGACAACTTTTATATGATATGATTTTATTGGTGGACATAAGTCAGTGATCCATTCCAATATATAAAAAAAATTGTTACTTAAATCCTAATTTGTTTATTTTTGTGATACTGTTATGTGATTACACCTTTTTGTTTAATGAAAGATAATATAAATTGTTGGTATAATTCATTCAGTCAGTCAGCTACAATGAAAGACCAGGCACATTTATGCATCGGTCCAAGTTGCCATACCTCGTTAGCACAACAAGATGAACAACGGATTCATAGAAGTAGTTAATTTAGTGGTGGTAGTATTTAAAATATAGGTTGTATATAATCCTGTCAATAATCAAACATCAAACCTTCATATTTCACGATAAGTGCTTTGGCATTAGAAGTCTGATTTGACATCTACCACTATACATTCCTAGTTTTAATAAATCCATCTTATAATGTAACAATCATTTAATCGGATTGTTTCACTGCTACGTAGTGTGGTGCGGTCTACTTATATCCATATAAGTATCATATGGTGATAGAATGTATTTTGACAGAAGATCGGTAAGGAAAGAACAGAAATTAAGCGTAATCTGTATGAAAATGCATGAACAATGAAATCAAAGAACACGGACTGATATTTACAGAAGGTACAGTTAAGATTGAGAAAATTGATGGTTATTTTGCAAATTAACTATTGACTGTATAGTTATAAGAATTTACTGAGTGTAATTTGTGCTTAAATACATTCGATTGTCCCCAAATAGTGTTTTGTTCACTATAGTAGGAATCTGATACTAGGACAAAGCATCTATCTAGTGCAACCTTGTTTCTAAGATTATCTTAACTAAATTTAATTCGTAGATAGTTCTTTTTAAGCCTATTGATTCATACTAACCAATTTTACTCATAGTAACAGTTTGATCTCATTAAATAATTTCATTTTACACAGTTGGAAAAAATCAATGGGAAGAATGTAGAATCATTTATTTATGTTGTGTAAATACATAGTTTCCATCATACTATTATCATTATTGAATTCATGTTTCATGTTTTTTTTTTCTCCTTTTACCATAGTAACTATTCACATACATGCTATATATGCATAACTTATCATAGTTTTAATCACGTTAATCAATTTTCTTTTTTTACATAACAAATGAAATTATGTTTTCCTTTTTTTTTTTTATAAGAATATAGTGAACAATTCTGATAGATTAAATCATTCTTAAGAACCAAGATAGAGAGAAATATTTTAGATCAGAAAGGGTTTTGTGGAGATTTCAATTTTTTCATAGTTGAAATCATGAGTCCATTAAAGTTAGACCACCATGGAAAACCTGGAAGCACTAGAGGGCCGTTTCGTCCTATTGTGGGATTCCTCAGCAGTGTGCATCCACGATCCCACACTCGCGAGACTGGTAGGTCCTGGGTTCGAATCTCGCGTGTGCGGGATCGTGGATGCGCACTGCTGAGGAGAAATATTTTAGCTTAGAACCCATAAGAATAAGTTTTCGTACTAGATTTATTTTTAAACAAGTATTAGGAAGTTGAAGTGAACTCCCGATCTGGTAACTAATGAAGAACTATAAAGTTTCCAACCTTTCTATCTTGTATTAACCTAAGAAGATTTTATTAACAATTTCGATAAGTGAGCTTAGAGGGTTTTTTAAGGTTGATATTATTACATTTGACAGCCTGTTTAATGCTTTTTTTAGTTTTTTAATGCTAACTGACTCTGTTAGGCTACTCGATACATATTCCTTCAAGAATTCGAAGGTAGATCTCCACGACCAAACCATCCAGCTCAGAGAACAAACCAACATCAAAATCACCCACCTGAGCTACAAATCTTCTCCACCATCTCAAGATCTAATGCTTCCAGACAGTTTTTATCATCGCACTTGAAAAATATAAGATTGATTTTTCAATGATGTTTAGTGAACTAAATTCTTATTAAATACAAATCAAGCAATCTTGGGACCGTCAGCAAACGCTTTTATTGCTTATTTATATGGACTGAGTACTATGGGTACAATGGCCATTCCGTATAGACTATCTAGACGATTAGCGTACATATAGAGGGAGAGAATGAATGGTTGGCTACTAGAAAGACATACGCTTATGCGGTCACGTCCGGTATTAACGAATTTCATAGCAATAGAGAAAGGAAAATAAATCGGTCAAACGAGCATATATGCCGACTGCGAAGTTGAAAACGTCAGTGAATACAATATGGTATCACACATAACGATAAAATGTTCGTCAGATCCAGAATATAAAAGAATTGTCCCAGAACGCTTATTTAAGGCGGATGCAAATTTATCATCAACTGTGATTTAAGAGTACGATATTTATTTTTAGAATGTGAAATTCGCCTTATCTACTGTACTTTAGCAGATGATCAGAAATTGAATATCTCTCAAGATTACGAAGAAATAGAGATCGCACGCAAGAGGTGTGCATGGCTTTAGTTGGTTAAGAATGTTTGTTTTTATTATCGTGTTACATAACGTATATTATACAATCAGTAGTGACAATTGACACAGTCTTGTTGCCGTTGCAAGCTTACTAGCTTGACTGCAGAAGCCTCTGAGGCAACTGTGATCCACTGACCGGATGACCGACTCCGGTGGAGCTATACATTCATTGAGATTGATTCAGCCTTTGGCATTGACTCACTGCCCACCTACGGACGTGTGTTATCGTTGATATACGTCTAGTAGTTGGTTAGTAGCCCATGGTCAACCTGTGCTGAAGGCCCAATTAAACTGTACCACACACGGTCAGGTTTTAGAATCAAATCAGACATGCATCAACCTTTTTTTACTGTGTTCAATTTTACAGATTTATTGTTAACCTCCACATACAATAAGTGCATGAGCACTTCTTTATTCAACTAATGAAGGAATACTTGATGATATTTTTAACTGACATTAACTGGATGGTTTATGTTTCAGAAATTTGCTCTATTCACTGTCCTTTTTTTCTTATTCGTTGTTTCTATTACAATCAAGGTTATCCCTGTTCGGTTAGATAAAGATGAAGAGGCTATGGACCAGTGGTTCGGTGGTGAATGGAAAGTTCCACCACATGATCTGTCGAAATTTACTCATTTAAGATCTGGTAAACGTTGGTGGAGTGCATATTTATTATTCTATGAACGTGAGGATTTCCATGAACAAATTAAAAACATATCAATATCTAAATTAGGTATGTTTCTATGCTTGCTTTTATTTATTTCTGCAGAAATTGGTTTTAAAATAATGATAGCTACTGATTGAGTGAACAATTAGTTCTTGATTCATATAAAAAATCGACGTATCACAATTTGCACTACATGATTCAATTTAATTATTCATTAGGTCTGTTTTCATAGGTCATCATAGCTATTCTTCAATGTCAGCTATGCACTTGATGCAGTTTATAATTCTTTTATTTTCTGCACATTTACTCTTGTTATGTGATGGATTGAGATGAGGATTGAATTTGAGAAAAAAAACATCTACATTACAACACATTGTCTCGAAGTACGTAACTCCACTGATCAAGTCAATTTTCTTCAACCTTACATTCTTGGCTGTACATAATTCGAGTAATTCCTACTGGGTTGTTTATTCTGTCGTTTAACCAATCAACCAAATGCGCTGGTACGGCCGAGAGTTTGAGAGTCCTCTCTCTCTCTTGAAATGCTCTCAAATGGCAACGGGTATATAGATTCTGCCAGGAAAGTCCTACTCACTGCTTTCTCGTGGCATTACTGTTGTTTACGAAATTTAGAAGACGAAAAGCAAATGTCTGGCGCTTTAACCGGGTTGGTGGATGTGGAGGATCCATCTAGGGGAGTTGGAAAACTCTGATTCCAAACCAATGGTGCACATGGGCTCCATCCAGTACCTTGAGGGAACAAATGACGTATGAATCAATCGTTAGTCATCGGCTACCATGGGACTACATCTTTTTACGATGCTCCACTGCCTTGTGGATCACATCTTTAGGTCAAAGGCTCCGGGTGTGGCCCCCTAAGAAAACCACCTGTTTCATTTTGAGCACCCGGGTAGTATCACAGTTCTCACACAAATCAAATAAGATTTGTGTGGCGCATATGTTTTTGGTACCCCTTTGTTCCAATATTTATGTGTTCAAATAAATGTATGTGTGTGTGTTCATTTACTTGATTAACGAAAAATATTACATAACCAATTGTAATTTTAATAAGATGGCATCTTTGTTTCTTTTAATGCATCTTTTAAATTATTTCCGGTTATCAAGGTTTAAATCCAAAACAATCGAGACTAACTAAACGTGTACAGGATATTGTAAATTGGCAAAATATTGAACATTTACATCATCGTATTCAATTTGACCCATTACTTCCAGAATTCATTTATAATTTAATTAATAACAATATACAATTGTGTATGGTAAGTAATATTCAATGATTGTTATTCATTGTTAAATTTCTGAGTATCTAAAATAGTGATTACTATAAAAGAATTATATCTAATTAATATTTAAACATTAAACCATTGACTCAAGTCCAATGGAACTTGTGTTCTAAATGTTGATTCTCTATGAATATGAAAAGTACCTGGAACTGCCTGTGTGTTCTCTCTTTTAGCCCTGTTGATTGAAGCGGTGAATAAATTTTCCTCTTTTCCAATCATTTGGGGGTCGGGGAGAAAGCTATATATATATATATATATGATTTTGTAAATGAGTTAATCCGTTGTTATCAATTCTTATAGCTGTAGATTAAATATGATATGCTTGTAACATTTTTTTAAGTGATTTCACAATAATTGACAAAATTGTACGCAAGTATGTAGGTACTCTAGAACTTTTATACTTTTGCTTGATTTCATGGATTCTAATGTATTGGCGCCTCGTTTTACCCAAAAATATATGAGGAAAAAGGTATGGATGAAGTTAGTATCTGTTATGATAATACTAGTGAGGAGTTTGCTAGAATTTAAATATCTATCTCCAACCATATTGATAATGACCTCAAAAAATTCACCACACACCTTGCTAACTGCCTTGAACACATCGTAGAAGATAAAAATTGAATTTATTTACATCATTGCAGCTTATACTAGGTTATGTCGCATGACGTTTTCAGTTATGGATGTGAATCATCACTTAGATCCTATATGCGCCAGTTGTACTTCTTCACATGAAGAACTACCACGTCCAATGATTTAATGATACCAATAATCAATGTATCACAATTTTAACCTCCTTCAAGCGGACTCGTTAAACTATATTGCATAATACCTTGAAGTAATCGATGATTGGGTTTTCCTGAGTCAGCCAATTAATTTATAGTTTTTGTTTTGTCCCGAAGAGAATTAGGAATGGTAAATTTTTTGAGAACTGTTTGTGGACCAATATGATACACATATTTCCTATTGTTTAATTATTCAGTAACGTTACTATTCATATTCATGTCCCTTTTATTATAAGCTTTATTTTGACCCATAGACGATTATTGTACGGTTTACCATTCCTAAGTCAGCCCCAGTCTATTAATTACTGTTCCCCCATTCACAGCCAAAGTTAGCTGAATCTTGTACAAATGTTATTTTCTATTTTATGGTACGATGTGGTCAGTTTGATTGGTATATAATAAACTCAGTATGTTTGAAATATAATGATTCATATTGCAGAGGCTGAGATTGGTGTTTTGAACTTAACTGGCTGAGCTAGGCAAAAAGTAAGACCGACAAGTACTCTAGACTGCTCGTATGGTTTTCGTGTATCATTGGTCCGATCGATAAATCACTGCTCTCTAATTGGCAGTCTTTTCACGTCATATATAAACAGGGAACGCAGGCCAAAAGTTATAACAATTGGCGTTCATAGGTTATGACAGTTCTATCAATTAATTTGTCAGAAAGCACGCATCATTTAACAAACCTTTTTTTTATGACCAACATTTTTTTTTTACCAAACTCAAATCTATTATCATCAACGACTATCTTTGACCATTAAAGTTGATACGACTTACTGATTGAATGCTATATTCGGATCCTAAGCTAGTTTTGTAACCCCCAAGCTAGAACTACACATCGACTTGAACACGAGAGAAATGGCACAAATATGCGGGAAACACTTTACTCCAAAGGTTCATTTATGTACAGAAAATATAGGGTTTTATAGTATTTTAGAAGACCTGAATCATCCCAACAAAAGTACAATCTGTATTTGATTGCAATATGTTATGTATTTATATTTTCTGTATGACATTCGTAGTTCTTTGTTTCTATTCAGTTTTATTTTGTTATCTATTTTTTGTAGAGTAATTCCAGTGCCTATCAGAATTTAGGATTTATTACTTTAGAATTATTACTTCATTTTATTTTTCTACGTTACCATGTGGTCATATCAAATTGGTATGTTAAATTGTTTACATTTTATTCTTGTATGGTATTGTTTTATTCTATTCAGTTATAATAAGTACAAGTAGTTACACTTATAATTCAACATCACAAGGGGGTTTCGTGGAGATTTTAGTAATTTTATATAGTTGAGATCATGAGTCAATTGAAGGTAGACCACCATGGAAAACCTGGAAGCACTAGACGGCCGTTTCGTCCTATTGTAGGCCTCATGATTTTAACTATAAAATAATCATGTAAGTAATGCTTCCAGGTTTTCCATAGTGGTCTAGCTTCAATGAACTCTTGATCTCAACTATATAAGATTACTAAAATCTTCACAAAACAACCCTTTCTGATAATGATCATACACTCATTAGTGACTGGTTCCATGAGATATTTCCTGGAGCTCTAGTGAGAGGCAGTAATTAGTAGAGTTCAACCAGGTCTGTTGTGAAATATCAACTCATTGAAGATATTGGTGAATGGTTGCTCAACTTCGTGGATTGGTTGAAGTTAGACATTAACACTGTTGGACGCCGGCTCAGTGGTCTATCGGTTAAGTGCTCGCGCGCGAGACTGATAGGTCCTGGGTTCGAATCTTGTGAGGCGGGATCGTAGATGAGCACTGCTGAGGAGCCCCACAATAGGACGAAACGGCCATCCAGTGCTTCCAAGTTTTTCATGGTGGTCTAGCTTCAATAGACTCATGGTCGGAACTGTATAATCTTATTGCATTTGTTTTTTTCAATTGTAATCAATAATAAATCATACGATTGTAACGGTTAGATAACCAATACTTTTCGAAAAACTTGAATCCGAATAAAGTGAGAAACTCCATTTTTTCGATAAACAAAATCGTGTCTACATATCAAATAGTTTCTACATTAGGAAGTCTTCTGATGAAAACTTGATTCATCACAAAATAAATTTAACATTCCAGTTGAACTCATGAACCTTCAAATCAAATATGCAGTACACACCATCTTTTTATCTGTAAGGACGGCTCGTCGGTAGACTCTAGAAAGCCCATGAAGAGCCACAGACATTCCATATAATCACTGCTAAGAGAATGTTCTAGAATGTCGACGTGTAGCTTCCCCATTGGATGGATTAGCATGACCCCTATGTGCCTATTGGTTGACCTAAATGATGATTTACATTCAGCCAAAAATCTATAAATACACGAGATTTCTGTGCTATATTTTGACACTGATTTGGGGAATAAACTTCCTACTTACCAGTTTTTGTCTTCTCTCTTTTGCGACGTTGCGGGTTCTATCGTTCAAGTAGTCGAGTAGTTCGCGGCATATTAAGAATCAAGGTCCTAGATATAACATTATCAACGATCAGAACGATATTAAGAATATCGAAACAATTCAAAAACGTCTTTCTCGACTATAAGAATAGGCGCATTACTAAAACTTTCCATATATATTTTCTAAGTAATTTTGTATTCATTACTTAATTTGATTTAGTTACCTACCAAACCTGGTGACACTGAATTTTATCGAGGAACTTATCAAATAGCATATCTTGCTTTTTTTGCTCTAAATCCATACAGAGCCTTATTTACATTATATCTAATGTCAATTGGTGATGAACACTCTTAATCCATTAACCTAACTACTCAAACCTATTGTTCGTATAAGTTTGTGGAGATTGTTGAGTTTCATTCAAATCTTAATGTGATATAGGTTAGAACACCATTTGAAAACTTAGAAGCGCTGGAAAGCCATTTCGTCCTGATATGCAACCTAACCAAGAATAATGTCAAGATTATGAAAAATTGATTTGAATCTTTTTGAGGGTTAGGGACAATAGACAATCTATATTTATTAGGACAAGTTTATTTATCTTTGTTTTTCAGTTTACTGGCGGAATCAACTGTAAAAGACCTTAATAAATTATTAAATATGTGAAATCTGTTTACTCTGCATAATATTAGTGTTGTATTTCCATTTACTAAAAAAACTGTTTTCTCAATCGCTACGAAGTGGCCAAGAATCCGTTGCGATTATTTTAGTTCATCTTTACACTATATTCTATCTGACAAAATCATCTCATCTTTTTGAGTCATTACGTGCAAATATATTTGTCCGTGTCAGTTATTCAGCCTTACCTTTAAGGGTTTTTTGCGCATCAGTCTATTTATCGCCTAATCTATGCATTGTCTACATATTAGTTTTGTTTAATCTATCCAACTATGAATATTGAATCATTATTTAGCTAAATTAAGTAGACAAAGTTGTTTATGTCCTTGTCCATCATATATCTGCATAAAGGAATCTTTGGAGTACATTCTACCATTACATTTAATATTTGGCTTTTATTATCACCATTATTTAATGGGATTAACCTCAGTACTGGATACAACATTAATTAAGGTAACTTACATTTGATAGTTCATTTTACAATCATCATCCTTATTGGAGCCAAAATAATGCAACGAATTTAGTTCGGTTATTGATTGATCCTTTAGAAAAGACAACTTATACAAATTGTGGCATCAATTGTCAGAAATTCACTTTTTCTACTCATTGAGACATCATTTATTTATCATTCTTTGCTTCTCATCCATTTTTTTTATCTTGTTTGATTTTGTTTTGTTTTTTATATTTAAATCAAAGGAAATCTTGGCTATTGTTATTCATCAAGTTGATTTCAATTAGTGCGCCAATAAGATGTCAATTAATTAAAACAATGTTTCTATCATCACCGGATCAAATTAGATTTTTACAATTTCATTGCCCTTATCCTGAAGTATGTTGTTATTTGACGTAATAATAATGATAATAATAATGGTTATAATAATAATTATTATTATTGTTACCATTAGTATTATAAGTATTGATTTGCAGGCCCCCAAATGCCCTAGTAAGGCCGAGAGTGGGGAGAGTCCGCTCTCCCTCTCCAAATGCTCTTATATGGCTATGCGTATATAGCCTCTGTCAGGGAAGTTCTACTCACTTCCTTCTCGTGCCACGGGTGTTGTTCACGAAATTGAGAGGACGAAAAGCAAATGTCTGGCGCTTTAACCGGGTTAGTGGATATGGAGGACCCACCTATGGGAGTTGGAAAACCCTGATTCCAAACCAATGGTGCACATCGGTTGGCTCCAGTATCCTGAAGGAACAAATGGTGTATGAATCAATCGTTGGTCACCGGCTACCATGAGACTACATTTCCTCACGATGCTTCACTGCCTTGTGGACTAGACCTTCAGGTTAAAGGATCTGAGTGTAGCCCCCTAAGAAAACCGTCTGTTTCAGCTTGGGCACCTGGGCAGTAACACAGCCCTCACACAAATCTCATTTGATTTGTGTGGCGCATATGTATCTGGTGCTCCTTTGAACTGATGTTTATTTGTTTAAATAAATAAATTGATTTGCAGATACATGGTTATTGTGTCGTACTTTCTTTCTTTTGGTAGGATTTGACTAGGAGAAGGATACATAGTTTGCCTCCCGAGTTAATTTTAATTAGAAAATTGTTGAAAACCCCAAAACAATCAACAGTTGATTCATTCTTGTATGATACCTCTCAACAGTGTACATCCACGACCTCAATAAGGACTGAATTCGAGATCTTCGGTTCCTTCGGTGGATGCCTGTCATTTTTTAGGATCTGAATTGGCATCCAATAGTTTACGTTATTTTACTTCATTTAGTTCACGATATTACGTTTATGGAAGATGAGTTCGCTCCTACGGTTGTGCCGTAGATATCTACTACGGAAGAGTCCCACACTTAGACCAAAAGCTATCCAATTGTTCTTGTTCGCATTGTAAACTAGAACAGTACAATAATCTCTACAAACCCATCTTAATTTAAAATAAAGAATAATTTATTATTTTAATGTGATTATACTAATCGGCCAGATCAGATATCTGCTGAAATCTTGGCAAGGATTTAGAGGCCTCGATTGGCTATCGCCAGCTTGCATTACCCGTGGTGTATGCGAGATATCCGTCTTCCATCCACAGGATGAGTTTACTGAACAACAGTTCGCTCCGTGTAACATGCTTAACAAGAATAGAGGATTTTTGTAGATTATTGGTATTCGATAATAGATGTCTACGAAGCATTGCCTTTCGGTTCTATGACCAGGGAGTAAGCAATGTCAGGGTTCAGAAATAGGGTACTGGGTACAGATGGAAAATCAATTGATGACGTTGTTGGGACATATGTTACATATTCCCAACCATCGCCTACTTCGACAAGTGATGTCCTCTAGTGTAGGTTGGAAGAAAGCTAGGGGTGACCAGACGAAACATGGCACCAGTCCATGAAGTCATTGGCATTTGGATTGAAACATATTAATAAGTGTAGACTACCTGGTTAGGGTTCGTGTGATTGTCGTAACAAATGGTTATGGATTTTCAATCGTATTGCTGAAAACCGTTTGCAATGACGCAAGTACACCTATTCTTTGTCTTCTACCGAATCTTGGGATTCCAAACTGCCCATAATTTTTCTGTTTTAATTTCACTGGTTTATATTTTGTTTTCGAGTCGTACCTTCGATACTTAATTTATGCCACTGAACCATTCAGTCAATATCCAATCGTGTATTAGCTAACATGGTTACCACTAAATGATTGTCTGATGTTAATACTAAGCCTACTGATAATTACTTGCTTCAATGACGTCTCTTACAATCGTTGATTTTGTTTACAACAACAGAAAACTAACTCCACAATTTCTTGATTATTCTATTTTATTGTCTTCCTCATTCCTCTTGTATCATGGAACATATTTCAGTCAGAATTAGTCTTCTAATAATCAGCTCTTTTTATTTTACTGAATAATAGATTGGTGCATTTTCTATAGCGTATATGATTATCAATACACAATCTGGACATTCATGAAATGTCTAAAGTTTGCTACCCACTTATGTGATGAATATTGATGCATCAGTTGAATGCGATTTTCCCTAAACGTGGTGTCTATGAGTTGACTTGTAACATTTTAAAAACAACTCTATAAATCAATGTACACTCTATGGACTCTATCAATATAGGCTCCATATTTTCAACTTTAATCGATTTACAGCACCATGAAGACAGTATTACACCATCGGCTAACATCATTGATAAAAACTCCTCAACCACATATGTAGACGAAATAACTGGATGGTACTTTCTGGTTTTTCAACAGTTAACCAATTGATATCAGTTCATCGTGGTAAAAAAAACTCAGTCAGTCGCAGCGTAGAACTTCGTACGTACGTACATTAGTTCGAGCTGCCATACCACATTAGCACAGAGATGCAACTGTCGATTCAAATCCCATTGTGGTAGAGGTAGTAAGAGTATAAGCATTATGTGAAAGATTAGGGTTTGAAGACGTTATTCAAGGAGTATAATACAGTGAAATAAATTTGAAAAGAGAAAAAGGATAGGGACATGAGGAATTCAGAGAATTAGAATTTGTAGAACACAAAGAGTGGATGCACCTTCACCATTGCAAACGATTTTGAGCCATGTCATTCAAGATCTCTGTCTATCATCTCGTAAATCCTAACCAGGTAGTCTATACCTATCAACATGGCTCAGTCCACTTGTCAGTGACTTCATGGATTTGTGCCACGTTTTGGAATAATAATAATATACTCACTAGTGAATAACTTCAAATTATAATGAAAACACGGGTAATAGAATTCATACATGTTAAAAGGGAGACATAATCGATGATATTGAATAATTATCACAAACGAAACGTCAAATCAATTGATGTTGAAGATGTAAATTTTCTCGTTCTGAGTCAGTAGCTGAAATGATATTGCAGTTGTCGTAAAAAATTTGGAAATCCTAGCTCGGATCATATGTGCTTATATGATAGTTAATGAGATACGCTTTTTTAATTCCATCCGCTATCATTGTACTATTTTCTTTCAACGACGTCTGGATAGATACATGTATTATTCACGCGTAAAGTTTTCCTGATTTCATTCCTTCCCTTTTCTGCTCTGTTTACATATATTTACATACTCATATGTGTCTATTTGTTTTTTTAACTTTTTTCTTCCAGATGCGATTTCTCAGTGCCGCTCTAATCATTTATGTCTGTCATTTATGTATGAATGATCCATCTGTACAGTGTGAAGATATTCTACACTCTTTTATTTCACTAGTTAATAGTTCTACCACTATTACTCATACTGCTACTAATACTGCTGTAAGTGGTGACGATAATAATTGTTGTTCTAATGTATGCAATACAGGGTCTATATCAACCAGCACTACGAATGCGACCACTTCTCCAAATATTGAAGTCACTGCCAATACTACAAAAATAACCGCTGATACTACTCCTACTACAGCCAGTGTCTTGTCTTATTTATTAAGGTCTACATTAAATGAAACAAAGTCACCAGTATTTGTTGAAAATTCAACTGTAGATAACGCACAGATTACTGCTCAAATATTTTCTGCCACATCTTTTATTAATCGTTTTATAAATTTACCACAGAAACGTTCTTCTAGTTCTTTACAAAATGATTCCAATATTAGTGATAGTAAGAATAATAATTTATGTAATCAACTGATTAATCCAGGAGAATGTTTAATACAATTGATAGTACATCAGTTGCATTTCTCTCCAAATACATTAGCACTATCATCAAATAAATCTTTCCAAGAACAACAACCATATTATCATCAACCTTACTCTACAATCCGATCAGGAAATCCTTCATCATCTTCATTTCCTATGAATGCTGCGGTTCCATCAACACTTCAATCTATGATGACAGTGCCATCAGCATCATCATCGACTACGTTATACCCATCTGTTAATAATAATAATCGTTCTACATCATTACCATCATCATCGTTACCAACTGTATGTCCTTCATCTGCAATATGGGCACAATATTTTGCTATTTTGTTAGATTATGCAAATTATGGTAAACAAGAATGTTGTTATCTGTTAAAACTACACGTTCCGGAAATTTTAATCAAGTGCGTTGATGTATTTGTTTTAATGTTTTTCTAATGAATTTTTTCATTGTGCATAATGTTGTGATATAACTGGAAAATGTAAGATGAAAAGGCTCTTTTATTGTTTGATACCAGTGTAATCAGGTTGTAATTACTAGCGTTGCTGTATTCTATTTCTCTTTTTCTCTATCGCGATTATCAACTAGTTCATTCACACTACCATTAGGACCTATGACCATCGGTTTTACAAATTGACAAATCGGTCAATGAATAACAATCAATACCTTGACGACTATTGGTTGTTGACCTTCTAGCCCACTGATCAAATAGGATACAGAATAGGAAACATATCAGTTCTCAGTTGTACTCTATGCAATCATCAATCAATTTGCATAAAATAATATACGTAGAATATTTGACCATACAGCTGCACAAGTAGGGATTACAGTGTTTGGGATAATGTAGTCATATGTGGTATAAAAGTGGAACAATGGAGTAATAGTTGACTAATGATGATTCTGTAATAATAAGATATATGTGAACGATTTATTGGTGAAGTGTAAGCTTAGAAATAGAAGAATATAAAAGTAGTAATCCTTTATATGATAGATCCAATATTATGTTTTCACATTTCGCTTCATAGTGGTAGTTTGAAATAATTTACCACATATGCGAACTATAAGAAAGGATAGATATCATAACTATATTTATCACCATCTCGATGATTCATAGTGCAATTTTTTGGCATCTTTATAGTATATTTTTGCAATCTACTACAATTTGCATGTTAAACTAACGAAGTATATGTTTAACATCTGATTAACACTGTCAAACTTGAGACATAAACGTTAAATGGGAATTCTCGTCCTGAAAGTAATCGTGTTTACAATTTTTTTGTGTTGGAACATGTCTAAATTCAGACTATCTTGAGTTCAAACATTGATTTCAATAAATAATACTTTTTGAATTTCTTGCTTTATTGACATGACATTCAAATAACATTCTGTATAGGAATCGTTAAAGAGCTTTATTTTTTTCATGGTTGAAATCATTAGTCAATTGAAGCTAGACCACCATGGAAGCACTGGACGGCCATTTCGTTCTATTATGGGACTCCTCAGCAGTGCGCATCCACGATCCCTTCTCGCGAGATTCGAACCCAGGACCTATGACTCTCGCGCCAGAGCACTTAACTTTATTTTTAGCGAAAAAAACCGATGTATTTCTGAACTTGTGATTTAGTCGTAATTATTTTTGCTGGAAGTTTTCTTTATAACTTCAGTTTTAAGTCTAAAAAGTTGGAAATACTACTGTATAATTGATTGTTGAACAAAGCAAATATAATTTTGCTGAAAGTACTGTTAATTTTTTTAATTATAATTGTATTCCAGTTATATGCTGTCCTATGAAGTTATGTTGAAAACTGTTGAAACTTCGGCATCAGGAACAACAACATCAATACCGTATGCTTCCCTTGTCGGCTGGAATCAAGAACCACGTAATTACGACTGTATACAAACATCCGTCAAACGTTCATATAATGAATTATCTATGGAAATTCAATCATTGAGTTGTACAAATTTGCGGCTTTCATCTTGTTTAGATGCTTTAGTCTATGCACTTATGACTAATTCAACAGTGTCAACTACAACATCAAATTCGAATTTTGATTTTTACAGTCATTATAAATATGACTATAATGATACAGTGAACAATGAACAGAATAATTTGACCACAATTACTAATCATGATATGAATACTACCGTGTCTAATATTATCACCTATTCTGGTTTAAAAATCTTACTAGATTTATTATCTTATCTAGTCAGATCTTGTGAAATCCCATCTCATTACCTCAATTTCCCACCACGATTATCTTCGTCACCACCACCTTTTTCTTCGACAACATCATCTGCTATTTGTTATCCTTTAGCAAAAACCGAAGACCAGGTCTCGCGTAAGATAAATAAAACAGAGAAACGTTCTGAACCTTATGGAGCTTGTCCAATCATTTCAGAATCATTATTAACTGATACACAAGCTAACTCAATATCTACCAATCAGCGTAATCCTTATTGTGTAACATCTACTCCATTGGTTACTCTTTCCAACTCTTTGATTCAGTTATTTTTTTCCAGCCAATCAGAACGTATTGTTAAACGGTTAACAGGCTCACTCCTTAATCCAATCACATTGAAGCCGATTTCAGATATGCTATTGGTTAGTTTTCAATAGCATTTACGTTTGATGTGCTAATATCAAGTATTATTTCTCTTTTTATATCCAGCGTTTAATCACACTACCTTTCCTTTATATATTACTACCATTGAAGTAACTACTTCTATGAATTTGGTGTTCATCTTTTTGTACTAATGAGTTGTGGCAACTTGTACTGATGCATATATATATGTCTGGTCCTACGTTGTAGTTAATTTACTGACTAACTGGTTGTTTAATAATATGCATCGCAAAATTTCAAGATAGATCACAAACTTAAGAGAAAATCTACCAGTAAAGCAACTTAAGTTTGCCTATTTTAAATAATTTTGCTTGAAATTTCATTGACTGATAGGAGTCAAATTAAGCCATTATTCTATTTCTCAAACAATCATACTTTTATCAGTTTAAGAATTTGTGGAAATTGTATTATTTTCTTTGTTGAAATCATAAGTTAATCTAAGTTGAACAGCCACAAAAAAAATTAGAAGAATTAGACGGCCGTTTCGTTCTAGCATGGGACTCATCAGCAGTGTGCATTCACAATACCACACTCATGATTAGAACACAGGACCTTCGGTCTTGCGCGCGAACGCTAAATCTACGAAACTCTGACTCGGCATCCAACAGTGTTGATGTCTTAGTTCAATGGATTCATGATCCTATACAACCCTTCATTCGTTGCTTACGTGAATAACTATTTCACAACCGGCACGGATCGAACTACTGATCCCACTGTAGCCTCGCAATTCGTTAATCGTTTACTTAGATAACCGTTATAATTCTAATCTTAACGGCGCGTAAAATCAGAAGACGAAGGATAGCAGCAACTACAGTTTATTGTCGAATAACTCAGGTCAGAAAGTTAGCAACACCTGAGCGAATAATAACGAGCGAGTGAACAGGTGAATAAGCGAAGGAAGCGAACGAGGCGGAAGTGACATGCATGGGAGATGGCTGGGAAGCCAACTCGATTTAAGCAAGCGTTAATCAACATTTATAGTCGGACAAAAATGAGTGACAGACATACGATGGATAAGATACGAAGTGTACACATATATGCCCATATAAAAGTATAGTCGAAGTTAATAAGCAAATGATTAACAAGATCAAAATATGACTCATAATGGATAGGCGAATTGGCTTGGCCAGCAACTAGAATAAGGTATATGGGCTTAACATATAAACTGATACTACACCACAAATCCCAGAATTGATAACAATGATATGCACACTAGTGACTAGCCTCAGCATATAACTCTTGCAGTTCTAGTGGAAAGCTGTGGTCGGTGGAATCCAATCCATGTCGGTTGTGAAATAGTTATTCACGTAAGCAACGAATGAAGGGTTGTATAGGATCATGAATCCATTGAACTAAGACATCAACACTGTTGGATGCCGAGTCAGAGTTTCGTAGATTTAGCGTTCGCGCGCAAGACCGAAGGTCCTGTGTTCTAATCATGAGTGTGGTATTGTGAATGCACACTGCTGATGAGTCCCATGCTAGAACGAAACGGCCGTCTAATTCTTCTAATTTTTTTTGTGGCTATTCAACTTAGATCAACTCACGGTTTCAATAGTGAAAATTATGCTTTTGTTTTTGTTATCATTTATGAATGCTCCTTTTTTCTCTAATTTTTATTCGAACTATGAGTTTCTAACTTTACTATATTTTCTTGGGCTCTAACATCAGTAACATGTATTACTGTTCATCAGTCACTAGAATATCGATAATTTCTAGTTTCTGATTCGCATATATATATATATATATTTCAACATAACGTTATATTTCAATTTTTAGTATTTTCGATATACTGAAGCGTGTGATATAACAGTAAATTTAGCCCATCCATTCAGGATTAACATATATTAACAGTAGCTTATCTGTCACAGTTCAGCATATCAGCAATTGGAAGTTACGAATCACGACTAATACCTCCATACCTATTCAACCAGTTAGTGACCATCTAAACCCAATTGCTCAGTGGATAACACATGCGTTTGAAGGAAGATGTTCTCTGTGTTCTCATCCCAATGTTAACTCCGACATGAATTTCTTGATGACTAGTCTCAGATCAGACAATGCACTCATCCTGAATTCCATAACCTACTAAAAGTTAAAGTATATATTAGGACACTTAAACGTTATTTTAAAAAATATTTTTGTCGATCTTATTTCATATTCTCTTTTGCCTAACTTTTTTTTCATTTTTCATGTGTTTGTTTATTTTCTTTTTCACAGTTCTTCTCTTATGAAAATATGAATTTTTCAGATCTTATTCTCAGGGAATTAGTCTATTCCATTTTGCATCCATGTGATTTAGACAGCATATTAAAATTGTTAGAACGTTTATTACAATTATCTGATTCATTAAAATCTGTTCGTATACGTCTTCTGTTTAGCTGTAAGTTACATTTAGAAGCTGTAATTACCCTTATTGTTATTATTACTATGGATACTGTCATTATTATTATTATTATTACTGTTTGGTAAGCGCTTATCAACTACTGTTCTAGATTTGTGAACGATGCTTCTCGGTTCCCCACATGGTTGAAGGATATTTCATATTGTAGGATGAGAATAATGATATAAATTAATCTGTGTAGATCGTATTCATCACATACTGTGATCTCAGCCAACTGGAATGCTCACGGCTGATGATTTCTGCACGAGGACGGAATAAATGTCCAATGTTGTATAGTTTTCATTTATTTATTTATTTGAACACATAAAAATTGGTACAAAGAGGCATCAGATACATATGCGCCGCAGAAGCTCATTTGATTTGTGTGAGGGCTGTGATACTACTCACGTGCCCAAACTGAAGCTGGTGGTTTCCTTAGTGGGCAACACCAAGAGCCTTTGACCTCAAGATCTGATCCACAAGGCAGTAGAACATCGTGAGGAGTTACAGTCCCATGGTAGCCTGTGACCAAAGATTGGTTCATACGCCATTTGTTCCTTCAGGATACTGGAGCCAACCGATGTGCACCATTGGTTTGGAATCAGGGTTTTCCAACTCCCATAGGTGAGTCTTCCATATCCACTAACCCGGTTAAAGCGCCAGACATTTGCTTTTCGTCCTCTCAATTTCGTGAACAACACCTGTGGCACGAGAAGGAAGTGAGTAGGACTTCCCTGACAGAGGCTATATACGCATAGCCATATGAGAGCATTTGGCCGTACCAGGGCATTCGGGGGCGTATAGTTTTCAATTGTACATCGACTGAGATCAAACTTTGATGAATGCATTCTTTTTTTGCCGAATATATTATTATTATGAACTCGTTTAATCTAATTATCACTCTCATTCCTCACTTTCTCTTTTATTTCATCTAAAGATTCCAACGATGTTGACCTATTCAAACTATTAAATTCCAATTTTATTTATGAAACAAATACTGCAGCATATCAAGTATTCTATTTATTTATTAATTTATTATTCACGGATCCGGATGTAATCACTTATTTATCAAGCGAAATCTATTTGGTTAAAGTATTAAGTGAGGTAAGCCTAACAATGGTAGTAGTATTAGTGAATAACTGTTGTTTTATTAGTGGTTATAATAGTATTATTTATCTTTAATTATTGTTAGTTCTAGTTCTAGTGAGAAGCAGTGACCAGTGAAGTTCAACCAGATCTGTTGTGAGATAGTAAGTAACTCACTGAAGACATTGGTGAACGTGTCGCTCAATTTCGTGGATTGGTTGAAGTTAGACATTAACACCTTTGGATACCGGCTCAGTGGTTTAGAGGTCAAGCGCTCACTCACCAGACCGATAGGCACTGAAATATTATCCCCTGAGCAGGATCGTGGATCCGCACTGCCGAGGAGTCCCACAATAAAACTAAACGGCCATCCAGTGCTTCCAGATTTTCCATTGTGATCTAGCTTCAATTGACTAATGATTCCCCTTCTAAAACGTTAGAAGTGTTATTTTCCATTCATTACAAATATATCATTATTCATAATATACCTCATACTCATTATATTTTAAAGTATCAAGTTTCATCGTCATAATGTTCACCTGATAATACACTTATTGACTTCACACAGTTATATAATATACCCTTATGGGCCAGGGTAATCTTGCACTGGTTTTCAGAAGAACCAGACACCATCCAGACTTTCACGCAGCAACCCAAATAGTACAGCTCAATCCCGTTTAACAGGAGAGTCAGACACTGCCCAGGCTTAACCCAAGCAGTACAGCTCAATCCCGCCCTATAGGAGTACCAGACACTATATAGGCTTCAACGCTACAATCCGAACAATACAGCCCAATCCTGTGGCGCAACTATTCAGGTACCAAACACCCCTTGTGGACCAACTTATTGACTTGCATTTGAATAAATCTATATTCTTTATACTAATTCATTAGATTGTACTATATCTTTATGGATTAAATAAACGAATATCATTTTACCATTTATAATTAAATGTGAATGTTTGTTTGTTTGTTTGCTTTTTTTCTCTTAAATCAATGAATTTGGCACTGAATTTATTGCATGAAATATGCGACAAGTGAATGTTTTAGGGGTAGGCCACATTCAAAAAACAAAACGACATATGAAAAGTATTTAATGTATCTCTATGTATACCATTGAATATGTTACCTTTTTCTTCAATTCATTACTCTATTGATCAAATTGTAAAACGTTAGTTGGTACAATGTTGTATTTGAATGCTGAGCGACTATGATGGTATTTGTTGTTTAGAATGGTTTATATATACATATATGTATATCACAATCAAATATTATTGATAGAGTATAAGTGTAAGCTTCCAGTTGTTGAGTTTTTGTTTTTCAAGTTTGAAACGATACATTTGTTTTTGTCATAAAAAGCATTATTGCAGTGATGTAATAATAATGACGAAAAATGATCAATCATATCTTTTTTATTATTATTATTATTATTATTAGCTTTATTCAATATTAAATTTTTGGTACAATATAGAATTCTCAGCACAAAGTACTTCAACAAGTTTCCGTTTCTTACTTCTTCATCCTTCCTGACGATAAATATTGAGTGATCGCCAGTTAGAAGTTAGCAGCCCAATCAATCAACATCTGAATAATGTACATTCTTCTCGCAGCATAATGCCAGCAACCACAATATCTCTGATTAGGCCTACTGTAGCCTTTACAGCGAAAGGTTGTACACTTTTCAGAAACGCACCTGAATAGGTTGTGCAATTGATAGGCATAATGATGTATTAAAACAAACGAAATTAGATAACTTGTTGAAATATCTAGATGACAGGAACAGGTAGCCCAGATGTTTAAGCAGGCCGCCAATTTCATAAGAGACATCAAGATTATTATATATGAAGAGGATAAACAAAAGAGACAGAACTGTATAATCAAAACCCTGTACTGCATAACTGTTGTTTGTCAATAATGGTTTTTACTGATATACAACCTATCTTTTATATATTACCACCACTAAATTAACTATTTCTATGAATCCAGTGTTCATCTTGTTGTGCTAATGAGGTATGGTAACTTGGCCCGATGTATAAATGTGCCTGCTCCTACGTTGTAGCTGACTGACTGACTGAAACATTTTTTAATGATATAGCTAATACTTTTTGGTATTGGCTTTCGTGATTTTTTATTTTGTGGTTAAGAAATATGACAAAAGAAAGCTAGGAGTATCTAATTTAAGTTAGATCGTCAGATCATTAATCGTTTCATTGAGCTGCTTAAGTAGATCCAGACTGTCTGTTTAATGTTCAGGTAATCATCTTCGCAACCAATAATTAAGAATATTTGGTAACATCACTTTTTATCACAGTGCACAGATAAATTCATTTTTTGTATTATTTCTTCAGGAAGTAATTTTGAAGATTATCGTATACTTTCCTTATCCCACTAATCCATTTACTCTTCTTGAATAACATTTTTTCTATTACCACTGATATTGTTACTACTCTTATTACTCTAACTAGTATTTATCTTAACAAATTTATCTCGATTTACTTTGATTTGGTTTGGCAACTTGAACTGATGAACGTATGTACATAGGATCTACGTTGCTAGTACTTGATTGACTTGTAACTCATCAGCTTAGTATGTGCATATTCTTTTGATTTCGGTACAGTAATATTCTAAAATCGAGATAAGTATATATATATATACTGTTTATAGTTAATGTAATGTTTTGTTAAATAACTGAAACAACTATGCCTCATTTGGCACTGTTACAGTCAATACAAGTACCTATCTTCTTTTCATTTATATATATATTTTTTTAAAAATTCTATATTGTGTATATTAATGTTTATCTTATTATATTTGTTCTATGATATAATAGATTACTGTATCAGCTTTGGATAGTTTAAAATTAGACACATCGGATAACTGGCTTGATGATAAAGAAAAAACAATAGAAGCACTTGAACAAGCTGGACGAATTCTAATGAATTTGGTCAGTTTGGTTAAATAATTCTTCTCGTTTTATTTCTTATTCTCAATTTAATTTAACCAACATTGCTTTTTGGTGTCGATAGTATCTAAAATATGTGTAGATAATGTTTTAACTAATATAGTTGACTAATACAACCAAATCAACGAATCCCCCATCTAATACCTTAAGCTTAATCTTAGTACTAATTACTTAAACGGTTTTGTCTTACATGAACTGTGCACTAATATTAGAGTACAGAGATAAGCCAATCAGGTGTCAAAATCCGATTTCAAGGTCATAGGCACATGGTACAAATATATGAGTTGACTACTGATCATATACTTAATAATTTCGATGGTAATTCAATAATAACATACAAAAACAAGCCCTGATTCACAAGATTATTCTTATGTGATTTAGCTGAGAAAATAAAACGGTTAACAGCTCTGTTTTAGCTCATTTAGTTCAGACGGGACATAGAGCCGACATCGAGCAATCCTTCACAGTAATATATCGTGTTAATAGTAGTCTACCTAATTCTGTCAGACAGAGAATCCTGCAGACGGCTGAGGCAATTGCTATTCGGATCAAAAAGCCAGAGCTCTGCATCCAAAAGAAATATGTACAGCCGCTCCTTTTACCCTGGCCAACTTCAGGGTCAACTTGTTAATGATCAATTTTGTAATATGGTGACATTAATTTGATTAATGTTCACTTCTATATCTCAAACTTAGTTTATCTACACATCTTATCAGTCATTATTCTTCTTCTTATTATTATTATCACACTTGCTAACCTTTTAAAGAAATTTATTCGTCATCCACCCCCTATCTACTATATCTGACCTAATTTAGATAATTCTACATATTACGTAATTTCCGATTTGTAATCCCATTGTTCTATCTCTTACCCCCATGTCAACTATGCATATATTCTGATCATCATTTATCTTACGATTTCATTTCACCTATAAACTGATTCAAATTAACACATCATATTAGTCATCTCAAAAACATTAACGATTCGATCTTATTTTATATGACAAACAACACTCCTTGATTCACATATTACAGTTTCTTAAATTGATGTACTCCGCCTTAAACTTGGCCAATCTTCTTTTATGGATTATTAATTTATAATTATAGAGTACCCGATGAGAAATTATTGAAAAGAATATTCTTCGTTCATATAATTGTTGAAAGCGTGAGTCAATTGAAGCTAGACCACCATGGAAAACCTGGAAACACTGGACGGCCGTTTCGTCCTATTATGGGACTCCTCAGCAGTGCGCATCCACGAACCTGCTCTCGCGAGATTCGAACCCAGGACCTACCAGTCTCGAGCCGAAGCCCTTAACCGATAGACCACTGAGCTGGCATCCAACGGTGTTAATGTCTAACTTCAACTGATCCACGAAGTTGAGCAACCATTCACCAATTGTCTTCAGTGAGTTCCTATCTCACAACAGACGTGGTTTTGAACTCCACTGGTCACTGCTTCTCACTAGAGCTCCTAGATATACTTCTCGAAATCACTAGTGAGCATATTATTATATTAATTATGGTCTAGCTTCAATTGACTCACGCTTTCAACAATGATAAATACTAAATCTCCACAAAACCCCCTCATATAATTGTGTTTTAAAATAAAACTAGTTAAGGTTATGGTTGAAGTTAAAAATTCGGGTTAAGATTAATGATTAACGTTAAAAACTACGGTTACTGAATAGAGTTAACTTTTGGACAGAGAATTAATTCATGCGAACAATATTAAACCAATTTAAGCATCTTTACAAAGCTCTCTCCGCCAGTATAAAGCACCGATTAGATAAAACGTGTTAGCCAAATATGGATGCGCACTCCTGAGGAGTCCAATAATATGACGAAACGGCAGTTCACTGCTTCCAGGTTTTCTACGGTGGTCTAGCTTCAATTGATTCATGATCTGAACTATTAAAATTTGTATTGGTTTTAAATTAGAAACACATACTAAGGTTACTGACATTAATATAGTTAAATAATCTGTTTAATTGGACTAAACTTGAAATAAAATTTTCATTGTGTTAACAGTTTTTCATTTGTTGAATGATTAGGACACATCTAATGATAGAAGTTTGAAAGTCGGTTTATTAGTCATTTTTACTGTTTAAAGAATACGAACCTATATCACTCAGCTGCAGTGTCAAATAAACTACCATGATTATTACTGTACGAATGGATTATGTGTACAATAGAAACCAGTGGAATATTCAAAAATTCTTAAGTTGATATCGATTTCTGTGCACTGATATCAACTAAAAGAAAGCGCACTAAACCCTAAAGTATGAAGTACTGTTTGTTGCAGATAGCTTCTTTGGCGATGACTCATCTGTGCATTTAGGCGATTTCATCGTTGTCTGTTTTTCAGTACCCTCTGTAAGCTCTGGTTTCACTCTATCAATGCTAACAGTGTCATGTTTACTTTTCTATTATGACTGGTTTAATGTTTTTCCGGATGGTTTTAGAAGGACCATTATTAGGAGTTTATAAGGTCTGTCTTACTTTTTGACAAAAACATGTTAGCATTTGTTCAATTTAATGAGTGCGAATGATCTCGCTTTCTGAGTTCGTGGTTTCATGGACCTAATGGATTCAATCTTCTGTTGTAATTGTTGTACGTAGTTGATTATGTCTTCTAGAATATCTGTTGCACAGTCAAAAAATTCATCAGGCAAACGTTAAGTTGTTGCATAAACCAACTCAGCAGCACAACAACCGATGTATTGTTTGATAGTTGAGTGGATGCCTGATAGTAACAAAGGAAGTTTGATATCCCATTTGTAATCTCCCTCAAAAAACTGTCAGTGAGGCTTTTAGCTGCCGGTGGAACCCTTCCATCATCCCGTTAGCAGCCGAATGATAAGCTGCAGTTTTAGTCCTCTTTATGCTGAAAGTGTCTGTAAGTTTCTGGAACCGTTTGCTTTCAAACTGGGTTCCACATTCGGTCGTAATTGTTGTTGGAACACTGAAGTTTGCAATCCAGTGTTCTACTAATTTCTTTGCCATAGTTGATGATGCGGACACTAAACTATCATTTTTCTTCTTATATAAAACCGGTTCGATTACGAAGAACATAAATCTATAAAAATTAACTATCTGGTCATATACATTAATTATCTCTTACAACTGTTTATTCTCTACCCTTTCTGAGGTATTATCGAAGAAATTTCATAAAATACCATAATAAAGCCACTGACTTCAAACTAAGTAAAGTTTAATATCACTTGCCAATGTTGATTTTGGATAATTTATATTTCATGTGATACATAATCATATGTGCCAATTATTTGTGCTTTTTTGTTTCAAATTTCAAGTGAATTTCATATCACAATCTATTTCATTCATCTATCTCATTATCATATATTTATATAATCTAGATCCCTTCAATTGCGACGCTTCCAAACGATATGATTGGTGTGATTGAGAATGATAGTGTACAAGATGATGACGTTGATCTTGATGATGATAATGCTAACGGCGATGAGAACCGGATCACTATTGCCTACAAAAATAACAACGAAAAGCAATATGGTAGTCGATTTTCAAATTGGGGAAAAAGTGCAGAGAATGAAGATGTTGAAGAGGTAGAAGATGACAATGATGACTACGGTGCTGATGACGATGATGATGATAATGTAGGTGAAGAAATAGATGAGAGAAACGATCATTTAATTACATCCCTATGTCGTATTACCTCTTCATCTTTGTCGACATCTGATGATCCTGAACTGGATCATTTACCTTCAAATCATGAATATATGATGAGTCATAATATAACAAGGACTAGTACTAGTACAATAGTCGATACTAGTTTAGATACTTTTAACCATACATGTATCACTGCTGGTCCACCGGCCACCACTACTTATACTACTATTACTACTGCAAGTAGTAATAATAATAATAATAGTAATGTTAATAGCAGTAGACAAATATATGGACAATTATTATCATGTGGTTCGTTGATGGAGGAAATAGTAACTCAAAAACAACAAGAAGAAAATAGTTTAACCAGTCCTAACAATCATAAATTAAATGATAACAATGAGTAATAATATATAATGTAAGCTAGAAACCAAATCAGTTCCTCATTGTTTTCTCATCCTGCTTGATCTTTCTCTTTATTGATTAATTCATTATGATTTCCACATCGAATTGTTTATCAATAAAATGTCAAGTACATTGTATCTGTGTGTGTGTGTGTTTATTGTACCAATTAACAAATTGATTGCTAATAATGATAATAATGATAAATACCTCTGATCTCTCCTTAGCTCTTTCATTGTATCTTCAATTGAATTCATATAAAGAGATTTTGTATTTCCTAGAATGTATATATTCTACTTGTATGTGTTTGCCTAGGGGGGGGGGCTCATATGATTTAACATAATATACAAGATCATTTTCCCGAATTTCTTTTTTATTTAAATGAATTTAATTTATCAATATAAAAGTAGACAATATCGCTTTAATTGTTTTCATTATTGTTCATATCCATTTAAGGCATTATTGTTTTAATATTAGAATTACATTATAATCATTCTCTTGTCCCCTATTAGTATGAATGTATATGCTTGTGAATGAATGGCTATATAAATTTTCCTTATTCATTATTATCATTTTAATAAAGATCAAAACGGGGTTTATCTTACTTTATCTTCAAATTGAATTTTCTTTATTCTGTTTTGTTTGTATTATTTATATGGTTGTTTTCATTGAGTCTCAAGGGCATCATTGTTACTTTTCTCCCCCCTCTCTCTCTCTCTCCATGTTCCCTATTGCATAACAACTGTGAATGAACCGTTATATAAATTTTCTATTCATTTTGTGTTATAGTTCACAATCATATTTATTTAATCTTTTCATTGCTTCTCAAGTCATCATTGTTACTTTTCTGTCTGTCTCTCTCTCTCTCCATGTTCCCTATTGCATAACAACTGAAAATAAGCTAATTTATTGATTATTGTATTTTTAACCCACCCTCATTTATTTAAGTAACCCGGTTCTGAATAATCAATTATATTTTACAAAAAAAAAAAAACATTTAAACTATATAGCTAATATACTTAAAAGAGTTCATTATTGAAGAAAACTCTTATTGTTTTGATTATCATTGTGTTTTGTTTTGTTTTTTTTTTGGCTGAAAATTCATTGTTTCAAATGATATAAATATATATACATATTTACCGAAGTTCTACGTTGTTCTACGTTCTACATTGTAACTGACTGACATATTTACCGGGTCTATTCATTTATGCTTTATATAATGAAAGTAGTAATAGTTTGTTTGTTTGTTTGTTTGTTTGTTTTTCTTTTTGAATATTTTCAGTTTCATTTGTAAGTTTTTGTTTATCACTTTGATTGATTGATTGATTCATTTATTTATTGTACTGACTTGTTTATCTTCATTTTTGTCTCTATTTACCCATCTATCTATCTATGTCCCGATTTAGGTATTATATTAGTGTATAAATGAAATTTATTCATTATGACTTATTATTCTTTTCGTTTTCGTTTTTTTCTCTTTTTTTTCCTACAATTGTAAAGATGAAATGAGAGAATGTTTCTATTTTTTATCAAACAATCGATTTCATACAAATATTGTGCTTAATGTACTTTTTTTTTTTAAAATTCCTGGACTTATTATGTATTATACACATCTTTGTGCTAATGTGGTATAGCAACACTCGAACTGATGTATGCACGTACGAAGTTCTACGTTGTGACTGACTGACTAAGTGACTAAAAGTTTGTTTGGTTGGTTTTTTTCTTGTTTCAATGACAAATAAATTTTGTGATATTTTTCTCTTAGTTGTTTATAGGTATCTATGTGCATATACATTTTGTGTACCCAATTGATTTCCATTTTTTCTTTTTCCTCTTTATTTAGTGCTTACATTCTTGTTATTTGTAATTCAATGATATTGTCAGAAGTAAATAATTTTATCTTTGTTTTGTTTATGTAGCTTTTTGTATTGTCTAAGCGATATAGGTAAATACAGATTACTTGAGTAAGACCTTGAACCAAATATTTATAATTAATGATAATAGGGAAATATTAGATGTCATATGGAGCGAACTTACTCATAATGAAGTAGTCGAACACGTCGACAACTTCACTTATCTTGGAAGTCCTAATGGTTTGGTGTCTGACGAAATCTCAGCACGGATTCAAAAAGCTCGTTTGGCTTTTGCCAATTTATGTCACCTATGGCAAAGGTGAGATATCCGTCTATCAATTAAGGGACGAGTATACTGCGCAGCAGTCCGTTTTGTTTTACTTTACGGCTGCTGGGATCTCCAGGTGAGTAATAGTGATGGCAAATCGGTTGATGAGGTTGTGATTCCTCATCGACTGAGATGGTTGGGCCACGTGTTACGTTTGCCTGAACACCGATTACCACGACGCGCTATGGTGACTAGTATTGGAGCGGCCAAACGAAACGTGGCACTAGTCATTGAAGTCACTAACTTCTGATGTGAGCCATGTTTGTAGATGCAGACTACTTGGTTGGGGTCTGCGTGACTGTCGTAACCAATGGTTGGACACTGTGTGTGACATGGCTCAGAATCGATATGTAGTGCCGTGCTTCAATAATAGTTCACTTCGATAACCGTTATTATACCAATCTTAACGGTGCATAAAATCAGAAGGCAAAAGGAAGCCGCAACTACAGTTTTATTGATGAATGATGCAGACCAGCAAGCTGTGAGCACATGAGCAAGTGTAAGCGAGTGAATCATAAGTGACATGCATTGGAGATGGCTGGTAAGTCAACTCGATAGCGAAGCGATAATAATGCGTATTGCAGATGGCTGGGAAGCCAGCTCGAGAGCGAAGCAAAAGTAATACGTACTGGAGATGGCGGGGAAGCCAACTCGCTACGAGCAAGCATTACTCAATATTTATAATCATACAAAAATGAATGATATATGATGAGTAGGATACGAGGGGTACACATATACGCTCATATAAAAAGTACTCAAGGCTAATAAGAGAATAATTAAGAAGATAAAAATATGACTTATAATATATGGGTGAATTGGCTTGGCCAGTATCTAGGATAAAATATATGGGCTTAACATAACAACCGATACTACAGATCACAATGGCGTAGGTGTATACACTCTTTATCTTCCCTTAAACAGTGACATTAAAGTTGCTTCATGTCTTTCTTCTCGTACTATATCCTTATATACAATTTTTCTTTTATGTATTATAACCATTAAATTAACTACTTCTATGACTTTGGTGTTGATCTCGTTGTGCTTACGAGGTATGGCAACTTGGACCGATGTATAAATGTGCCTGATCCTACGTTGTATCTGACTGACATAATGATAAAGTTGTATTTATTCTCTAACTTTCACTTGTAATTTTTCCTTTCGAACTGTAGTTCTCATGTTTGGACATTATTACCCATCGTGTTGATTTCTCGTTGAGATGCGAAAACGTGGACTAAGTCCAACGTCGTTAAAGATTGACTGAATTCTCTTAGTAATTTGTCTGATAAGTGTACTCATTAAAGTCATTCCAGGTTACACTAATTTTAATGGCCTACTGAATATTCTCCATCTGTGACAGCATATCACTGTTAAGATTCGAAGGATTTCCACAAAAATAAACTATTCCATCGCCTCGTTTTTACGATTGGAAAACACAATATATCTCATCCATATTGTTTCTATCAAAACAAGATCCTATAGTTCTTTCAATCCTCATAGATCTTTCTGAAACTCTTGAGTCTTCAGCTCAAAAATCACTCAACATTTTACGGTTTTTGTGGGCAATTTTAATCAACTTCCAATAAAAGAAACCATGATAATTCATAGAATAAATGAAATCTTGCTTGCAGTGCAACTCACGATGTGCATTTCGTACTACTTTGAACTTTTAAGCTGCATGTAACTACATCCCAACTAAAATAAACCAAATTCCAGTCAAGATATCAAAAAACATCACAAATTAAAATCATAATGGTTCAGTTCGCTCATTTATTTACTGAACTGCGATCACCCTTACTGAATAATAGGTGTTTTATGGACAGTAGATTGAAGCCTTCGTTTCAACCCGGCACTATCCTTTTAAGCAACGAATGCTGTGTGGTAATATATACATTCTCTTAAGTGCTAAATGCACACTATTCATCGATATGCTCCTTTTGCACTATCCTCTTTGTACTTCAATTTACTCCATGTATTGTTTTATATGACTGAACAGAGATGTTAACAAATAAGACTATAACGTCTAGATAGATTATCTATACATTAAATTATCTTCACATTTCGTTGTTTAGCAAGAGATTCATAGTTTATGATCTAGTTGCGTCATAAACAGTGAAATATGCAGGGTTACATAGATGAACTTTTAGTTAATCAATTTTAAGTTTAAAATTTGTGCGTAAACTTTCTGTGTACATAATTCTTGTTTTGTTCACATCATTCTAACCACCATAAAGAAATTTTAGATATACATATGAAAACTTAAAGGTCATTTCTTAACCAAAGTAGGACTGATTCTGTTAACTTCGAATTCGACTTCCTTGAACAGAGAAATCCAAGGCACAAACAGCTAGCACAGAAGCAAACAAAGAAGTGAAGAAGAGCTTCAGAGTTGACAAGCAGAAATATGTGGACGACCTAGCGACGGCAACGAAAAAACCTGCAACAGAAACAAATATAGGACAACTAATGACACAACGAATAAACTGGTAGGGAAATGTAGTAAACTAAAGACCGCTCAAGGACAAAGAAGGCAAGATAGTCAACGAGATTCAAGAACAACGAAACAGGTGGGTAGAGCAATTTGAGGAACTTTTCAATAGGTCAGCTCCATCGAATCAACCGGACATCGAAGCAGCACATACTCACTCCACCAACGATCGAAGAAATCAACACATCCATCAAACAAATAAAAAAGGGGAAAGCAGCATGAAGGACGACTGATAGATGCATTCGTTGTGCAACCTACTGTGGGAGATAATAAACCAACTTCCAGCTGAAAAGGAAATTACAAAAAGATTTTGGTAGTATATAGGTTGAAGATTGCGGAAATCATCAAACTACATCACGAGGCATGGGCTTATTTAGAATCGTGATGAAAAATGAAAAAAAAGTACCCACTGCAACGGACAATTGGAAGGAGACTTGAAAATAATGATGAATAACAACTAAAAAGGATTGTCCAAGATGGATTTTGATATACAATGCTAGTAGTCAGCCTTTGATGCTCAACAATAAGTAACAGGCGTAAATAATTAAGTAGCAAAGAAAAAGGAAAAAGACTTATTTTTACAAGAAACTTTTTATTATCTTAAATTAGACAATGAAAACAAAGAGGTAAATCCAATTTACATAATTATGTAAGAGCGATCACAATATAAAAAATGACCTAATACAATTTAAACAATCAATATAAAAAAAATAAGTCATATACAAGCGTCATGATATGGAAGAAAACAAAAAAAAATTGAACTTTGATCATTTTAATACAGTTGCTGTCAAGTGTTCAATTTATTTACCACTTGGCAACAATATTGAAATAATTCAATATCATACCCTCTCCCCAAAAAAAGTAAAAAATCAATAAATCGACAGAAATATAAGATTTATATAATCGAATGTCAGACCCCCCCTCTCAAAAAAAAACCAGTAATCCATCAAGAGAAATATCATTCAATATCACACCCCCTCCCCCCAAAAAAATAATAATCAATAAATCAACAGAAATATAAGATTTATATAATCGAATGTCAGACCCCCCCCTCTAAAAAAAACAGTAATCCATCAAGAGAAATATCATTCAATATCAAACCCCCTCCCACCAAAAAGTAAAAAATCAATAACTTGACAGAAATATAAGATTCATATAAATGAATGTCAGACCCCCCCCCTCCTCACCAGAAAAACAGTACTAAATCAAGAGAAGTATCATTCAATATCATACAACTTGACCCCCCCCCTCCTCAAAAAAACAGTAACAAATATAAGATTTATATATTATCATGAGATGTTAGTTTCCTTGGTATTATAATATAAACAATATTTTGTTTTTGTTTTACCCGCGTTGAATTTAAATAATACATATTTAAATTAATTTTATATTTATGTTCAATATATGTAATTAAATTATAATTAAAATGATCATTTTGTTCAATGATACCATTAAATGTAATTGGTAATTGTTCTAATGTATTTAATATAATTAAACGTTGATAACCAATAATAATAATTTGTTCATTTAAATTATACATTGCTTTCACAGTATTCATTATTGTAGTTGGATCTAATTTAATTGTAATACAACAATTAGTATTTAAAATTTTAATACTGATTTTAGTTTGTATTCTAGGTAAACCAGTTGGAATTAAATGATTATTATTATTATTATTATTATCATTACTATTATTAGTAGTATTATTACTATTATTAGTAGTATTGTTATCAGTAGTATTATTATTAGTAGTATTGTTTAATGAATTAGTTGATTTAATTGTACGTGTTTCACTACAATGAAATATAGATGATAAATTATTATTATTGTTGCTATGGTGATGATGATGATGATGATGATGTGGTTGGTGTTGATGTTCATCATGATGATGATGATGATGATGATGAGTTTTATGATTCTTTTTTATTGATTGTTTATTTAATTTTTCTTCTTTTTCACATAATTCATTTAATTTTTCAATGGCATCAAGTTCATCTGGATTTAGCATTATTATTATCAGTAGTATTAGTAGTAGTAGTAGTTTATTGTTGATAAATTTATATAATGATAATAATAATTAAATCTATAAAAAAGATAAATAAATTTATAGATATATAAGATTGAATTGAATAATTAACCAATCAAAAATCAGAATAGATGTTTATTTCTATTTATCTCTTTTATCAATATTAAACTATCATTGAAAACTTGAAAGTACTGTATGACTTTTTGATCCTTGTGTTTGAAACTATTCAGAATTTCGAAAGGACCGGTAAAGCATGCACAACATTCCTATAATTGAAGAACATATGAAACTCAAAACAATTGTCAACTAATTTCAAAATGTGAATCATTAAAACGAACGCCAACGCAGTCAGTTCTATTGTATAGAGTTGAAAAGTGTTTAACTACTACAACCATCATTAAGAAGGTACAAGCATTTATAATTAGTTGTCTACACAAAGTACTCAACATTCACTGGTTGGATGCTATCAACAACAGCGTTTTATAAGAGAGAACAAATCAGCTTCAAGCTGATGAGGAAATTGAGAAAAGACGTTGAAAGTGGATAGGACATACACTGAAGAAATCATCAAACTACGTCACAAAACAAGTGCTAACTTGGAATCCTGAAGACACTCGTAAAAGAGGAAGGCCAAAGAACACATTACAGCAGTAAATAAAAGCAGATACGAAAAGGATGAATGTGAACTTGAAAGGATTGTTTGGGATAGGGTTGGGTGGAGAATGCTGGTGTTCGACCTATGCTCCTCCACGAGTGGTAACAGGCGTAAGTAAATTAAGTAAGTGAGACCATTCAGCAGTGTTCATCCATGATCTTATAGATCACTGGATTAGTATCTAATGGGGTTAAGCGTTTGCATGAGAAATTGAAGATTATTTGTTAGAATCTTGCATGCCACATTGCAGACGCGCAATGCTTAGGAATCTCATATTAAGCAGAAATGGCCATCTAGTGCTTCCAGGTTTTCAATGATGATCTAACATTGATTCATTCATAATTTATTTATTTAAACACATAAATATTGGTACAAAGGGGCACCAATATATATATATATATATATATATATATATATATATATCTTCAACAGATCCTTCTCAACTAATCTCATACCGAAAAGGTGTACAAAGATAAAGATAATCCCTAATACCTAACAAAATATCTGGTGATAAAAAAGGTGAAACTTATACTCATAGCATTAAACTTCACTCTTCCTCAGAATATTGGAAAAAATAACTGATAACCTCACTTCAACCTGCAATAAAAGAGTACAGTTATCCTAATCAGTTTGCTTACAAATGCAAAAGAAGCACATTAAATGTCGTTACTGTTTTGAATATATATATATATATATATATATATATATATATATATATATATATATATTCACCACATTCTTTCTTATTCCTGTATCCTACCCTGGTACGGCCGAGCATGGAGAGAGTCCGCTCTCCCTCTCCAAATGCTTTCACATGACCACGTGTATACAACCACTGCCTGGGAAGTCCTACTCACTGCCTTCTCGCGACATTATTGTTATTTACGAAATTCAGAGGACGAAAACCGAATGTCCGACGCTTTAACCGGATTGATGGACACGGAAAGTTCACCTAAGTGAGTTGTAAAACCCTGATTCCAAACCAATGATGTACATGGGTTCCAGTATGCTGAGGGAACATAAGGCGGCGTATGAACCAATCGTTGGTCATCGGTTACCATGGAACTGCATTGCCTCATGATGCTCTATTGCCTTGTGGATCAGATCTTTAGGTCAAAGGCTCAGGTTCTGGTTCCCTAAGAAAACCACCTGCTTCGGTTTGGGCACCTGGGCAGTATCATAGCCCTCACATAAATCAAATGAGATTTGTGTGGCGCATATATATCTGGTGCCCCTTTGTACCAATATTTATGTGTTTAAATAAAATTAAATATATATGTATACCACATTCTTTCTTATTCCTGTGCCCTTCGGAAATACATTATTCATGGTTTCATTGTCGTAACAAAACTTATCATTTTGATTATCATTAACTTAACTCATTTATATTTCATATAAGATATTTATATACATTAATTAATATATTCAGTGTACAACACAGATGTTAAACAAAGATGGATAGTGAATAGCAGTGGAATCCAGGATGGGCGATACTTCGTCCTATTTAGGACTCGTCGGCTGGATGTACCTGCATCTCAGAATTGATGTTCTCTCTGGGACTCGAAACCAGTACTTTTCGCTTCAAACTCCATCGCCTTATCCACTCAGCTTACATTGTTTGTGATGTAAGGCTATATTGACGCAATACGCATAGTATGCACATATGTCAATAAGAGACTGACCAGTTGCAGTCCCAACACATCAATGGGAAGATTCAAACAAACAATACCAAGTGAATAGATGTCAAAGTTTAATTTTGTTGTTGTTATATTTCAACAGCGTTCTGTAAACTTTTGTTTTTTTCAATATTGTTTTTTAAAACCTATATTCATCAGCTGTGTTGTATATTAAAATTATGTTATAACGATGATTGTGAATGGCTTTACAACCGATTAGAATGCAATAATTAGTTAAAAAGATACTTATTATTAATAGTAACAACATTATAGTCGATTGATAGCGCCAACATGATAAATAAACAAAGAAATATTACTATTAAGTATTAGGAGTTCGGTTAGAATCAAAAGTTCAGGTGAAAATTTAGAATTAAAAGTGATAGGATTGGGTATACTAGAATTAGTTGTGCCAATGTAAGGAATCAGCAGTAGTAGTGTCAGGATTAGCATATTGGGGCTTACACAACTAAGCTTCAGAGTGCTAGAGTTAGAATATATGGTAAGAGTTTGAGAATACTTTATCATTACAAAACCACCATTGATTACGCCATGAATCCTATCAATCTGATAATAGAGTATGTATTTTTATTAATTTAGCCTACGCACCATATCAAACTCATTGTATGATTGTATAAAAGTTGTTTATAGCAAATATAATCACTTTAGAATCTGATTACAGATAAGTTTAATCTCATTTTTTTTATAAGATACATGTTATCCTATGTTTTAAATTTTATAGGAAAATTTAAAAGCACTATCTTAAACCTGATTGATTCCCCCCCTTCTGCCCCAAGATTGTTACTATAATATAGTTTTGCCAGTTATGCATATAACACAAAAAGTTACCATTATAAGTACAGGTATATACATCAGTTTACTTAAGAGGTATTGTTTCATTATTTAATAATTTTACACTATAAACCTATTGTTGTGAACAAAACATGGGTGGGAACAATTGAATGTGTTCAGACACAAAATTACAGACTATTTCATCAAATTTTGATAACCATATAGTTAACAGTTAATTTGCAAACTATCAATCAATTGTCTCAATCTTAATTGTTCCTCCTGTAAATATCAGTCCGTCTTCTCTAATTTCATTGTTCATGCCTTTTCGTACCGATTGCGCTTCATTCCTGTTCGTTCCCTTATCGATCTTTTGCCAAAATACATTCTATGTTTAACCATCACTATATACTACTTATATAGATATAAGTAGACCACACTACATTATGAGTAAATAATTGTCACGTCATATACTTTTACTTTGTATTTATGTGAAAAACTTACTATTCTATATACATAACTAGATAAACAATAAAAAAAATTCTCCTAAGTTTACACAGGTCTAGAATTCAAAAATTATGGCGCTCATTTTAATTTATATAGATACATATTGATTGTTTGAATCTTCTTATTGATCTTTAGGATTGAAAATGATCAGTCTTTATTGACATATGTGTATTCTGTATTCAAATTGAAATTCACTTCATTACACAAGTCAGTGGCTAATTGAACTCAGTATCTAGGTGGATAACGTGATGGTGTTTAACTTGGATAGTATTGAGTTCGATTCCTAGGTTGAGTATCCAACTGATGAGTCTTAGGTAGGACGAGACGTGAGTCCCAGATTCTACTGTTATTTTATATTATAAATTGCTTTCTGCTTTTATGAAATTGAAAGTTAAAAACTTTCGTAATAGATTGTGCCAACTGCGAAAAACACTACATCGGGAATAGCGAACACCGTATTCATGTTCATCTGCATGAACACCGATTAGCGGTCAAACGCCATGACATGTCCTCGCCTATACCAATGCAACTTTGCACACACATTCGACTGGAAAAATGTGGAAATCTTGGGTAGAGGTAATTCCAAAAACACCAGGGAACTTTTAAAAGCTTGACACTCATGTCAATCAGAAATCAATAAGCTCATCGAAATCGATCCAATTTATAAACCAATCAAACTAATGCGAGACGCAACCAAAACAAAGAAGTTAACAATGACAAGTCTAAGGTCAACAAGAACCAATCAACATCGAGGTCTACAGGACAAACTTTGAACCATATGTGGAGACATTCGAACACTTCACTCCTACCTGAAGTTTGTGCTGATCATGTCGTTCAGGAGAACGATGAAGGCTCCACAAACAAACTATCCAACTCAGAAAACAAAACTCTATCAAAAAAGTCTCGAAATATATTCTCATTTTAGGGTGGTTGGTATGCAACAGATGTATTTAATCATAATGTCATAGATGACTAAATCTAAAATATTTGACTAATATTCTATCAAATATAATGTATTAGATAACTGTGCATCTAATAAATTCACTTAGTATTGTTTGTTTGAATCTTCCCATTGATGTTTTTAGGACTGCAACTGGTCAGTCCTGGATTCCACTGCTAGCCACTATCCATCTTTGCTAACTGTGCATCTTTTTGATGTTGGTTTGTTCTCTGAGCTGGATGATTTGCTCGTGGAGCTTTCATCGTCCTTCTGAACGACTTCATCAGCATCTAATAGTCCACATTTGGAATGTGGAAGAAACTAGAAGAGAATAAGATCCTTTCTACTTTTATTTTTTTCATTTGATTGAAAAATAAATGTTAAACAATGTTTATCAAGAATCTATATAAAATAGGTTACAATTACTGTATAATATGAGGTCAACTGATTGAGTCATAAGATCAATATGTAAAAGTAAAAATAGAAGACAAAAGATTAATCACATAACTGACTTTTTGTTCATTCTATCATATTCAAAACCATAATCAAGTTTTAGATTCTATCAGAACATGTGATAACAATCCTTTTCCTTGTATACATGAATGGGACATTAATTTATCTTAGACAAATATCTATACTAGATTCCTTTCCAGTGTCTATTCTACAGGACTTGAACACAACTCAGATCGAGAACACGTGATTAGCCTTACTAAAACGCAAATATACTTCCACGCCAAAACCCGACACAGTCCAACAGCAATGAGCAATCGATTAATCAATCATAATTAATAAGGATAGGGGAATATATAACTCATCTGACACTATCTACAAACAATCATTATCATTCTTATCCACACATCCGAATAATAAATTGAACGACTTCTGATTCAAATGTATTCATTATTCAATAGCTCACTCAACTTTATTTAAAATAAATACGAGATTGATAAGTCTTCGAATTGAACGCTAAATTAAGCTTCCTGAGCTCTTCTAGTAACCCCTAGACTAAATTTACACTGCGATTTGAACACGAGAGAAAAGGTGAAAACTACGGAGGAAACGCTTTACTCCAAGGTTCGTTTATGTACAGAAAATCAAAGGTATTTACAGCATTTTAGATGCCCTTGGGTTTTAGGAAAATCCTGGAACGCTACTAAACATAGCAGTATAGGTGATTATCCAATCAGAAACTCCACAAGTGACTTTTCACTTTCTGGATGTTTTTGGTAAAACTTCTATCAAATGCTGATTGGACAAACATAAGACCGAAAATCAAACTAATTTGAGACACAACCAAAACAAATAATCAAACAATGACAGTTTTAAGATCAACAAGAATCAATCAAGATCGAGGTCTACAGGACTAACTAAAAACCATATGTGGCAACATTCGAACACTTCACTCCTACTCGAAGTTTTTGCCGATGATGTCGTTCAGGAGAACGATGAAAGCTCCACGACCAAACCATCCAGCTCCAAGGACGAATTTCTATCAAAATCATTCAACTGAGCTACAAATCTTCTCCACTATCTCAATACAAACTATATTTTGTGTTTATTTTTCCTCCAATACACAAAGGTGATTTTCAAAATTTACGATAATATTTCAAGTACTTCGATATTTTTTCATGGTGGTCTAACTTCAATTGACTCATGAACTTAACTATTAAAATTTCAAGATGTGATGATGAATATAATATGAATGAAATAAAGTATAACTGAAGGGATTACATTCCTAGAAATTAATGATAAATATGCTTACATGTACACCTTAACTAACATACATGTAAGCAAAGATAGATAGTGGCTAGTAGTGGAATCCAGGACGCACGTTTCGTCCTATTTGAGACTCGTTAGCCGGATGTACCTGATGTACATGAAATATATGCTCTTAATTAACTAGTTCATAAACTAATAATTAAAAAGAATTTAATATCATTAATGAATGTTAGAATTCATACTCGTGTGTATGTGTGTGTGGGTGTGGGTGTCTATTTATATTTACTTTGATGATTGGATTGGATGGTATTGATTTCGGATCTCATTATGAACATCATCACTGGAATGATGATAAGTTTCGAATAGAATAAAATTGACATATTGAATATCATTGATAATTATTATCAAACTTTCATAAAAACTTATGAATATATAGTGATATTGAGATAATCTGCTAAGGATGGATATATACCAATATACTTACTTACGCCTATTACCCCTCATGGAGGAGCATAGGCCGCTTACCAGCACTATCCATCCAACTCCGCTTGTAGCTCTTCTAGAGTTGCTGCCGGTCCCAAGCACGGGTAAAGGAGAAATGTTGGGTATGGGGTTAGTGACCCCATCCCATATGAAAACTAACTCGCTAAAAAAAACGCTAACCAGAGACCAATATACACTGATCATTTTTAGCCCTTTTAAATAGATAAAGGAAAAATATAAAAATCCTTACAAATACTACAACTGTTACAGAGATTTTTTTAGGAAATCACAATATAACCATCATTACCGTTTTGCTTTCTAACCGTTATTATTTAAATCTCAACGGTGTTTAAAATCAGAAGCCAATAAGAAGCAGCAACTATAGTTTATTAGTGAATAGAACAAAAAAAACAAAGTTATAAGCATATCGAGTGAATGTGAAGCAGACAGGGGGGAAAAGTGTGTGTGTGTTCAAACAAATAGTCAAATCGATGAAGGCGTGGCTAGCTAAAGCAAAAGGCAAATAATAGGATCCCAATACTTATATATAATATCTAGAAGAGAATAATACATTGAACCATATATAAGCCATTAACATTTAATCTAGTAAGAGATATATGTGTAGGCTGTCACATGTTATCTAGTGTGTACACATTTATACAGACAAGAAAGTGATCATAATAGTACCAAAAAAAATATATGTGAATTGTTACTAACTAAATAAAATTATCTATTAAGTAAGTAAGTTGGATACTAGATATCTAAGATCTACGATATTAGTCGGATTCAATTAATCTACACCAATAATGAATAAGTAACTAGTCAATGATGCAAAAGAAAAAAAAAAGAAGGTATTTTTCTTCAAAATGGTAACCACGTGTATTGAGCATATTAAGTATATCATTAACTATAAGTAGAAGATTATTAATTTTTTGATAGTATATGGGATGTTACAGGGGTACTAATAATTAGTAGTAGTACTAGTAGTAGTATTGGTAGTAGTAGTAGTAGTGGTAGTAGTAGTAGTAGTAGTAATGGTTTTAAAACTATTTAAGCATATGACTGACCTTTTACAATTATATAGATATATAATAACTTATTGCAATGAATAACTTTGTGAATATTGAATATTTTTTATATATAGTTGAAATTATGAGTCAATTGAAGCTAGATCACCATGAAAAACCTGGAAGCACTGGACGGCCGTGTCATCCTATTGTAGGACTCATTAGCAATACGCATCCACGACCTCGCCTCACGAGATTCCAACACAGGACCTATCAGTCTCGCTCCAGAACATTTAACCTCTAGACCACTAAGCCGGCATCTAACGCTGTTGATGTCTAACTTCAACCAATACATGAAGTTGAGCAACCATTTCATCAATGTCTTCAGTGAGTTGATATCTCATAACAGACTTGGTTGAACTCCACTGGTTACTGCTTCTCACTAGAATTCCAAGAAATACCTGATGGAGCCAGTCACTAGTGATCATATGATATTGAATAACCTAATTCGGAATCGTTATAAAATCAATAAAACATGAAAACTGATATAACCATGTCACAACACTTTAATACTAATTATTTCAAGTAGCATTCATTTATGAGTGTCATATATACATACATCATGAAAAAGACTGTTTCTTTTTTGTGAGTGAAGTTATAGGTATATTTGAGGAGCACTACTATTGGGGTGTATGATACTTAGGTCAACAAATATAAAAAGTATGTAACACTAATTCGAAGTGGAAAACCTAGCAACAGAAGGTCATGGAGGCTGTGGTGGTGTTTTGTTCTCTGAGTTGGATAGTTTGATCGTGGAGCTTTCATTGTTTTTTTCGAACAACATCATTAGCATGAACCTGAAGTAAAAATGAAGTGTTCGAATGTCTCCATATATAACTCCCAGTTTGTCCTGTAGACCTCGATATTGATTGGTTCTTGTTTACCTTTAACCTGTCGTTATCTATCTCTTTATTTTTATTGTATCTCTCATTGATTTGACTCTTAGTTCTATATTTGCCGGAGTCTACAGGACAAGCTGGGATTTATATATGGAGAAATTGGAACACTTCACTTCTACTCGGATTTCATGCTAATTATGTAGTTCGGAAGAACAATGAATATTCCATGACCAAACTATCCAGCTCATAGAACAAAACTCCAACAAAATCATCCATTTGAACTACAAATCTTCTCCACTATCTTAAAGTTATGAAAGTTGACTTGAAAAAAACGAAATTAGAAAGAAATTGTGATTCGAAATAATCATACAGAATGTGAAAGACAAATGATGGAAATTTGTAAATGAAGCATTTCATGTATGGTTTTCATATTTTACCCAGATTTTGCGTAATCTCATACCAAAACACATTTAGTTATACCCATCCGTGTGTTTATTCTCCATACTACATGATATAGAATATACATGATGAAGCGGGCCGTGCTCCTCCACGATGGATAACAAGCGTAAGTTAGTAAGTATGTATAGTGAAACTGTTATGAATCAATTCATTAAATGATTATAAATTAATCTACTTGTGCTTTTCCATGTTGTATTATTGACACATTAATGGTATGTTTTTGAAGTAGACAGGGTTGTAATTCTCTCCGTTTTGATGTCAATACTCGTTAGTACAACGTCGAAACCACTTTTCAAGGAGCGAGAAATGACGACTTTATTCTTTGAACAAATCTATCTAAATGATCATATTAACTTTCAAAAATTATCATCTGTTGTCAATTAAGACAATGTCAGTAGTAATAAACTTAACTAGATTCATATCTACTTCTATGATATTAGATAACTGTAAGAAACAATTTACTTTTAATAGTGTGAAACTATCGTTTGAAAATATGATTGTGATTACAGTTGACTATGTGAACGGTCAGTTTTAGATTATGACAAATTAATTATTCAGTCATAAATGACGTCTGATCCAGATATTAGGGCGAGGATCGGCAAAGCAAGAGCAGCATATTTACAACGGAAGAACATCTGGAACTCAAAAAAATAGTGAACCAACACCAAGGTTAGAATTTTAAATACAAATGTCAAGACAGTTCTACTGTATGGGGCAGAGACGTGGAGAACTACGAAAGCCATCATCCAGAAGATACAAGTGTTTATTAACAGTTGTCTACGCAAGATACTTCGGATCCGTTGGCCAGACACTATCAGCAACAAGTTACTGTGGGAGACAACGAACCAGATTCCAGTGGAGAAAGAAATGAGGAAGAAGCTCTGGAAGTGGATAGGACACACTTTGAGGACTAGATTTCACATGGAATCCTGAAGGTCAAAGGTGAAGAGGAAGACCAAAGAACACAGTACGCCGAGAGATGGAGATAGAAATGAGAAGAATGAACAAAAAATGAATAGAACTAGAAAGGAAGACCCAAGACAGAGTGGGTTGGAGAATGCTGGTCGGTGGACTATACTCCATTGGGAGTAACAGATGTAAGTAAGTACTTTGTCTAATACTTCATATCAAAGTGATATGATGAAATAAAAAGACAAAATCAAATTTTGACTTGTTACGACTTTTGTTCAGCATTACTTCCGTTGTTTTTTGTAATTCAATATGACGATTATCCATAGTAATATGTGGTTTGTTTCTAAGTGTGATATTTTTTTTGTTTCAGGTATAACATCAATTTATTTAAGTGTGCTATTTATTCAAAATATAATAACCTGATATTAAATTCACATGAACTATGCTCAGTATGATATACACCATGTGATTTGTTATAAATCTGGGTATAATCAATATGTTAAATGAGTGTATTTTCCACTATGGTTGTCATCTTGTTTTTTTTTCGGGGGGGGGAAGGTTAAGAAATTTTCATTTTTACTAGTATTCTCACTTGGGGTTATTAGAATTACAATTTTTCCGCATTGTTTTTTAAAGTATAAGTAATAATTGGTCGAAGTTAAACATTAACACCATCAGATGCCGGGTCAGTGGTCTGTCATTTAAGTACTCGCCCGCGAGACTGATAGGTCCTGGGTTCGAATCTCGCGAGTGACGGATCGTGGATGCACACTACTGAGGTGTCCCACAATAGAACGAAACGGCCGTCCAGTGCTTCCAGGTTTTCGATGGTGGTCTAGCTTCAACTGACTCATGATTTCAACTATGAAAAATACTGAAATCTACACAAAACCCCTTCTGAGTATAAGTAATAAGCGATACAGACATGACACAATGTTAGAAGTGGTTAGATAGTGGTAAAAAGCTAGTAAACTACAAATCATTATGTTATGTTATTGGTTAGTATGATATGGATCTTTCTTCTCAAATCTTAATTCATCCTGTTATGTGGTTAAAGAAACCTTGTTAAACAATTGATTCTGTTATTAAACTTATAAACACAAACTATTTAGAAGGGGTTTTTGTGGAGATTTAGTATTTGCATAGTTAAAAGCATTATTCAATTGAAGCTAGACCACGAAGGAAAATCTTGAAGCACTGGACTGCTTTTTCGTCCTATTTGGTAGGTCATGGGTTTGAATCTCGTTAGGCGAGGTCGTGGATGCGCACCGCTGAAGAGTCCCACAGTAGGACGAAACGACCGTCCAGTGCTTCCAGGTTTTCCTTGGTGGTCTAGTTTCAGTTGACTCATGCTTTCAACAAACTATTTAACCGAATTTTCATTGTAATTTTGTACTGCTTAGTAATGTAATAGAAAGATTGGCAATTTGCTAAACTCCCTCATATCAAGTATGTGTAATAATTGTTCCAAACAAACTAGCTGATGAATATTCACAGCCTCACTACTACTTACTACCATCAACATATCACCAATATTGCTCACTATATAGTTCCATCATATGAGAACAATAGACCACGGAATTTCTGTGCTTCAATAATTACATTCTATCTCTACAGATCATTCTATAATATAATAACCATTTAACATCCATCTCTCTTGCACCATAAATAGTGTATATTATTAAACACAAAATGAACTATTGAGACTTTTATAACTGACAGTTAATATGTGTCTGTATATATTTACTTATGTAATAAGCAGGTATACAAGTAAGAAAGAATAGGAAAGTACTTAGTTATTACAGTATGATGACAATGAAAGTACTCAATGAATTATGTTTATGAAGAGAATTTAGATAATAATAATAATAATAATCATGTATCAAAAGGGGTTTTTGTGGAGATTTCAGCAGTTTTATAGTTGAAATTATGAGTCACTTGTAGCTAGACCACCATGGAAAACCTGGAAGCACTGGCTGTCCATTGCTTCCAGGTTTTCCATGGTGGTCTAGCTACAAGTGACTTATAATTTCAACTATAAAATAAGTATGTAAGTAAGACATATTTTTGGTACATGTTCACACACCTTAATTTTGAGATCACGATTTCTCCTTCCTATGTATATGTGACCATACACACATTTAAATTGTTAAACGCGATGGGATGAGACACAATCGTTTTCATGTCTTTTAGGTTTTGGATGAAGCATGAACCTCATTCTTTCTTTGATAATGGGCTATGCTGCACAAAACGTTTTTGTTGAACAAAATAGAAAGTTAAAATACTGTTAATACTGTGTGAATAGAAGCCAATCACTGGTAACTAAGGATTGTGATGTTTTCATTTAATTCTAATTTTTAGTTACCATTGAATTCAAATGTAAATCTTTCTTCGTGTTCATAAATTACTGTGAAATGTCCAAATTTTTCACATATTATCAGTAGCTGAGTGGATAACGCGATGGCGTTTGAAGCGAACGGTATTGGGTTCGAGTACCGGAGTGAACATCAACTTTGAGATGCAGGTACATCCAGTTGACGAGTCCCAAATAGGACGGAACGCGCGTTCTGGATTCCGCTGCTAGCCATTATCCATCCTTGCTTGCCAATACTTAAATAACTCTACTAATTGATTATATTGTCCCGTTGAGTGTTTGAAACCGAGTCGATGAGTTTAAAGGGATATCGTTTTCAATTCAATTATTCATTTGTGTAAAATCTTATTCTTAGAATG